GTAGGACCCGGAACACCCGCTGAAGCAACTCAAACGACACCGGTCTCCTGGAATCCACCAACACCTTTCCCCGCCTGAAACCTTTCAATGTCTGCCTAACGAGAAAATGTTTTGTGACATCCTCCTATCCATTAAACTTGAACAAAAAGGCTAACGCTGCTAGCTTACGCCCGACTACCGCTGCCGAGGCCTCTGAGGTGAACTACCTACACAAGAACCACAACACCGCGTCCAACCGGGCCTCCCCTGAGAGATGACTCCCTGTATGCTGTACCAGTTCGTCCCATTCCCCCCACACCTTACTGTACGCCGTCCAGGTAGCGGGTGCCAGGGAGTCCCTGATCAGTCCGCCAAGCATGATGTCCCGAGCCGCCACACCTCGTCCGTGCATGCCATCCCTTCCACCTGCGCGCCAGGCGCCACCTGCCGGTACCTCTCCCACTGCGAACGAGATAACGCATCAGCAATAACATTCAACAGTCCAGGCACGTTGCATGCCAGAAAAACAATATTAAACCGCATACAGAACAAAACAAAACGGCGAAGAAGCCGCACCACCGGGATAGAGGACGCTGAAAGCCCATTTACTGCATCTACCAAACGTCCAGATCGGCCTTCATAGCCGCTGAGACCCGAATAAGGTGGTGCGGGAACACCTCCCCACCCGTCGCCCTAGCTAAGAACCTGTTAAAGACTCTCTCGACCGGAAATCACCCGACAGGCAAAGTTTAGCCGCCCCAGCAGTGACTGAAGCGTCCGGAGCGTGACTTTCTTAGCTCCCCGCACCTCCGCCACTGCCTTCCGGAGTGCCAGCAACTTGTCCTGTGGCAGCCTACATTCCCCTTTGATCGAGTCTATCTCCAAGCCCAAGAAACTCAAGTATGTCGTAGGCCCCACCGTTTTGTCTCCCGCCAAGGGGACTCCAAAGACGTGCGCCACCGATTCCAATGTCCTCAGACCCATGCGGCATTCCTTCGATCCGGGAGGCCCGACACATAGAAAATCATCCAGGTAATGAACCACCAGCTTAGTACATTTTTCAAAGTACCCCATGGGCAAGCATAAATCCACGTAATACTCACCGTTGAAGTGACATCCCATCAAGTGATGGCACTCCGGGTGAATTGGCAGAAGACGAAAAGCCATCTCCACGTCCACCTTTGCCAACAATGCCCCACGGCCCGCTCGTTGCACCAGATTCACCGCCTGGTCGAAAGAAGCGTACGACAAAGGGCCTTGTCAATGTCGTCGTTAACCGACAGCCACTTGGGATAGGACAGGTGATGTATTAAGCGGTACTTACCTGGCTCCTTCTTGGGTACCACCCCCAGTGGTGATACCCTCAAGTTAGGTAGAGGGGGCTCCCTGAACGGTCCCACCACCCTGCCCAACTGGACCTCCTTAAACAACTTCTCCCTGACTACCCCCGGAAATTCCCCCACCGACTTCAAGTTGCGAAGACGATGAACCACCACCCATTCCCGAAACGGGATCACGAACCCTTTAGTAAACCCCTCCTCGAGCAACAACGCATCTTCCCGGTTAGCGTAGCGGCTTAGTCACGGTAGCATCAAGCCAACCTTCACTGGCATTGCCCCCCGTTGCAGGGTACGTGGCCCAACCTCCGGGCGCCCCCGCTGCGGAAGCTGCCTTACCTTTCTTAAAGCACCTGTGTAGTCTGTGGGTGCCTCCACACCCGGAGCACTCGTGCTTGAAGTGACACGTGGCCCCCCACTTGCACTGCCCTTCGTTATATAGCCAACAATAGCCCCGTTTTTGGTTGGTGGTGGAAGCGCCCGTGCCGGCCCCTGGCTGAAAGGGAGACGCCTTCTGCGCCATCATAAGTTTCATCCAGAGTGGTAGGTCCATTTGGTCCCACCGCATCCCCGGATTAGCAGCCAGGCACTGACGAAACTGCTCGTCATATCGCCACCATGCTAGACCCCCGTAGGTGCGATACGCTTCCCAAATTCCATCCAGATAACAAAATAGCTGTGAACAGCGCTCCACCGCCTTTTCACCGATCACGCTGGCCAAGATGCAGAACGCCCTCAACCAATTCCCAAACGTCTTAGGGATCTTCCTATACCGCCGTTTCTTCTCCTCCTCCTCCTTCTTAGCATCCTTTTTATCCTCCTCCTTGAGGTCAATGTAGTCCTCAAGGGGGAGAAAAAAAAAGAGCTCCACGAACTCCCTTTTCCAGATCCTCTCCTTCACCTCCAGTTTTAAATGACAGCCTAACGGGCCCGCGAAAGAAACATGTACGTTCTGCCGCGCAGCCTCCGGGATACCCCCAAGTAAATTGTCCCTCTCGCTCGCCAATTCGCCCCCTTCCCCGACCGAGCTGCCCCCAGCCCCTGAAACCAACACTGGACTTGACCCAGTGACCTCCCCCAGCTGAGCCCATACCTGACTGCAATCCTCGTCTCTCCTTTTCCCTACACCCCAAGAATCAATTAACTGCTTAATGCCATCTAAAAGCGCCCCTGACTGCTGCAAAGACCATGTCTCACCTTCCTCGCCCCTTGCCACCGAAGGCGGTGGGGTTGCCAACCGACTACGGTTTTCCTGCCCCATGCGTTCAACTGCTCTGGGCCATACCCCTGCAGCGCTGGGTCTCACCCGATCCACGGGCGACCTTGAAGACCGGGTCCGCCTTGCCTGCTGGCGACCATACTGATGTCCTCAACGTGTGGGATCTCTCCCTCACCGAGGGTGACCGTCTTTGTAACCTGCAAGAAGAAGACATCCTGGGTAGGCTGGCCGTGGAAACCCTGCCTCGTCCCCTCTCCTCATGGGAACTGTAACCCAGCTCCCCACTAGCTGTCCGTCCCTAATGGCCGCGAGCCTGCACAGCTGCCTGCGCCCTGTCTCTCTCCGGGAAACTCCCGATCATGGAACTGTCTTCCCGCTGCCTCCAGCCACGTGCCCTGACAGGGGAAACCCTACGCCGCCCCGGCTGTGACCTGCCCCTGGAGGGTGCCGACCCTCTGCGCTGTCCCTCGCTGTCACTACCTTCTGAACTTGCCCTGACGACCTGACCCGCCCGTTTTCGTACCTGGCCCTCCCGCACGCTGTCTGGTGAGTCTCTGGGATGTCATGTATCGCTATACCCTTTTGGTCCGCTCTGTGCCCTAGTAATCCCCCGTCTGCCCCCTGCCACCCTGCCGTCACCAACCATGCTAACACCGTGACCCACCACCGGGGCAACCCATGGCCCAGCAACTGGAGGGGCAATGGCGCCCGAGGTCGACTCACCCGGGCGATGGGCTGCCGCTGTCCCTGCTCCACCAACAGCACTTCCAGCATTCCCTGGACCTGCTGCCAAGCCCGCCGTACCGCTCCTCCTTTTTCCGCTGGACCCTGCCTGTAATGGCCGCTTTCCCGAACTCCTGTCTCCAGCAGACACTTCTTCATTCCCTGTAACAGAGGACACAAAAACCGAACGTTCGGCAGTTTTTCTGCCTCCCCGTTCGGCAGCTGAATGGCCGGCAGTATGGCTACCTCCCCGTTCAACTCCCGAACGTTCGGCAGTTTTTCTACCTCCCCATTCGGGAAACGAACTGTCGGCAGTATCAGAACCTCCACGTTCGTCTCCCGAACGTTTGGTAGTTTCATCCCCTTTGCCAGTTCTCCTACCTCCACGTTTGCTTCAGGAAAGTTCGACAGTTTCGGATTCAGTTCCCGAACCAGCAGCCTGCAACTCCAGCCTCGCTTAATGACGTGTTCGTGCGGCCGCACTGCAACGCCTCCCGCGACCTCCTCCACTTGCGACCTTCCCCCCAGTAGTCTGACTGCTGCTATCAGGACCTCCAGAAGGGCTCTTTGGATGCCGGGAACCCGGAACCGTGCTGGGGCTCAACCTCCTGTACAGTCCGAATCCGAACCCATGCAGTTGGGGGTCACTAGACTGTCAGAAGCAGAAAGACAATATAGGAGAAAAGAAGGCCTATGTCTATACTGCGGTAGAAAGGGACATATGAGAAACAATTGTCCCATACGTCCGGAAAAATACCGCACCTAAGCACTTTAAGGGGACAGGTCTTAGGTGTAATGGAAACGTCCTCTGGAATGGATAAAAATAGGTCCTTGATATTTCTATTGCCTTTGAAAAGAAGAACATTTCATGCAAAGCCCTGATGGATTCAGGTGCCGCTGGAAACTTCATTGACGTTCAATTTGTTAAAGGTAATACTATACCTATCAAGGAGAGACTATCACCCCTAGCTGTTGAAGCTATTGATGGGAGACCACTCTCACAACCATTGATTACACACAAAACCTTACCCATTAATGTGTCCATTGGTGCCTTACATAAGGAAAAGATTACATTTCAGGTTATTGCATCCCCTTCCTGTCCGATCATATTAGGCTTTCCATGGCTTAACAAGCATAACCCTCATATTGACTGGGCTAATGAGGAAATATTAGAATGGGGTAAGGATTGTTATGAAAGGTGTATATTGAATGTTGCCAAAAGAGTGGGAACTATTGGATTACCCACTAGTACACCTCAAAACCCGGAAATCCCTATATAGTACCAAGACATTAAAGAAGTATTCAGCAAAACTCAGTCGAATACTCTACCTCCTCACAGACCTTATGACTGTTCCATTAATTTACTACCCGGCGCTTTGCCACCTAAGGGAGCAGTCTATGCTCTGTCACCTCAGGAGAGTAGAGTAATGGAGGAATATATTAAGGATTCATTGAATAGGTTATGGACCAGCCGATCGTTCTTGGGTTCCGGCATCTGATATACATGCTGGCCGCAAGATTCGCTATTTTCACGCCAAATTTCCTCTCAAGCCTGGTCCTGCTCGCCTGTTGGGCGTTCTTCAGGTGGGGGGTAATGTCACGTATTCATCATCTTATAAAAATGTGTTTAATGGCATTTACTGTCCACACAGGAAAAGTTGTGCCGAGCAGCAAGCAAATCCACAGAAGGGTTAATGCTGAGCAGCAATTATGCAAATGGTCACCTGTTAACTGCCTTTGGGGTCAAAGGCCGGTTACAGCCTATCAGATCCAGAGGAGGGGTATTTAGGCCCAGTTCTCATCCTGCTCAGTGCCCTGTCGTGGTTTCGCTTGTGGTTGCCCGAGAGCACGTTATTGATTCTGGTTATTTTGGTTATTTGACTTTGGCATTGTTTTTGACTTCCCTGTTTTCTGGCATCCCTGACTCCTGGCTTTTCCTTATCGTTGTGTCTCTTTCTGTTTCCCTTGACCTCGGCTATTCCTGACTATTCTTTGGTACGTTAGTCCGGCCATTCTAAGGTCCGGTATACGTTACCTATCAGTCCTCTGTGTTACACAATTCTACGTGCTGGATCATTCTGTAATCCTGACACAGAGGAGACAAAAGAAAAAGCCACACAAATCCTGCCACAACAACAGGTAAGTGCAACTTAGATTAAATTAATCCCTAGATCTAAAATGGCCACTACTTATACTCCTCTTATAACTCCACCCCACTCCATTTCCTTAAACCAATCCCTAACCGCTGACCCTTAGATGCCTGTCTCCTGGCAATGTCAAGGCCCACTCCCCTTAGCTACGCTGCTCCATGGGCTACATTAATGCAGCTTGACAGTACATATTTTCCATAAGTATCTTAAATTAAAACTGAGATATGGTTAGTGCAGCCAAGTCTGACTATTTACTTTTCTGCAAAGGAATATTCATTGCAAGAGAGCTGTGAAACAAGATATGGTAATTACAGAGAAACTGGTCAACTTTTCACATGGCAACAAAAATATTTTCTTTTTTTTTTTTTTTTGTAGAAGTGCATAGTTGAACAAACACAAGATCATAGACGTTTCTCAAAGATCTAGACAATAGTAAAGATATAGACATTATAAAATGTTGAGAGTTCTGCCATTTTTGTAGGAAATTAGAAAAATAAAACATCAGACACAGTTCTGTTTAGGTGAGACATGCTGTAACCTAGAACTGTAGGTAAAGTTAAAACGTATGTATAAACCGCTGGGTGTTAAAAGTTAACTATTACAAAAGAAAAAAACATTTAGGGTTTTATGAAGGAGTGTAACTGACTGAGACATTGCAGGCAATTTGTAGAATGTGGTCAAGAATGAGACCACCAAACTGCAGGTGAAACTTGTGTTGCAGTCAGCCGAAGCCAAGTGATGGAGTGTCCCTTCCTCCGCTTCCTGCATCGACCATGATAGTATCTCTCTACGCCCATAGGGTCGAAATGTCTTCCCCAGAATGATAACGCAATTTTCAGCAGGAGCTCGCATCCCCCTTATGTCGATCTGGCCCAGCTGACAACCTGAGTAAAAGGCCTCTGGGGCCAGTTGAATGTTTTGGAAGCATGTGTGCCCATGAGCCCTGTATCGGTAGACGTGGTAATGAGCGTGGGGGCCAGAACAGGTCCAGCAACAGATTATGTCGATGGGCCAGTGTGCAGCAAGACAGTAGGGCAGTGGCTGAGTAGGCCGCAAGTCCAGAAGCCTCGAATTGCCTAGAAGGGAGTCAAAAGTGCAGGAACAACAGCAGCATTCGGTTGGGTACTTAGCCTCAGATTTCTGGCACATGAGGAGTGAAAAATACGCTGTTATCAGTGATAAAAGGCTATTGCCCTCAGGAGCTGTCCTAACATGAGACCAGTAACCATGGCGGTCCGGCCACTCCCCCATAAATATATTTTCTATTGAGGGTTTCAGTCTAAGTAGAATTACCATTCTGGTTGACAATAATTTGCAAATTAGATTTGAACTTGCAATAAGCATGTAACCAAATCTGCAAATTCCTTAAAGCGGCACTGTCACGCCGAACTTACCTTTCCCCAATTGTTTCCTCTTCTTTCCCTCTCTCTAGATCTGTTCTTAATTTCTTCCTGTCTGCTCTAGTTTTCTTTAAAACATAAGACAAAGTAGGGACTATTTTGTCTTATGTATATGTCCTACGCCTGACCAGCTATGACCAGCAGAGGAGCAAAGTGTGCTCCATTTCCTGTGGTCAGAGCAATTTCCCACAATTTTCACCTTTCCTCCGTGATCTTGCGATGCCTCCTTTCACTATTCCCGAAGGTGCTGTCATTTAGACAGAACGCCGGCGAAACTACCGAATTTCATGAGAACAGTTTGTTCATTCATGTTAGGAGGAAATTCGGTACTTTTTGTTTGGTTTGAAATTTCATTCAAATTAATGAAATTCCAATCCGTGCTGCGGCTGCATCTTGCAGCCACTTAGTAGATAACTCCCTAATTTCCACAGTATCTACCAAAAGGCTGAAAGACCAATCCAAATTTACTAATACTAAGTAAAAATGACTTGGTATTAGTACTTTTTTTTTTTTGCGCTTGGGTCTTTTTTATTTTATAAGTTTGTCTGGCTTAATGGATTGTAATTTTGCCTTTTTCAGACTTAAAAAAGGTTTTAGAAAAAAGAAGACATCAAATAGTAAGTTTTTTTAATTTACATGTATTTAGTTTTATTGTTCCTCCCTCACTATTTTAGAGTGAGGGGGGTAGGTAGGAGCTGGGGAAAGGACAATAAGTCCCCACCATTGTCTTTTAGGGCCCCCACCCGCTGCTCATGGGTGGGAGCCGGGGGCGGGCACTAGGTCCCCCCTTATTGTAATTTAGGGCCTCCACTTGCCGCGCATGGGTGGGGGCCTGGGGAGGACAATAGGTCTTCACTCCCCCCATTGCTTTTTAGGGCCTCCACCCGCTGCGCATTGGTGGGGGCTGGGGGGAAACAATAGGTCCTCCCCATTGTCTTCTAGGGCCCCCACCCACTGCTCATGGGTGGGAGCCGTGGGGGGATGGGGAGCACTAGGTCCCCCCCATTGTTTTTTAGGGCCCCCACCCACCACTCATGGGTGGGGGCCCAGGGGGATACAATAGGTCCCCATCACTGGTTTTTAGGGCCCCCACCCACTGCTCATGGGTGGGGGCCAGGGGGTGCAACAATAGGTCCCACCCATTGTTTTCTAGGGTCAGGGGGTTACTAGATCCCCCCATTGTCATTTAGGACCCCCACCCGCCGCTCATGTCCCCGTTTAGTTGAAAAGACCCCACTTGGGGGGGACACTATGTCCCCCCCCCACTAGTTAATAGATGCCCCACCATGAGGGCTATTTATTAGAGATGGGGGGCTTTTTTTTTTTTTAAAGTGAGCAGCCTGTGGCTGCTCACTGCTTAGTAGACATGCCACTACTCGGCATAGTGAGTAGGGGCTTTCTGAAGATTTCAATCTCCTTTATGATATTATGGGGGTCATATTGACCCCTTAGAGTGAGGGAAGACATGGGGGGCGTAGAACGTGTTGGGGAGCTCAGCTCCATGCCACTTCTATTTTTACATATTATAAGGAAGGAGCTGTGAGCCAGTAGCTCCCTGCTTGAAAAAAACTGAACAAACGAACACCGACATTCTGTGGGTTTTTTTTGTCTGATATTTCTATTCATTCCTTTGTCTTTTGACGAATTAATGAATAGATGAAATTCCCGTCCAAATTTCGGACAATAGCGAATGCCCCAGTGTTTAACAGGGAATGCGCGGGAATTTCACAGTGCTATCTAGTGAGGGCCGATGATGTGTCCTACAGGGACTACATCTACCCACACAAAGATGGCGGCGCCCAGGACCTAGGTCCAGGCACAAAATAAAGATTGAAAAATAGGTCATATTGGGGGCTTTAGGTGGCATTTGGGAGTGACTTGGGGGACAATTAGAGGTAGTGGAGTTGGATGGGGAGTTAAAAGAAAATGGATGTGGCCAGTGGCGTACACATAATCCATGGTGCCCTGGTGCGAAACTGATCCGTGGGCCTCCCCCACACCCCACCACTCACCTCCCTTCTCTCCCCCGATCCGTGCCCCCCCCATACCCACCGACACATACATACAGACACACACACACAAACATACACACAGACACACACACACATACATACACCCCCCGACACACACATACATACACCCCCTGACAGACACATACATATATACACACACATACAGAGACACAGACAAACACACATACACACACACATACAGAGACACACACACATACATAGAGACACAGACATACACACAGACACACACACACATACAGAGAGACACAGACACACATACAGAGACACAAACACATACAGAGACACAGACACACACATACATACAGAGACACCGACAGAGACACAGACACACATACAGAGACACAGGCACAGACACAGACACATACAGAGACACAGACACATACAGAGACACACATATACAAAATGTTTCCTACCTTGTGACTTTCCCTGGGGGCATAGCCTGATGGGAGTCAGAGTTTCCACTCTGACTCCCTCCTCCTCCTTCCTCCCGCGCAGGTCCTGATAGCTGGGAGGAGTGACCGGGGAATCACTTCCTCCCAGCTTGTGATGTAATCACAGGGGGCCCGGTCGTGCTGTTAAAGCACCCAGTGCTGAATGGGCTCCCTGATAATCCATATCCATCGGGTGGCCCTGACAGCATGGGCCACCCGATGGACCCCTCCATATGCGGCAAACCGCCGGGCCGGGGCCGCAAAACGTCGCAGCTGGTACCCGGTCGCGGGGGTCCGCAGTGCAACCGGGCCCCCTGGAGTGCTGGGCTGCGACCCCTGCGACCGCGGTATGTACGCCGCTGGATGCGGCCATGACAGTGCCGCTTTAATGAAACAATGTGATGGGTTATGATGTCATATCACCGAGCTCTCATTTAAAATGAATGGGGTTTGAAGAAACATACTATCAAAGTCACAATAAATCTGGGTTATTCACTAAAGTGAGAATTCATAGTGAATTCAAGGTAAATTTCAATTTTAAGGTAAAAAAAGCTGAAAAGGAAAACTTCTCTCAGTCAGCTATGCTGTCTGTTTGACTGCTCTGGCCTTAAATTTGAGATTCACGTTGAATTCACTTGGAATTCTAACTTTTCGCTTTAGTAGATAACTCAGTAAATCTGGGTTCTTGGAGAACTGGAAAGGGGATTTTAAAATTTAGGTCAAAGTAACCAAGTTGTAAAAATATAAAAGTTGTAGATTTTATTTTCTTGCTATTTTTCCCTAAAACGCGTTGTTTCCCAGCTTGGGCATTTTATCACAATGTCTGATTTAGTGAATATATTTTTTATACATCTGAGGCAGCGGAAGCAGGGCCCTTATATGGGACCACCAAGGAATGAAAACAAGGCTCATTTCACAAGCTTGCCACCTGACCTTTAAAGTTTTTGTACATTCTTACTCTTAAACAAACACATTTTTTTTTAAACTGGGGCTGGTGGGACTGCACCCAAAGACTCACCATAACCACTGCAATAAACTGCTATTGTCAATAGAGTATCCCTTTAAGCAAACATTGTTATTATAATTATTGTTGGAATTTATATAACGCCAACATATTCCGCAGCGTTTTACAATATTATGAAAGGGGGAAGTTTAACAATAAATGAGACCATTACAATATGTTACAGGAACAATAAATAGAGGTCAATAAACATGACTTGTTTACGTTTCCTATATCCAAAATTCAATGTGAATGTTCTGACAGCATCTTTAAACACGAAAATAACCTCTGTATACAATGTGTTGCTTTATCCGTTGATGATGGCAATGTGTTTTTTTTTCTCATGGTCCCCCCCAATAAAAATGGGTGACGTAGCGCATCCATCGTACCAGACTTGGGATTTCTTTTTTTGCAGATATAAAGCAGGGTTTGGTCCACAGGGATTGTCAATGGGATTAGCACTCATCATATTAACGCGTTCTATTGCTGGCACTCAATGGCTGTTTGATAAATACTATGATTTGCTGCAGGCCAGACTCCGGCTCAAATCCCCTGGGTTCACCATTTGTCCTAATTGCTTCTGACCTTGTGGCCTTTGGCTATCAGCTTGTTCTCAGCATTGAAATAGTGCTTTGTCTCGCCCTAATTTGGTCTAAATAGAGTGAAGATTTCTCCTTCCTTTGCCCATACTGAAATAAAATTTAAGGCCAAAGATGCTGAACGTGGAGACGCTGAACGCCAGTGCTGCACAGTGTGTAGTGCTGAGATAGGAAGCACCTCTAGTGGCCGTCTGAGTGACTGCCGCTAGTGGTGTAACTAGCCAGCAATGTAATCACTGCCTGCAGGGACAGGCTATAGACACCACAACCACTACATTAATCTGCAGTGGTTATGGTGACTATAGTGTCCCTTTAACGTCAAGGCAGATACGAAAGGGAACTAGAATATTAAAAGGGATTCTGCTATCACATGGTTGACAATTGTCTGTTTGTAACTACCCAAACTAGCAAAGATAGAAATAAGTTTGGATTATTTTAGCAGCAACCAAACGGCAGACTAATGAGTACAGACACCACTGCAGGAATTGTTACTACCCGAATGTCAAATATGTTTTATTAGAATTGTTTGCCTTGCTGTACCCATTGAACAGCGCTGCAGAATACGTTGGTGCTGTGTAAATAGTTGTAATTTGCAGTTTGTGAAAGCATAGATTTGTTTAATACCATAACATTTTAGTTGAAAAAGATGACTTTGTGGAACTGAATGACATTCGCCTACCGATCAGCACGTAATAAATAAACAATCCAGTCGTTTTACACTATAACCACCGTGCTCCTGCCCGCCTGACGTTCTACATTGTGAGTTTTGCTTTGTATGATGTCAGATTTCCAAAATTAAAAAGGAACAAATCATGAATGTTGTACCTATTCGATATTTCTGAGTAAATCTATGAAAGAATCAATCTGTAGCCAGATAAAACGAACCCATTGCAGTTAATGCAGATACAAACATTGAAAAGCATTGCGATTCTGGGAATACAGAAAGTTTCGCTGTGGTTTGTCAGAGGCTGAGGTCACTGTACCACAAAGCGGTGATTAAGATCCAGATAAGGAACTCCTAAAGAAAAGTGTCACAGTCTAAAATAGTGCCAGAGTTTTGCTAAATCCAAAGCAGGCCGGGTACGGACAGTGTCGCAGACAGAGCCAGCGCTCCGCACACCCCTGACAGAGGCCTAGGAAAAGCGGGGTCCAATATTGATGATCTCAGTTGTCCAGGCTGAGGAGGGGTGGGTGGAGAGAACAATGGGTTAACTGTGGTAGAGAGAAAGTTAGACTGATCTACTGTGAGATGGAGAGAGACACTGTGAGGGGATATGAGACAGTCATGTAAAGGTGAAGAGACATTGCAGTTGAACAGTTGAAGAGCAACACCCTCAGGTTTAAATTCTATGCTTGATAGGAAAACTATAGTGCCTGACTCTGTCGTGCCCCCTCTTCCCTCCCTTCCCCCTTACCTGATTCCAGTGCTGATGTCCTTGGTTCAGGCTCCACCTATGCTCCTCTCCTGCCGACTTCAGCTAGTGGGGAAAACCTAATGTGCATGCGCTTCGATGACTATGCTTGCAGTAGTACTTCGCCCATAGAAAAGAATGTATAATGATTTCCTATGGGGTTTTGGGTGACGCTGGATGTCCTCATGCAGAGCGTGAGAATGTCCAGCATCAGTTAGACAACCAGTAGTCGCCTAACCACCCGGAAGTCCATCTAGTGGCTCTCTGGTAGACAGCCAGTACAGGAGGGGTTACCCGTCAAAGGTAATGATTGCAGTCTACTAAAAACTGAAATAATTAACTTTGCAGGGTTCAGAGACCCGGGGCTCTGCACACAGATCACTTCAATGCGCTGAAGTGGTCTTGGTGCCTACAGTGTCCTACAGTGTCCATTTAAATTGAACTACTTTAGCCTGAAGTTTGAAATTCACTTTAGTTAACAATTCTGCTAGAGAGAGGAGATGGACAAAGAGATTTGATATTAATGTGCATTACCCTGACGTTTGGTGCCCTGTCCACAGGGCCATGAAAGCAGAAACCACAAGACCAGGTCAATCCATGAAGAACACGTATACAATGATTGTAGACCATGTTTGAACATAGGAAGACTTATTCCACCAGGGAGGATCCGATCATTTATAAAGTATTTGGAGGTATATTCTAAGAGCAAGTGGTCACCAGAAATGACCAAACATCTAAATAGAAGGTCATTTATGTGAATCACTATATGTCTAAATGTGCATGTATGTTGGTGTGTTTAATAGACGGCAGAAACATTTGTCTTGACCAAATCAATTTTGCATGATATTTAAAAAACAAAACTGCGTTATGGCTGGTGTGAATTTTGACTATAAAATGATTTGGAATAAATTATTTAGATAAACCTAAAGGATGTGAAAATTGGCCAAACAGTGAACTGCAATATATAAACATATTTCTATGTAATATTTTGCATGTGTGTATATGTGTTTAAAAATAAATAAATCCTTATTTACTGGCACTAATTCTCTTCGCCCGATGTAACCAAACAAAATGGTATTTTAGCATTTAAAAACGGTTCAAATTTGCTCATTTGAGCATTGGGTTTCAAATTTTGATCGCAAAGTCCGGCTGATCCCTTTTTTATTTTATTGTTTATTTTATTTAGTGGCTGTCCCGAAAACATCAATAAATCCTCCTTTTTCATTTTTCAGTTACGAATAAACCAAAGCCGAATTGTCCATCGTTGGGTTTATAAATTGTTGATACGGTGAATGTGAGTTCAAGATTTCTGACAGCGTGCCTATCGACTAAAAATGGCACAAACTACAATTTGGGAGAAGCCGAATGCACAAGTCTGGTGTTTTAAGTCTGTTTAAATTTCTAAATAAGATTATAGCAGAGAGTATGGCAGAAATCCTAGAAAGCAAAAAATTATAAACATACCAAAAGGAAATGCTCACATTAGGAGGAAGGTTAAAAAAGAAAGCAAGGGAAAAATGTAGATGACCTACAAAATGTCCCTGACAAATCTTTAGGTACATGCAAATTTTATAGGGAACAAATATTCTCTGATAACATCTTACTTGAAGCAGTGATTTGAAGTGGTCATGGTGCCTGGAGCCTGTGTGTGTAGTGTTTAGCTTTGTAATGATGCACATTTGGAGTTCCACCTCTTTGTTGCTGGAGGCGTGACTCCATCTCTGGTATAAGCATCAGCCAGCCTGAGCATAGAGTTACTGGCTAATGTTAATTCTGTGCAACTTTCATGGCACAGAATCTTATTCATAGGGCGAGAGCAGTCAGCTGACACTCTCAGCCAATCGATGGCCGCTGCTTATAGCTTCTGCACATCTGCAGAAACCAGAAGTGAGTCACTAGACCACAAGGAAGCATTGGAGACCTGAGGAGACCCAGGTAACTGATGCTAAACAGTTTGCAACCATTACCAGGGTACTCCAAGCATCCACAAGACCTCTGAATGTGTAATGTGGTATCTGTTACAAAGACATTAGAAGCAGTTTCTTTAAGTCCTGCAACTTGTGAGATGGGGCCTCCATGGATCGGATATGTTGTTCCAGCACATCCCACAGATGTTTAACCAGATTGCGATCTGAGGAATTTGGAGGCCAAAGCAACACCTTAAACTCTTTGTCATGTTCCTCAAACCATTCCTGAATTTTTTTTTTCCACCGTGGCAGGGTGCATTGTCCTGGTGAAAGAGGCCACAGCCATCAGTGAACACCGTTACCATGAAGAGGTGTATCTGGTCTGCAACAATCTCTAGGTAGGTGGTACGTGTCAGAGTAACATCCACATGAATACCAGGACCCAAGGTTTCCCAGCAGAACATTGCCCAGAGCATAACACTGCCTCCTTTGGTCTGCCTTCTTACCATATTGCGTTCTACTACCATCTCTTTCCCAGGTAAACAACGCACACGCAAATGTCCATCACCTGATCTAAAGAAAATGTGATTCATCAGACCAGAGAACCATTTTCCATTGCTCCATGGTTCAGTTCTGATGCTTACGTCCCCATTGAAGGCACTTTGGGCAGAGGACATGGGTCACCAAGGGCACTCTGATCAGTCTGCGGCTACACAGCCCCATACGCAGCAAACTGCTAATGAATTGCATAAGCCTGTCACAATGCCAATGGATCCCATTTGTGGCAGGTCCTATCCTAGTAACCTAATGTGAGTCCCTGTGAGATGAATCCACTTACATTGTATACATATATTAGGGGGTCTGCCTTGACGTTGGCAGGCGGGCATTCCCTCCAATGGCCATTGGAGCAACTAAATGACCTCCATTTGTCTAAATATACATAGGGATTAAGGAAAGAGCACAGGTAACTTTTTCTTTTCTTTGGTTTTTAATACATATATTAGTGACAGGAAATAAATACTTATCAGGAGAACAATTCAAGCTGACATTTCCATTATCAAACCTGATTTATATTAAATTATTGTGATTTTTTTTTTCTTACCCCTGATATTCAGTGTGTTTATTGTGCTCATTGATCCCATAGAGATAGCAATGTCATACTTTGCATTTAACGGAGTGTGTTGGATAGATCTATAAAACGCGTGTTCTTTGCTAGCGTTTTCAATTATACTTTGGAGCGGAAATGGCAGAAGTGTCGCAGGAAATCCCCTTCCCTTTCCAAAGTGGCCAATACTTTCTGCTTTATACACAGAGGAAGCAATTAATTGGACTAGAAAGGAAAGCAGTTCTGCATCCTGCTGATGTACATACAATAGAAATCGCACTTCGATTCACAATGTGTGTCAATACAGTGACAGATAATAACTGGGAGTCTGTTTCCCATTGTCCTTGCTAGACCGCAAAAATGCCAAAACTTATCTAAAGATATGATATAGGTCCCATCGATCCCACCATCGATCAGAGAAACTATCTGAGACACTCAAGGTTCCACATGTTGAGCCCTAAAGGAGAGAACACGGCTCTTTGGTCAACATACGCCCACAACCAGGCTGGTAATATAGAGTAGCAGCACATCCCTCATGGACCACACATGCCCTGCCACCTTTGCCCATTATTGAGCGGTGGTAACCTAATTATAAAGGTTGCTTTTAGTTGGCGCTTTCCCTTAGCGTGGAATATTCTAGATTAATTAATGTCCTTGTCTTGTGGAATAAAATCAGATATATTTAAAGTACTATTTAGTATTGATTGATAAGACCGTTATATATATTATAAACACACCAAAACATAGTGCAAAGTAAACATTTGTAAACCCTTCGTAATTCATTTCAGTTGTTAATTCGATAGTGTCCAGAGCTTCTTGAAGAATTTTTGCCTAAAAATACATGTTTAAAATCCAACTTTCCAATTTATCCCAAAGGTGCTCTAGGAGAAGGGGTACCAAGGAATTTGTGGACCCCCTGATATATTCATGGAACAGGCTGGAGATGTGCAGTAAATTAAAGGGTTACTCCAAGTACCATGACCACTTCAGTGGCTGCTGCACAATAAGCGTTTATGGTGCCTGGAGTCTATATGCGCAAGGTTTCGCTTTGAAACGCTACATGTACAGATTTGAAACCCTTCCCTCCAACCTCTGGCAATGTGAGGGATGGGATTACGAAAACCCAAACCGTTTTAATGTATGTATTGTTACCCTGTTGGTATCATCCATTTAAAAATAGCCAGTCTATCCCAAATGAATATGTAAAATAATAGATAAAATTGGTATCCTGTAAAACCTTTTTTATTGGACTAACAGAATTTTTTAATGACAAGCTTCTGGGAGAACCTCCCTTTCTGAATTTATCACGCTACTCGCTACAAGACGCAGAACGTCCGTGCGTGCCCACACAAAGATCGAGTTCCAGGAAGGATTCCGTACTGTGCTGACTGCCCGAGGTCCACAAGTGCTAGCTGCGAGTCGGAAGGGATGGAGGACACACAGAGGAAGTACACCAGATGGAATAGAGATTGTTAAATCTTGTTTTTCTGTTATCAATAAAGGATACATTTCATCGAATTGCCATCCTGCCTGTTACATTGAGGACATCTGACCTGTACAAGTTAGAGCAGACTTGAACTGCTCTCCTTTTGTGAGTTGATAGATTCTCCTGCTGTTTATATACACATGTATCACAGAGTTACACTATTATTGTTTTTTTTTACCTTTACGTACTGATTTGTACTACCTGTACCGGGGAAGGTATACTAAAAGTTCCATTCCCAAGTAAAACAGAGTATAAGCTTATCACTAAGGCAACTGGTTTGTATTTACACCAAACTTGGAGATATTTAAATGTATTATACTGCTTATGGCCCAATATAGTGCACTTTAAATTGCACTTTCACTGTACTGTGTTGCACACTTAAAAATATTTTAAAGATATAGCGCACCTTTTTTTATATACATTTCAATACTAGGTGTTGTTTGAACTATTTCACTTTTAACTCCTTAAGGACCAAACTTCTGGAATAAAAGGGAATCATGACATGTCACACATGTCATGTGTCCTTAAGGGGTTAAAGGTGCAGCTTTTCTTTAGAATATCGTAACCCTGTATAAGGGCTTTTTTATTCACTAAACTTAATAGATTTTTTTTTTTATAGCTCCATTTTTACTTGATTGCGTATTTTATCATATTCGAGCAAAGACCACACCTGGAATTCAAAGTTGAGTTGTGATACCAGATGACTGTGAGAGTTGTGGAGCTGAAACACGCAAAAGAGAGGCCTAGCAGAGCAGATTACCCACACTCTGCCCACAATAAATCCTCGTAAAACAAAAATGCATTGGGCCTTCCCAAATATAGCAACCCACTATTACCTCAAAACACCTTATCTCTTCAAAAACTGAATAAGCCAACTCAAAATAATGGGGGGGGGGGATAAATAAACCTAACTAATAGAACGGGGGTCTTAAAATGATACAGCTCTAGGTAGGCGTGCTAAAACTACAGAAGGCTGGAAGTAAACGTTACACTGTCTCTGCCTCAGAACCCACCATTTGCTACTGAAACAAATACAAACATGGATACAGAGAAACTAATAAAGGTACGGTATAACTAAATCAGATACAACATGAGTCGGTCACCGGTTTGGTAATCCGCAATAAACTGCTCATTGTTGGCATGTATAATAATCAAATACGCATAAACCTTCTTCCGGGGTCCTGTTGGGCAGAGCCTGAATGGGGCTGACTGAGAGAACCCATAACCCTTGCTCCTACTTCATTATAAAAACTGGAGTCTATAAATTATAGCACACAGAATTTATTATATAGAAATATGCTGACAGATGACGCACGGTATCCAGAGTCTGTATTCAGAATGTTTCTTGCTTGTAACCTCTTAAACCATGTGACAATACGCAAACTATGTTCACAAACCACAATGCCTGTATGACTACATATGAAACCGAGATGGCTGCACTCCCCTGAACATGCATACATTATAAGGTGCTGCTGGGGCCGTTCATACAACATACACGATCCCACGCATGCACTCACTGAACACCATCTTCAGCGCTCACAGAATTCGCCTTTCTTAGCTCAATCTTTTATGACAGACACCGGGTGAATTCAGGGATCCATGCTGGTTCCACCAAATTCTGACAGTACAGTTGGAAGGTGTAGAAACTCAGAGTTTCTTTAGGCCAGCAATGGTTCCTAAACATGAGATAGATAATATCTTCTTTCTCATGTCTACCATTTTGTTATAGCTATTACTTGATGGTTGGATATCTGGTTAACAAGTGTACTTATCCAATGCAGAGAAATACTATTTTACAAAGATGTGTAACATGTCAATATGAAATGCTATAATTTGCTTTAGAAATTCATGAACACTCAGTATGTGACTGGTCCTCACAAACACAATTTCTGCCATGCTGTTATAGCTTACAAGCAGTCCCAATTAAATACAACACTGTGGACTTAAAGGTGCACTTTAAAAAACAAAACAAACATATATATAATTTATTTTTTTAATAAAATGTGTTCCTATCTTGGGGACACAAGGTGGATGAACCACAATCTCCAAGATTTACAATCCATTTGCTTCTCTGTGAGAAGGTTTGGACGCATAGATTTGGCGTCGGGTCGGCGTACTTTGCATGCTGATAATGGACGTCAAATTGATTCAATTAAATAATCTTTCTGTCTGTACTCCTTAGTAGCTGTCTGTCTGTCTCATATCTCCTAGTAGGCCTGGGAATCGCAGAATGAAAACCATGCTGTTTTCAAATGCAAGGCTGTGTGGGCAGTATCTATCTATAACCAAATCACTTTACTAAATGTAAATATTATTAGTGCTCAGTGTCCCTTTAAGCGAAGTTTGACACCCTTATGTTGTCTTTAAATGATCTCACTAATCATTTCCTGTTCACAAAGCATTATCACATTTAAAGGGACACTATAGGCACCATAACAACTTTATATTAATGAAGCAGCTATAGAGTATAGATCATGCAGTCTCACAGAGTCCCTTTAATGTCATGGTGTGACTAGAGTGGGACATTCTCAGACTTCCTGTACCGAATAAACCAGCTCATAAAACATTACATAGCTGGTTTAGTGAAGGGGTTAACTCTGGGAGTTCCAGGCTGAGGGTGAAGGGGTTAACTCTGCCAGGCAGAGGGTGAAGGGGTTAACTCTGGGAGCTCCAGGCTGGTGGTGAAGGGGATAACTCTGCCAGGCAGAGGGTGAAGGGGTTAACTCTGGGAGCTCCAGGCTGGTGGTGAAGGGGTTAACTCTGGGAGCTCCAGGCTGGTGGTGGTGAAGGGGTTAACTCTGGGAGCTCCAGGCTGCTGGTGGTGAAGGGGTTAACTCTGGGAGCTCCAGGCTGGTGGTGGTGAAGGGGTTAACTCTGGGAGCTCCATGCTGCTGGTGGTGAAGGGGTTAACTCTGGGAGTTCCAGGCTGGTGGTGAAAGGGTTAACTCTGGGAGTTTCAGGCTGGTGGGGGTGAAGGGGTTAACTCTGGGAGCTCCAGGCTGGTGGGGGTGAAGGGGTTAACTCTGGGAGTTCCAGGCTGGTGGGGGTGAAGGGGTTAACTCTGGGAGCTCCATGCTGGTGGTGGTGAAGGGGTTAACTGTGGGAGCTCCAGGCTGGTGGTGAAGGGGTTAACTCTGGGAGCTCCAGGCTGTGGTGGGCTAACTCTGGGAGTTCCAGGCTGGTGGGGTGAAGGGGTTAACTCTGGGAGCTCCAGGCTGGTGGTGGTGAAGGGGTTAACTCTGGGAGCTCGAGGCTGGTGGTGAAGGGGATAACTCTGCCAGGCAGAGGGTGAAGGGGTTAACTCTGGGAGCTCCAGGCTGGTGGTGGTGAAGGGGTTAACTCTGGGAGCTCCATGCTGCTGGTGGTGAAGGGGTTAACTCTGGGAGTTCCAGGCTGGTGGTGAAGGGGTTAACTCTGGGAGCTCCATGCTGGTGGGGGTGAAGGGGGTGAAGTGGTTAACTCTGGGAGCTCCAGGCTGGTGGGGGTGAAGGGGTTAACTCTGGGAGTTCCATGCTGGTGGTGGTGAAGGGATTAACTCTGGGAGTTCCAGGCTGGTGGGGGTGAAGGGGTTAACTCTGGGAGTTCCATGCTGGTGGTGGTGAAGGGGTTAACTCTGGGAGTTCCAGGCTGGTGGTGAAAGGGTTAACTCTGGGAGTTCCAGGCTGGTGGGGGTGAAGGGCTAACTCTGGGAGCTCCAGGCTGGTGGTGGTGAAGGGGTTAACTCTGGGAGCTCCAGGCTGGTGGTGAAGGGGATAACTCTGCCAGGCAGAGGGTGAAGGGGTTAACTCTGGGAGCTCCAGGCTGGTGGTGGTGAAGGGGTTAACTCTGGGAGCTCCATGCTGCTGGTGGTGAAGGGGTTAACTCTGGGAGTTCCAGGCTGGTGGTGAAAGGGTTAACTCTGGGAGTTTCAGGCTGGTGGGGGTGAAGGGGTTAACTCTGGGAGCTCCAGGCTGGTGGGGGTGAAGGGGTTAACTCTGGGAGTTCCAGGCTGGTGGGGGTGAAGGGGTTAACTCTGGGAGCTCCATGCTGGTGGTGGTGAAGGGGTTAACTGTGGGAGCTCCAGGCTGGTGGTGAAGGGGCAAGCTAACTCCTGGGAGCCCAGCTGGGGTGAAGGGGTTAACTCTGGGAGTTCCAGGCTGGTGGGGGTGAAGGGGTTAACTCTGGGAGCTCCAGGCTGGTGGTGGTGAAGGGGTTAACTCTGGGAGCTCCAGGCTGGTGGTGAAGGGGATAACTCTGCCAGGCAGAGGGTGAAGGGGTTAACTCTGGGAGCTCCAGGCTGGTGGTGGTGAAGGGGTTAACTCTGGGAGCTCCATGCTGCTGGTGGTGAAGGGGTTAACTCTGGGAGCTCCAGGCTGGTGGTGGTGAAGGGGTTAACTCTGGGAGCTCCGGCTGCTGGTGGCAGAAGGGGCTAACTCTGGGAGTTCCAGGCTGGTGGTGAAAGGGTTAACTCTGGGAGTTTCAGGCTGGTGTGGGGGTGAAGGGGTTAACCTGGGAGCCCAGGCTGGTGGGGGGTGAAGTGGGGTTAACCTGGGAGTTCCAGGCTGGTGGGGGTGAAGGGTTAACCTGGGAGCTCCATGCTGGTGGTGGTGGAAGGGGTTAACTCCTGGGAGCCCAGGCTGCTGGTGGTGAAGGGGTTAACCTGGGAGCCCATGCCAAGTGCAGGAAGGGGTTAACTCTGGGAGCTCCAGTCTGGTGGTGGTGAAGGGGCTAACCCTGGGAGCTCCATGCTGGTGGGGGTGAAGGGGTTAACTCTGGGAGTTCCAGGCTGGTGGGGGTGAAGGGGTTAACTCTGGGAGCTCCAGTCTGGTGGTGGTGAAGGGGTTAACTCTGGGAGCTCCATGCTGGTGGTGGTGAAGGGGTTAACTCTGGGAGCTCCAGGCTGGTGGGGGTGAAGGGGTTAACTCTGGGAGCTCCAGGCTGGTGGAGGTGAAGGGGTTAACTCTGGGAGCTCCAGGCTGGGGGTGAAGGGGTTAACTCTGGGAGCTCCAGGCTGGGGGTGAAGGGGTTAACTCTGGGAGCTCCAGGCTGCTGGTGGTGAAGGGGTTAACTCTGGGAGCTCCAGGCTGGGGGTGAAGGGGTTAACTCTGGGAGCTCCAGGCTGGTTTGGTAGTGACGTCACGGCGGCGTTCCTGAGCCGCGCGCCCCTGTTGGAGCGTGTCGGGGTCGCGCACGGAGCGGCGGGGTCGCGCACAGGGAGGCGGACGTTCACGCAGACACAGCCGGCTGGCCGGGCGGGAGCGGGATCTATCGGTCGGTGTACCGGGAGTGCGGGAGCCGCATGGCAGCCTGGGAGAGACGGTGAGCTCGCCACATGTACTAACACTGCGATAACAGCTCGCTCCCAGCCTGCAGGACTACAACTCCCAGCATGCTCTGCCACCAGCAAGCCTGGCCGGGCATCATGGGAGTTATAGTCCTACAGCAGCCAGGGAGATCAAACTATCAGTCAGAAACCTCAAATCTAATCAATGTAATACTGTGTGTAATATGGTGTGTAATATGGCTATACGGTGTGTAATACGGTGTGTAATATGGATATACGGTGTGTAATACGGTGTGTAATATGGATATACGGTGTGTAATACGGTGTGTAATATGGCTATACGGTGTGTAATATGGCTATACGGTGTGTAATACGGTGTGTAATATGGCTATACGGTGTGTAATACGGTGTGTAATATGGATATACGGTGTGTAATACGGTGTGTAATATGGATATACGGTGTGTAATATGGCTATACGGTGTGTAATACGGTGTGTAATATGGCTATACGGTGTGTAATATGGATATACGGTGTGTAATATGGATATACGGTGTGTAATATGGATATACGGTGTGTAATATGGATATACGGTGTGTAATATGGCTATACGGTGTGTAATATGGCTATACGGTGTGTAATACGGTGTGTAATATGGATATACGGTGTGTAATATGGATACACGGTGTGTAATATGGATATACCATGTGTAATATGGCTATACGGTGTGTAATACGGTGTGTAATATGGATACACGGTGTGTAATATGGATACACGGTGTGTAATATGGATACACGGTGTGTAATATGGATATACATGGGAGTTATAGTCGTACAGCACCCCGGGAGATCAAACTATCAATCAGAAACCTCAAATCTAATCAATGTACCTGTGTGTAATACGGTGTGTAATACTGTGTGTAATATGGTGTGTAATATGGCTATACCGTGTGTAATATGGATATACAGTGTATAATACGGTGTGTAATATGGCTATACCGTGTGTAATACAGTGTGTAATATGGATATACAGTGTATAATACAGTGTGTAATATGGCTATACCGTGTGTAATATGGCTATACCGTGTGTAATATGGCTATACCGTGTGTAATATGGCTATACCGTGTGTAATATGGCTATACCGTGTGTAATATGGCTATACGGTGTGTAATATAATATGGATATACGGTGTGTAATACTGTGTGTAATATGGATATACGGTGTGTAATACTGTGTGTAATATGGATATACGGTGTGTAATATGGATATACGGTGTGTAATATGGATATACGGTGTGTAATATGGATATACGGTGTGTAATACGGTGTGTAATATGGATATACGGTGTGTAATACGGTGTGTAATATGGATATACGGTGTGTAATATGGATATACGGTGTGTAATATGGATATACGGTGTGTAATATGGATATACGGTGTGTAATACGGTGTGTAATACGGATATACTGTGTGTAATACGGTGTGTAATACGGTGTGTAATACGGATATACTGTGTGTAATACGGTGTGTAATACAGTGTGTAATACGGATATACCGTGTGTAATACGGTGTGTAATATGGCTATACGGTGTGTAATATGGCTATACGGTGTGTAATATGGATATACATGGGAGTTATAGTCCTACAGCACCCTGGGAGATCAAACTATCAATCAGAAACCTCAAATCTAATCAATGTACCTGTGTGTAATACTGTGTGTAATACGGTGTGTAATATGGTGTGTAATATGGCTATACCGTGTGTAATACAGTGTGTAATATGGATATACAGTGTATAATACGGTGTGTAATATGGCTATACCGTGTGTAATATGGCTATACCGTGTGTAATACAGGGTGTAATATGGCTATACGGTGTGTAATATGGCTATACGGTGTGTAATCTATACGGTGTGTAATATGGCTATACGGTGTATAATACGGTGTGTAATATGGATATACGGTGTGTAATATGGATATACGGTGTGTAATATGGATATACGGTGTGTAATATGGATATACGGTGTGTAATATGGATATACGGTGTGTAATATGGATATACGGTGTGTAATATGGATATACGGTGTGTAATATGGATATACGGTGTGTAATATGGATATACGGTGTGTAATACGGATATACGGTGTGTAATATGGATATACCGTGTGTAATATGGATATACATGGGAGTTATAGTCCTACAGCAGCCAGGGAGATCAAACTATCAATCAGAAACCTCAAATCTAATCAATGTACCTGTGTGTAATACGGTGTGTAATATGGCTATACCGTGTGTAATACAGTGTGTAATATGGCTATACCGTGTGTAATACAGTGTGTAATATGGCTATACCGTGTGTAATACAGTGTGTAATATGGCTATACAGTGTGTAATACAGTGTGTAATATGGATATACAGTGTATAATACAGTGTGTAATATGGATATACAGTGTATAATACAGTGTGTAATATGGATATACAGTGTATAATACAGTGTGTAATATGGATATACAGTGTATAATACAGTGTGTAATATGGCTATACGGTGTGTAATATGGCTATACCGTGTGTAATACAGTGTGTAATATGGATATACGGTGTGTAATATGGCTATACCGTGTGTAATACAGTGTGTAATATGGATATACGGTGTATAATATGGCTATACCGTGTGTAATACAGTGTGTAATATGGATATACAGTGTATAATACGGTGTGTAATATGGCTATACGGTGTGTAATACAGTGTGTAATATGGCTATACGGTGTGTAATATGGCTATACCGTGTGTAATACAGTGTGTAATATGGCTGTACCGTGTGTAATATGGCTGTACCGTGTGTAATATGGCTATACGGTGTGTAATATGGATATACAGTGTATAATACGGTGTGTAATATGGATATACGGTGTGTAATATGGATATACGGTGTGTAATACGGTGTGTAATATGGATACACGGTGTGTAATATGGATACACGGTGTGTAATATGGATACACGGTGTGTAATACGGTGTGTATTATGTATACAGGGTGTATAATAGGCTGTGATATTCTATATTGGTGAATTGTTCTATATATGGATACATGCTGTAGGTACATTATTGTGGCTGAGATTTGTCTCCCCTGCTGCTGTTGGTAAATCACACCAGGTTATACTGTGCTCCTTGTGTAGGCCTGGCCTGTCTGTTCACTAAATATCATTACTTAAAGCATTAATCATCTCCCCACCATGGAGAAATGTTGGAGAGAGTCGGCACCAAACTTACTGTGAGCATTGTATTCCCTGAGAGCTGCTTTATGTTCTATACATGGAACACAGTCTATGGGAGAATTAGCTCTGTGTTCCCCTGGGGGTACCTATAATCAATACATCATGCATGGCAGCAATAGGGAAATAGAGCCCAGCACTATGCACGTCTATAGCTGGCTCCGATGGACTCTATTAACCTGCTCTGCAAACTATTCAAATGACATTATTTGTTCTTAAATGGTTGACTTGTGTGCTTTTTTATTTGTGTTTGATTTTAATTTGCCTTTCATTGTTTTTATTTGTAATATTCTTTTTATCCTTGCCGTTCTTTACATTGTACTTTTTTTTTTTTTATTGTGTATTTTGTTGGCCCTGGGGTTAGTTTTGTCTTACTTTGAGACATTATGTAGTGTCTACAGCTACACCTGTGTTTTTGTTTTGGTCAAAGACATAACTATTTGTTAAATCTATCTACCCAAACGTGCTGTGCAATGTGGGTGAAATCTGCCATTTCCTTTCGGTATGTTTTGAATTTTATGCGTGTGTTCACCTACTTTGAGTAAGATTTTGAACAAATGTCTTTTTGCGTGAAAACGTATGTAGTGTGCAAGAACTGTGTGAGCGATGTGGAATTTGCCAATGACAAATGAAAACACTGATATATAACACACGTTTAATAAGACCGTATGCATCTTTATATCAGCTGCCTGGTAATTTGGGACTGTTCATTTTCTCAACCTGTCAAAAAATCTCTTTATTTAACACTGATCGAATATTATTGTTGCATTTCCACACCAAGCTGTGTGTATAACTTTTCTTACATTTGGGGTAAAATGTGTTCCAAGCGATATGTTGCTTACAAAATTGTTTCTATTTACAAGTTGTCCTATGATGCATTATCCAATCAATACACATCACGAATCTCCACATTGTGACTTTAAATAACGCCCCTTATTATAGGTTCTTAAACCCCAACCAAAGCCATGTTGCTTTTTCGGGGATTTTTATAATATTGAAAATGCAAAAATAGGTAAGTTGGGAATTTTTTATTTTATTTTTTCTTCCAATTTTGCTTATTTTTGCCTACAATTGCAAATCCATTTTCAGTTGTTAAAATTCATTGCTTAGTTAAGAAATGGCAATAAATACTGATCCCATCATTGGATTGCTTTATAATCTCCGTGATATTCCCAGCGTACACCGGGCAGGAAAAACAGAATGTGCATGATTGTTTTTAAATTTAGATTATAATACAGTAAGAGAGACCACAGGCACACCAGGACATAGCATTAGGAGGCTAATATATCGATTCCCTGAAGCCACTGTCCCATAAAAATGTTGACTGATGGGGTAGAAAACCACATGTATAGATTACGTGGAATTTCCAGGATTCCAATGATTAACACTACATTTTATTTTTATTTTTCTTGACCTCGTGTTCTTTTGTGTCTATAATATATATAATTGGACTTCATATTTAGCTTTTTTTATTGCCTTTATAATAGATTTTCTGTTGTCTATAAACCTAGCTTATTGTAGACTATGTAATGTGTAATAGATTCACCTTTCCATTTTATAGTTTATGTAATTCTATGTAAAAGCCTAGCTTATTTTGGCCTGTATACGTACAATCGTTAGTTCAGTTTGTTTACCTCTTTCTCTCACTGTAATAGTATCTCTATGCTTAGCTCACTATAGCTTATGTAAAATGCATTATGTTTATATTGCTGTAAAATTAATCAATTCCCTGTACATGAAGTGTGCCGTCTATTTTACTAAACCCCATGTCATACGGCCAGGTGACTTTTTCAAAATGTAGCCGCTACAATGATGGTCCATTAAATCCACAGTTTTGTTTTCATCTATTTTGGCCCAGAATATTTTGAAGTTTGGTTGTCTGGTAAACCTAGTTTAATTGTTTTATATTTTTGAGGGGGGCACTTTTTGGATGCTGGCGTACCGTATATTATGACCCTTTCAGGACAAAAATATATTGATCTCAAATACAAAAAAAAAGTCCTGCGCTCAAACTCCCATTACTCCTGGGCGGAGTGTATTTGTATTCACTTCTGTATCTCACAGCTATGTTATAATGCTGCTGCCCATCCCATGTGTTCCCTGTTAAGGGTTATTAAGCATGTAGGGGTTTACATAAAAAAAAAATACCCCTTTCTGTCTCATTAGAGATATCTTTGCCAGAAGCTCAAGGAAGCAAGGTGAATGGTTAGTTAGGACCCACCTAAGAGGTCTGCCTTGACGTGGCAGGTGGGCATACCCTCTCACGGCCATTGGAGGTAACAAAAAACTAAATTTATTTAAATATACATAGGGATTTGGGAAAGAGCGCAGGTTTTTTTTTTTTTTTCCTTTGGTTTTTACTGTATATATTGATCTCAGTCAGGACATGAGTGAACGATTATTTGCCATTCCCAAAATGATAGAGGAAAGTTTGAAGGATGGTATGGCAACGTTGGTCTGGATCCAATTTTGTCCCTCTGGCTACCATAACTGGCTTGTAACGCTGGTATATCACGGACTGTGTGCCAGTGATACACACTGCTTCTATCATTCTGACATCATTCCTGTGTGGAATTATCAGTGGGAAACTAAAACCACTGTTTGCATATCTCTCTATACCAATAGATATCTGCACTGCCTCCCGTTTATTCATATTGCTATTTATAGGGTGTCAAATCAAACCCCGTATGGCCCGAAACTGGCTCAAATCATGCCGTCTGTCACTTGTCACACATTTTCACTTTCATCCAGTGCAAGTTATTACCGATGGGGAACTAGATTTTTTTTTTTTTTCCTGTCTTTCCTACATGGTCGTATAATAGACCACAGGACACTTTCACTTGCAGACTATTGCTCTGTAGAAAACCACAAGACTATTTGGTTATCACTGACACGAGGAACCCCCAACTGAGAATGAAACCTTGTAGAGTTTCAACATTGTGTTATTTAGGAAGAACTTCCTCAATTTTAGTACAGTATAATATCTGTGGTTGTGTAGTCTTATTTATTTGAATTCTCTATCATTTCTTTTTAAACTAGGTAACACTGCTCTGCTTGTTTAAAGCACTGTTGGAGAATAAGCTGCGCATGCATGAGAATGGAATTTCTGTTAGATTCCCTAGTGTGTGCACACCAGGTATTGTACTGCGCTACGGAATTTGCTGGCGCTATATAAAAAAAATAATGTCCTGGAGTGGAAGTCGCCACAACCAGGAAGTGTAGGGGTGTTCAGTTTTTTTTAAATGACCTCCCCTGCATTATCCACCCCAGTACACCCTGTAATAAAGGGGCCGTGCCTCTCTGGAAGTGACAGCTTCTTTTTAATCATGAATTGAGCAGCATTGGTGCTTAAATTGCATGTTTTTAGGAAACCCCAACACAGCTGGAAATTTAGAAGTTTTATTTATTATTATTATTATTATTATATTCCCTTTTCCATTCTCCCATATCTTTTATCCTTGGTTATCTCCAGCTCCCCATTTTCTTTTTTTAAAGATTCCGTTTTAGGTTTAATTGTCCATTCCTTCCTTTTGCTTAAATGTCGCTGACCCAGCCACCAGCCATACCTCCTATATCCGTCTCCTTTACTCCATTTCTGTACCCGATCTCCTTCGTATCGGTGCAGGTCCAGCTCCTCCCGTTATTCCATCCCCTTGTATCTGCAGTGTCACTGGTGGTCCCTGCTTTCTATCTAGTTAAGCCACTATATGAGCTTTATATACCATCGTACACCGCTACAGAGTTTGCTGGCGCAATATAAATAGTAAAATAATATATGTTCTAATATTAATACTGGGGGTGGTGATGATACCACGTGCCATTAAATGGACACTGTAGGCCCTGTACCTTCTTTATCTCATTGAAGTGGTTATAGTGTCTAGAGTCTCCTGGTGCTGTCCTTACATTCAGCGTTTAAACAGTTTGTAATGTTTTAATTCTAACCGAGAATCCCCAGCATGCCATTCTCTCTGTGCTGCTGGATTAATGAGGAAGCATTAGCCCGAGCAGCAAATGGCGGCTGTGATTGGCTAAGAGTGTCAGGTGACTGCTTTCAGCCAATCACAAGGCCCATTGTCGGTATGAATGGGTACGGCTTTAAGGAAGTGTGTAATCTCTACCTTAGTAGCCCCTCTAGTAGGATTGTGGCCAGGGACTTTTATTTAGTGGCACTATGCCAGGAGTGGGCAACCTTCGGCACTCCAGGTTTTGTGCATGACATCTCTCATAATGCTCTTACACCCATAATGCTGGCAAAGCATCAAGGGAGATGTAGTCCACAACATCTGGAGTGCCGAAGGTTGCCTTCCCCCTGCACTATATTGTCATGTCGCCTACACTGTCTCTTTAAGCATTTTAGCATGCCGTGTGCTCCCAGACTGATAGGCTGACCCTGAGCACCACCTCAGAGAGCAGGAAATGGCTTCTGTGGATTAGAAGCCGGGATCTGCTCTATCTCCTATATTTTGCTATGGAAGGATGTGCATGTATTCTGATAAGGATTGATGGGGGCAGGGGAATGGGGCTAAGGTGTTACAAAAATGCAGAGCAGCTCCCAGCCTTTTTCCATGAAGTAAAACCTTGTTGATATTTCACACCCAACACGCACCCCGGGGCCATTCTAGGCACGCTGCGCAATGCACTTTTAGTTTTGTTCGCCTGATGCCTCATTCTGGATTGCTAACATTTTATTTCTCATTCCTGAGTAAGCAGGAAAGGGCTTAACGTGACAAAAATATCTCCTGACGGCAAAGACAGTGTAACGAAACATGTACGGCTGCAACACTTTCCTTTTCCCACTGTTCTTCGGGTTTAACTCCGTTTCAGGTGTTCACCAGCGTGTGACTTGTAATCTTTCTGTAGCAGAATTGTTGGGAATTCAAAGTAAATTTTACATTTTATAAACCTGTCACATTGTCACTGTCCCAGGGTTATTCACTATGGTGAGAACTTGGCAAATGCTTTCAGTTTCATTACTTAAATGTTAAATTCACTTTGAATTCTCACTCTAGTAAATAACCCTGTTAGGTTCTTTGTGCTGTTGGGCAGCTCATGAAAAGCTGTGACCAGCAACTCCAAACATTCCATGGCTTTAATAACATCCAGATCAGTTTGGACACTATAGTCCGTTTAGTGTAGTGGTTTTAGTGTCTAAAGCCAGTCCCTTTCAGAGAAAAGGCAGTGTGTTTATATTGCAGACCACTAACCCTTTTAGTTGCAGTCACTCAGACGGCCACTAGAGGTGCTTTCTGTGTCAGTACTGTATCATACATTCAATTTATCTCTATGAGGAGAGGCTGATTGGCGTAGCGTTTTGCCACGCATGCACAATAGCCTCCCAAGATTGACAATCTCTGTCATAAAGGCAGGACTATCTTTGGTAGGACCAGTGTATTGTGGGAAAAAAGTGTTAGAAACTCCTTTCCTAAGCGATCTAAAAGAGGGGGGGGGGGTGGATGCAGGGGACCTAAAGAGTTGGTTAAATACCTGTATTCCTGAAACTATAGTTTGTTCTGCTTGTCTATTTGTTTTTATTAGATTACACTATACTGCATAGCATTTACAAGTTAACATATAACTCTTCATAACAGCCTTTTAAAAATAAAATGCATTATTAACTTGTTTGTAGGCTGCAGGAGGTAAATTTAGTCTCTTTAAATTTCATCCTTTATTTAAACTCATCCAATCCTGAAGCACATGAATGCTGCATACTACAGAGCAGCTCTCTTTATTTGCACCAATCTGCGTGTAGACGTGATGTATGTGGTGGATCTGGCTCCGATATATCCAAAGAAACCGTGACCTTTTTGCTCTGGACGTTACCTGATGATCAAAATAGATGAATTCTCAGAATTAATTACTCAAATTGGTTAAATTGTCAACTTGGCTATCTTGGGCTAATTATTACAATTTGTGTTTATATCGTTCATTTGCCATAGTTTGCACATTTGTCCAGAAGTTGCTATAGAGTCGAAAAGCCAGATTCTTGTTCAGAGATAAGTTTATCTTGGATAATTAAATAGTAATTTACCTATTGTATTCTATGGGAAAATTGCTTTTTAATTTCGAAAGATTAACTTATCTCTGATCACCGAATCCAGTCCTGTCAGTGACTGGTAAAAAAAAAAAAAAGGCAGTAATTATACGCTTCTTTCATGGATTCTGTGTGACATAACGACAGATTCTGCCTGTGCCGTAGACATGCAATGACCGATTTATTATGGACTGTAGAGGTTACTTGGGGAATAAATGAATTGGGGGGGGCGATTACATCTTTTTAGGTTTTAAGATCTACTCTTGTAGAATTCCTGCTTTTGAACAGTTGCCTGCTATTTGGGGTCCATGGTGCTTTCTAGGGGCATTGCATGTAAAGTGTTACCCTAAGACTTTTTGTTTTGCTCAAGCATTCATGGCATGCTCTGGGGGTTCGTTTACAAACCAAGGCAAGTCAGTAGTGCAAAACTGTAACTTTAATATTACCAGTGCAGTTGCAGAGAGGTCCAATACAGTTTGGCTGTAGCAGTTATGGTGATTTTTTTTTTTTGTGTGATTGGTCTCCAAGCCATAGGTTTACAGAGAATCTGTAATTTACTAAAAAAGTTGATTAATGCACCTTTGTGGTGGTGTTGACCCAGTATATACTGTACTGGTATATTTTTCAGCAAATAGTTATAAAAGATATTTTTACCCACAAATCACGAACTCTGCTTCAAGGTTTCATCCCGGGTTGCTTGGGGCAGTTAAAAGCACAACTTCCCCAACCCCACGGGACACGTATGTTATTCCACGATTCGTGACACTAGGCGTCCCAAGTTAGAACTTTTATAGTATTCCTGTAGCTATTGGGGACGTCTCATCTAGATATTTCCGTACACACTTTTCCTCTGGCAGGGGACCTTACAAACTGCTCACTTTTTGTTAAGAGTGCTTAATCATGTGTCCTAAAACTGATATTATGGCTAATACTGTGTTTTAAACTAAAACAATGATTTAGTATTATGGTGAAATTAGGGGAGATGTCTGAAGGCAAAACCAGTTTGGTTTTGTGCCAAAGGGACTCTATAGGCACTCAAGCCATTTTATTTTAATGAAGTGGTCTGGGTGCCAACACCTCCCCTCCACCCCCCATTTTAACCCTGTAATCTGATTTGCACAGTGCCACATTGTGCCACGCATGCTCACTGGCCTCACAATGCTTTCCTATGGAAAAGCATTGGATTGTCGGAGATCGAAATCAGCAAGTAAGACCTGCAGGTGGGATTTTGGGAAATCAGTGGCCGACAGGGCACTATCGAGTTTTTGGAATTCACGTATGTATTTCCAATGCTTTTGTGTTGCTTTTAAATGTTAAAGAACATTCCATTGGTTTCCATGGTGATTGCACTTAATTTAGTAATTTTGGCTTTGCGTGTTTACAAATATCTGGGATGTCAGCGTGAGCCGTGAATAGTATATGGATGCTTGGCCTACAGAGCAGGTACCCCCTCAATCATTTGAGCGTAAATGTTATTTTTGGTATATAAGATTGTGTGCAGCCCATTCATAGAATGAGCAAGAAAGTCAGTGCTTACACATCACTTACGCAACACTTTTTTAATCTTCTAAAACCAGACTTCCAACAGTTAAAATCCAGTATGGCCGCCATGACAACCAGAACAATCTACTTGATTGGAAAAAGATTGATCCTCTTGTAAAGCACCCTCCACTGGAAACATGCGTTTGGCATGCATTAACAAAACGGCAGGTTATTTTTTCATTTAAATTTTTTTTTTTTTTAACCACAAGCTATTTTGCTGATTAAACGCTGTAGCGTTTAGAAGTTTGGCTCGTTAATGCGGCCACCAGCAATGTTATGTGAGAAGAACTGGCCTGCTCAGTGAAGTTAAAATTAGCACCAATCTATGCTCCCTGCAGGATAAATTACGCCCCTGACGTTTGTCAGCTGGTGATATCTCTGCAAATCTAAATCCTTCATTCCACTGGATGTTATTCTACGCACAGCCCATTAGCAGTTTAGCGCAGATATAACATGTTGCGTTTCGTCCTCTGTATTCCAAGATCTAAGAAGATCTATAGCATTAACCTTTCAGTGCAGTACAGAGTCAGAATACTGGCTACTATTGAAATAAAACATTATTCAGGGGCATGTCATAAAAAACGAAATCTGTCCCTGTGTTTAACTTTTACTTGGTTTAGAGCCACAGCTCATTGCTAGAGTCAGTGGCCTTTTTTTTTTTTTTTGTAAGCGACGATGCCATAATGATTTTAATCACTCTATTATATGGTGGTTCCCACTCCCCCCCTGCAATTTGCACCATTTTAATGTTTTCTTTAGCAATGGCTAGTTTTTAAAGCTCATTAAAACCTCCCTGCCCCCCACCCCCATTCTGTTTTTCTGTCTCCTAGTTTGCAGTGTTTATACAGATGTTAATGAGTCGGGGGTGGGTGCTAATTGCAGACACCATTTGGTCTGCCGCCTTGGCAGCATTGTCCCAGACAGCTAGAAATCCCACATGTTGTTGGGAGGTCCATGAATAGTGATGACCGGCAGTATGAGGGATGTTTAAATCCTGCCAGAGGAAGTAAAATCATATTGGGGTACTTTAGGGAACTGAATTGGTAATTTTTTTAATTCTTCTGGCACAGTGTTAACGTAACTTAGTACTGGGTATTATTATTTATGCACCTCCCCGCAGTCTGTGGATATTGCCAGTAGCCGTCATCCTCTGTTCGATACATAATGAGGAAGTTTCACTGTTCAGGTAAATAGGATCAGTCTGTGCCCACTCACCACTGACGTTCATTGCGCCAATAAATTGATTTAGATCTATAGAGTTAATGGCTGCTTATGTCAGAATACTACTATATGTAGCGATATTTAGGAATTAGGAAGTGGATCCTCTGTCAGCACTGAAAATGTCCATGTGCATTCTTGAAAATGGCGAGTGGTAATAGAGACTTGGCATGAAAACGCTCGATTACCTGGCACTGTGCGGCTGCTTGGTAGGAGGCAGACCAAACCCCTGATCCCAACTCAACATTTTCTTCCAGTGAGAAGTGCAGCTGCATAGACACCAGACTGTTTATTACATCCGTCATGTATTACCGCGGCGTTAAGTGACTGGAGCTGTGACGTTAGCGCTGCTTGACTTTAATCTGCACTCAGTTCAGTGTGACTTACACTAGGAACCAGGGATGGGACCCTCGTCCGCTGGGAGAGGGGCTCATATGACCCCACCACCAAAAAATAGTATAGAAGAAACTGTACTGTCATAGTAAGGTGGCCGGGGACATTTTTATAAAAGTCTGTGACTTATCACTGAACCATTCCTCCAGGTACTACTTACCAGTCCTCTTGATGTCACTTGGCCATTTGCAAGATGTGGACCAGTGACATGAGGCGGGAAAGGGCATTCAGTAACCCTTTACACACACCGACACTAACCATCACACACGCACACCGACACTCCTACATTCGCACCCATAGGACGTCCAGAAGTATGAAAAGCATAAGATATTTTAATATCTAAACCTTGCTTGATATGACATCCCGAGCACTAAAGTTGGGCTTTGTGTGCTGCGAATACTCTCCGCACAAAAACAAAACCTTTTTAAATGATGGTTCGACACAATTGGGTTTATTTGCTAAGCTGCAGTTGTGGGCTATTGCAGGACAAATGGCTGAGCTAGGAGAAAATCAGAGTAAGCTAGATTTATAACTTGGCTGTTTTTAATCCCAAACTTTAGGGGTTTCCTAGCTTTTGATGAATAAACCCCACGTATGATCAGATGGATGTCGCTATGTTAACAATGTTTAGCACATGTATAGACGGTGCAAGGACTATCCCTTTAAATAAGCACTCTTTGCTTACCAGGGGAAAGTGGGAAAAGTAAATCTCCCTCTGGTCTGTGACGGTAAACGTTAGACTGTGTCTGCGCGGTATTCTTAGCTTCCTTCCAGAGAAATGTGTTTCCAATTTGTTGTATGTTTGGTCCCAGGAGCCTTTCAGAGATGGCTTGAAATTATAAAGAATGCAAAAGGTTAGAATGCAGATGGAGCTACAAAGAAAACCGTTTAATAGTAGTTAGGGGCAAGTAGTTGGAATTGGGATTTATTACAAAATAATACGTTTTTGTGTAATTGCCCTTTAAACCGATACCTTTTAGACTGTGCTGTTTTTTCTGCTGACATTTTTGTCGAAAGGGTCAATCTCAGCAAGATTTCATCACTGTACAGAATTTGGGATATAGTTACTGTTCCCCGTCTGATAACTGTTGAGATTTGGAAAAATCACTGCATCTGTGAGCAGAATTTGTATTTTCTCCTTTGACGTCCAAGATTTGTAGAACTTGTCTTTGTGGCACGTACAGGATCAGAGAGCAGAGCCGCGATCACCTGTGTCAGGTTTAAATAAAATAAAAAAATGTATTCTTAATTTGACTTTTAGCTTCTTTTTCTTATTAGTTATGTGATACATTTAAAAAAAAAAAAAAAATGAAATTAAAAAAACATCCACGAAATGGTGCAGATCCTGCCCCCACAGCTTCCTATGGCGTTTTATTAAATCCGTGTATTCATTATAAATCTAGAACCACGTTATAAGGAGGAATAATACTTCATATAAATGCAGTTAAAAAAACACAATAAAACTGTCCTCTTAAGATCAAATATTTCTAAATTAAAAGTTAAATGCATAAAACCAGTATAAATAAAGTCCTATATATGTCAAGTCCTTTAGAATAAAAATAACGTGTTTTCATTGTCTCATACGAGTGCTCACATAAAGTTACCGAAAAAGAAGAGGGGGGAGAGAGAGAAAACAAATGATGGTGTTGGATTGTTAAAAACTTTGAGACATTTATTAAAATAGACGTAAAAGAAATGAAAAATGGACTGTCAAGTTTAAGTGCGAGATTTCCAGCATATCCAGTAATGCATCATACAATGGCTCAGAAACTCTGTTTCTCCTTGTACTGGACTCAATAGCAGGAGGAGAAGATACCCATCTGGTGCCGGTCCATTCCCTGGCTGCACTCTCCTGGCAAAGTCCAGTGTAGTGGAATGCTGTGTTTTTGGTTCTGGTGAGGTTAAAGGAACACTGTAGTGTCACGAATACAAACATATATTCCTGACACTATAGATGTAATAATATTTAGCCCCCGGCCCCCTCTCCTGCTTTTAATGTGAGTCTATTAACCTTTATCCCAGCGCCGCGCCGGTCTCCATACTTGAAGATCGAAGCCAATCCTAAAGGAAAGCATTGGGAGGCTATTGCGCATGCGCTGAAAAAAGCTGTGCTGCGCCAATCAGCATGTCCTCATAGAGATGCATTGAATCAATGCATCTCTTTGGGGAGCGTTCAGCATCTCTATACAGCGCGTGGAGACGCTGCACACTGTGATACTTTAAATGTAAGTACTGCCTTCTCTCTGAAACAGGCTATATACACCAGAACAACATTAAGCTGTAGTTGTTTTGGTGACTAGTGTCTCTTTAAAGGGAAACTATAGTGCTAGGAGAACAACGTTGTTTTCCCGGCACTGTAGCTCCCTACAGTGCCCTCTGCCTCCACATGGTGCAGAAGGGTATAAAACCCCTTCTGTCACTTACCTTAGTCCAGCGCCGATGTCGCTCAGTGCTTGGTTCCGCCTCTGCTCCTTGGTGGGGGAGACCTAATGCGCATGTGCGGCAATGGTCACACTCAAATTAGGATTCATTAGGATTTCCCCATAGGAAAGCATTATGTAATGCTTACCTATGGGGATTCAGGTGACGCTGGACATCCAGCTTCAGTTAAGCAATTAAAAGTGTCCTGGGACCTGGGAATATGCACCCAGACCACTTCAATGAGCTGAATTGGTCTGGGTGCCTTTAAAGTCTTTGCCAAATGCATTTCGCCCCTAGTGGATGACTTTCACACTGCATTGTGTGTATGTAATATGTTTGTGTATGTATATGTGTATATGTATGTATGTATATATATATATATATATATATATATATATATATATATATATATATATATATATATATATATATATATATATATATGTGTGTGTATATATATATATATATATATATATATGTATATAATGTGTGTGTATAGGGGTATATATATAATTTTATTTTTTTGCGCTCCCTGTTCTATTCATTATATTTGGTGCATGTGTGAACAAAGCTTTATAAACTTCTCTTGAAAGAAGAGTGGGGATAAGAAAAGCTCCTGTATGAATAGAAGATCGATTGACTTCCAGCAGTTTGCGTTCAATTCTGTTCTATAGCGCCAGCATACTCTGCGCTGTGCAATTGTCGAAAAGGGATATTAAGAGTTTTTTGTTAAGATTTCGGCTAAAACAAGCTCTGTCTCACATGTCGGTGGCTCTTCCCGGCAGCTTCATTTCACATGCTGTGTACAGGGAGAAAATGCTCTCACGATACAGTAATTCTGTCCAATGACATTTCCTAAATCTACTTTAATGATGATGGCGGTAATAATGTGCTGGGCCGCACAATTCTCAGGAGTCTAATTGCCATGGCTCCTGAAATCTTATTGCTGGTGTATCCATTTTGATCAGCATTTTATCGATCGCTCTGTCCCTGCGTGACTTCTAAAAAAAAAGACAAGCTGTCATCCGATCTCGTCCAGCTGTTTTACAGTATTTTACTCGATATAACTTTATCCTGCCATGATAATGCGCGAGTTGTTTGCATGAGCAGGGCTCTGGGTAACCGTGGCTTTCTGACATATCTATAGTGTGAAAACATTGGGCTTTAATATGGGAGACTGTCTCGCTTTGTGGATTCCAGGCTGATAAAACCGTGATAAACACTAGAGAAAACATGTTTTATAACCAACACAAAGATGAGTTTCTGCAGATTTTAGGAAGTCCTGTGATACCAACAAAATTTCATTGAACAAGGTGCACAGTCGCTAGTCCAGAGCAGTTTAGCAAAAAATAGTTTCACTGTTCTTGGACTAGGGGATGTACCCCTCTTTGTGTTGGGGCTGTGTCTCTGTTTGGGTGTGTAACCTTTGACCTTCATTGAAAGATTGGGGTTCTCCTGACATTCTTTCTAATGTCATTAAAACAATGTTACAGGATTACAGAGAACGTTTCTAGAGAACGATGGTTGGTACCATATGTAAACTGCAGCAACCACAAGTCACCATAACTGTGTAGGCTATGTTATGGTTAGTTACGCTGACTTTGTTTATAATAATAAAAAACCTTTATTTTATGTTTATAGTTTGCACTTAAACGCATCCTTTTTGCTGCAGCTTCCCACACTACACTGTTTTTTGGCAAAATGAAAAAATACAGCTGTGAATGTTAACTCAAGAAGTTGTTTATTAAAATGAGAATTTCAAATAGAAGGCCGGCGTGACTGGACTGACAGTATAGCTGACTTAGAGAACGGTTTCAGTTCGGCTATTTTGACTTAATTTGAGGATCCCTTTAAAGTCTCACTTTAGTAAAAAATGCAGTTAGGATTCTAGAAGTTGTAGTTCAAATGTTGGCTTTATAAAGTATCTAGATAACGGTACTACAACATCCAGAATCCTTTGCTGTGTGATAACCTCGTCAGAGCTGAAGGTCAAATGAGCACGGTTATCGGCTTAATCAATTTTGTTGAATGCAGTTTTTCTGTTTTCTCCGTGTTAGTGTGAGATATTACCTCCCCCAAATGATCTTTTAAAAAAAATAAAAATATAAATGTTTGCCAAAGAGAGAGAAAACTGTAGTGATTATGGTGCAAACAAGTTCTGGGCACTGTCGCAGTGTGACAATTCAGAGACTCTCCCCATAGCACTCAGAGATCACCCCCCTTCCTGACACTTGTATAATATGACATCTACTCTTCCATATGATCAGTTGGAATTCTTTCACCTGTGGATAGCAGTGATAGGCTATTGGCTTTGAACCTCCCGCAGTTCGCTCAGCCAGTTTTCGTCGTCGCCCATGTTGGATTTTAAAAATGTGGAAGTTAATATTTTTGACCCAGAGAAATGTACAGGGAGGTTTTTTGGAGGAAATAGCTTGGTGCGCTTGATAGATCCCTTTATATGTTTTTGTGTCTGCGCTGTACCAGTCATTGCCAGTATTATGCCACGATTTTCTCATGTATCGTCCTTTGCCTTGAAACTGGTCGAGTGGGGCACAGAGAGTGCTAGCTATACTGCCCAATATTTAAAGAGACCTTTTCAGTCGGTGTACGAATGCAAAAAAGTTAAAATGGAATTTTGATTGTATTACTTCACATTTGTCCAGGAAGTGATTACATTTCTCAGACAATCTGTAATCTAGGCAGTAGTTTTATTCCTGAAAAGAATTGCATGAAACTAATGTAGGGAACTGCAGGCTCTGTTCCTCCATAAAGTCTCTTAGATGGCAGTGGTGCATGGAGTGCCTCCTCAGTGGTTTCTGTAATTACATGGTATGTTAGATGGTAAATCACACTCAAACCTTAACATGTCTGTTTTTTATTAGATTTTCAATGTCCTCTAATAAGTATATCCAGCATGCATAATCCTTTTTAAAAAAATGTATTTATTGAATTTTTTTAACATGCCCTTCTGGAGCAGGAGTGCCCTACAGGTAGATCCCCAGATGTTGTAGAACTACATTGTAAACCAGAGCTAGCAACAAGATTTCCATCTTTTTTTTTTTTTTTCTTTTCTTGGAAACATATATTGCTTGTGGGCAAGTGGTAACAGTGGTCCAGGTTCCGATGAAGCATTGTGCTCTATTAAATGTGAGCAGTGAGATTAAAAGACCTACTAGGTCAGTTGGTTAATTGTGAGTCATATTCAAGCCTGTAAATAGGCTTCTAAAAACCGCTTCCTAAGTAAGGGAGACCCATCTTCTTATTGTCTGTCGTACTTGTGCGACTATGCATTTAGGGTTTTTGGGCCCCACTTGCTTATAGCTCAGAATGCTGTGTTAGGTATAGGTAACTAATAATACTGACCTTACTCCATACGGTAACAAACTGGTTTACTGTTCCAACGCTGCCCATTCCCTAATAAAGTATTATTACCCACCAGGTTTGGAAAGAGAAGAGGAACTCCCTGCTCAAATTAACTTATGTGACCTATATGTATTCATGAAATAAATTACCACATTTTGATGCAGTCTTAAATATATAAACAGTGGTAGCTTTGTACCCCCTGCTTAATTTGACCATCTGAAAGGAGCACGGTTTTGTCTGTGACATTCGTATCTGCTGGCATGATAAAGTTCCAACAATTTGTGTTCATTGTGTTAAACTGTAGACTAAATAAATTATTTTGTGCTCCGGATTGGCTTCCAGCTAGGGATTCCAGATTCATGACATGTGCAAAGAGTTTGGTGTTTGCTGGCTGTTTGTTCATATTATTATTATTATTATTATTTCCCCTCTGGAAAGGGATATCTGACTGCACACGGGTAATGAAAGACTAGGAAATGGGTGTTCTCCTACCCCATATTAGATTATGTGTCTGAAACCCAAACTGCATGGTCTATTGGTATGGCAAGCCTTAAGGAAGACATGAATGAAAAGCTGAGTGCTTGCCAAAACTCCCTAAGAAACATTCTAAGGTACCGATGAAATTTCAGGTACCTTTATTAGTTTAGTCATGGTCTGCAGATGGAATCTGGGCAACGCAGTGTAAACTTATCTGTTTAAATTCCTGAAAGTCCTAAATCTCACCAGATAACTCACTGAAGAAAAGCTTTAGTCTCTCCATCTAGTGAATGGTTCATTAAAGTCGCAGTGTTTAAATTTATCTTGCCGTGTGACAGTGCCATTGTTCCTATCCTCGGCCGAATGTGTTCTGCATTTCCCATCATCTGTTTGGGAGGAGAACCAATGGATCATGTAACATGGCATTAAGACTGATGGATATACAATACCTTTAATAACTTTGCTTAGATGCTTGCTTGGCCTCCTCTAACCTGGGCTACGGTGTAAAAGCTTGTTTGTGTAGACTTCATTTATAAATGTAAAGTAGACTTCAACCTTTTTAGACCTGCTTTAAATATCACTTCCCAGAATCCTTTGCTTCATTAGACCTAATGAATGAATGGAATATGTGTGCACTGTAAAGAATTTACCTTTTTTCCAATTAGTTTCAACATTAACTCTATCCGGCTGGGTCTTCTGCTTCCACGGACGACTTCTGATATCATGTTTAACTTTGTCGATCCCCCAAAACATGTTTTGAAGTGATCATGGTCTCTGTAGTCTGTATGTGCAGCCTTTTCGTTTATGAAGATCTGCACATACTGAGCCTAACCCCTCTACTCCTGGAGTTTTCGGCATTGTCATTGGGGCTGACTAATGTAAATTCTATATACATTTCTACGCACGTTAATTAGCGGAGAGCGGTGTCAAAAGGACATCCTGGAGGGCAGGCTAAGAGAAAGGACACGTTATCACTTTGCATGCTGATGACACATGCCGAGTATGCACCGAATTGGTAGTAGCCAGCTTTGAATTTTGTTCTGGTCTTGCTAATGACACTACCGGAGGTAGAGTTAAACTTTTAGCAGAAAAACTCTGCACATACAGACTCTAAGCACCATGATCACTTCAAAGCACTGGCATATATAGCCCTTTAAAATCTAGCATTTCCAGTACTTGTACTTAGTCCTCGGTTTCTTTTGTACTAGTATTCCTAATGTGTGCTGTATGAATTCTCCCTGTTGTATAGCCCTGCTGAACATGGTCCTTTAACAGTACCAGATAAGAAATGCCTGGCTACAAGTGCAGTGCGGGAAGAATGTTTGTTTTTCAGTGCAAATCTAATAAGCGTACGTGAGTGTCCACTAACACCCAGTTGGATTGTACTCCGGCTAAGTATTGCCTGAAAGACTCTTGGCTCTTTGCGAATCTATGAAGAAAAGTTTCAAAGTTAATCCTATAAACATTTGGGGTGTACTTTAACCTGGAGTTAAAAAAATTTAAAAAACATATCTACGTTGGCCATGTCCACAGTACGCGTTGGATGTGCATTTAAAGTGATCAAGTCATGACAGGTTCACCTAAAGGTAAAACAACTGCTAAAGCACTAAATCTGTAACTTATTATAAAGATACATAATATCTCTTATCGTAATTATAGATTCAAACCTGCTATTCACTGCTCCTGTGCCATCATTCACTAAAGTTAGTGGTAAAACCTTAAGATCCTCTTTATTCTCGATATAATATTCGCTGCCAGACCAGAGCGACATGAGTCAGTCATTCGTCACACTGTGGCAGAGAGCAGGAGAACCGCTTGTTGAAGGGTTCTCTTGTGTCCCCACTCCCTGTATGCCAATGACGGACAGGTGAGGTTAGGGATCTTATTTTTTTTATTTAAAATTATTTAAATATGTAACATTAGCGAGAATATAGTAAGCTGGTTGGAGCAGGACATCCCCCACTTTGTGTGTGTCTGTTTATCTTTGTAGAGTCAATTACTTGCCATATATCCCACTTCTACGATTGTAAAGTGTTGGGGATATGTTATCGCTGTATAAACACTACTACTAATAATGATTCGATGGGCTTTTTAGTCAGTGCTGTCTGTACGGTGACAGTTTGGGTATTTGCTTGTACTTTTATTACTTTTTCAGATCTACATTTATTTATTTTGTGTTTAATATTTTTACTGCAAAAATAAACTAAAATAAAAAATAAAAAAGCACAGCAAGAGATAAGTTTCACACCAATTAATTATAGAAGAGTGTCTTGCATGAAATGATCGATTCTGCATTGATTCCCGTTTCCCTGTTTGTGCTTTGGGATTGTGTTTTACGTAGTCAGGGAAAATCCGAACGCTGTCATTTGTCCAATTGCTGCAAAGCATTCGCTTGGCAAATTGCTCTATTTGAGCGACATGAATGATTTTGCCTGTTTTCCATTTTTTTTTGTACTCTACGGGAAGGTTACTCTTTCGCAGGCACAACTACTGTGCTTTTTTTTTATTTTTTAAGAGCTCGAGTTTCTTGCTAAATGTGGCTGAGGGCGGAGGAAGGGGCGAGGAGATCAGGTTACACATTCTGAGTTTGCGTTTGCAGCTACCCTTGAAGGCTGGAGTCTTGCTGGCTGGACTGGAATATGCAATCTGTGCATTCGTTAAAACCCTGCCCCCAACCTTGGAGAAAGAAGGAAAGGAGAAACGGACCCTGTTTTCTGTTATTTTTTCTTCAAACTGGAGGGTAACTTTAAATGTAAAATGTAACCAAAAAACAAGGCTTCTTTAAAGTTCTATAATGGCCATTTTCTCCGACTACTGGTGTATTGGGTTTCTCACATATAAAAATGGACTTACTGTCATTTTATGTACAAAGCACCATTTTCGACAGCACTGTCGCGAATTAACTAGAGGGAAACCATTTTTTAGTGAAAGGAAAATGAGGTTGTGTAAGAGTTCTTCTTGAACGTTATAAAACATGAAAAGTAATTTTATAAGAATCCCAATATTACACTGGGATAAAGCTATTTATTACCAGCCTGTCAGACTCCGGATCCTAATTTCAGGCCCTGAGTCTTGTTGGAATTTGATAATTTGTAGAGTGCTCATTCACACGTTTTAATTGCTATTAACTCGCTGCTGAGACTTTTTGGTGAGTTACATAAAACAAACAACCAACCAACCCCCACACACCTTTTTAAGCCAGTGGCTAAACTATACAAATGATATCACCCAAGCTGTGATCAAGGAACTGTTTCAAAGAGCCAGGTTGGACAAGGAAAAACCAAAAATGACGATTTGTTTATGAATTGACACTTTTTTAACAAGTTTAGTGATCTTGGATCCTGCGCTGTTTCAGCTCAAATGATATTTTTTACGTTGCATGGCTTTACAAAAGTTTTGTTGTGGCTTCCCTGAGTTACTAAGTGGCCTCAAAGTTCCCCAAACTGTTCTGGCATTCAACGCCTGGGATGAAGTAGTGGTAATTACAGGTCATTTGGATACCTTGCTGCTAATCTTGCCTACCTTTTTATGTTCTTCTTCTGGATTTAGCCTTAATCTGTGGACAAAGGCAAACATTGATAATCTCTTAATTCCCCTAGAAACCCTCATTATCTTTCTGATCTGAACCTCCTCATCTATAAACTGGCTTTATTTGCACTTCAATTAACCATTCATTGCAGTGCTGAGGTTCTCAGTGCAGTGTGTGTCCATTTTCAAATATATTTAAATTTTTTTTTTTTTTTTGGGGGGACACTCTTGGCACCCAGACCAATTCTTGTCATCAAAGTAATTAGGGTTCAGTATTCAGTCTCTTTCACCCTACATTGTGAAATTCTGAGAAACTGCACTGTTTATTTTCAGATTTGATGATCTCGGCCAACACCGTAAGAAAGCATTGGGAGGTTATCGCGCATGCACAGCAAAAAAAAAAAAAAACCTGCACCAATCAGGCACTGAACGTTCCCCATAGAGATGCGTTGATTCAATGCATCTCTATGAGGAGAGGCTGATTTGTACAGCGTTTTCCCGCACATGCACATGGTCCAATGCTATGGGGGAGCCTTTAATGCATGCACAACACTTTCCACGCATGCACGTTGGGTCCCACCATTGCTGTGATGTTGTGGGAGGAGGAGACCTAGCTAGCACTGAGGGAGCCTAGGCGCTGGAAAGAGGTATATGAAAAGGGTTTTAAACCCTTTAATCAATGGCCGTTGTGGGGGGGACCTATTATGTTACAAACTGGGGCACTGTAGCGTTAGGAATCCAGTTTTGTATTCCTAACGCTATAGTGTTCCTTGAACCAACTTTCCCAATTCAATTCCAAAGAAAATGCAGCCTCTTGTAGTCCTTCATGAGGTAACAAATTGTGCCAGGAGCCCGCATCTAAATTACTTTTTGTTAGACTTGGGGAGATCCCAAAACTGTGCAGATAGAAGGGTGTGAGCCATGCAGTCCTCCCAAACAACGGAAACAAGTGGGGGGAAAAATAGGCATAAAACGGAGCTTTGAAAACCTGCTCGTAGGCTGCAACAAAAATGACAGACGCACCAGGATTGATTGATTTAAATTGTGATTTCTGTCAACGGATAAGTTACCACGTAATTCTTTATTGCATAAAATGTTGGACATGAGGGATGGAAATAGCAAGATCGAAGCATATAATCCATAAAATAAATATAATTGCAACTAATTCACGCAAACCAACGCAAGAATAAAACCTTCCTGATCCCCAGAAGGGCATTGGCTGATATACAATATTACATTTCAAGTGTGTGTTTGTTCTTTGCATAAACAACTCCTAATGACTAGTCTTATTTTGGCCAGAAATGCAAGGATTTGATAATCTCAGGCTTGCATAGTTTGACTGTTGCAAAGTAAATGAAACCTGTTAAGAAGTCATGGTTTTTGCATTGTTATTTAAATCCTTTAATGCTTCGCCATCAATCAGCGAAGGAGGGCGATGTATGCGTTTGTCATCACCGGCTGCCCGGAGTCCTGGAAAGATGGAGGCATTGTGAAGGCACACCTTGACGTCTGCTGCTGCATAGAAATGCAGTGACTGACAAATACACCAAATACATTAAATAAATAACTGGGGATGGATGTGGTCTTCCATTTTCTGTTATTGTTTAATGGCAGAAGAGCTCCCATAAAGGGAACTTGGAAATGGAACGTTGGGATCAGTATTTACGCTAGAACTACGCCATTGATGCTTAGATAGCAGAGCATCATGGGAATTGCAGTTCAATATCACCGAAGAGGCTACCTCCATTTTGTCCAGCTCTGGATTGTAGTACACGTCACGCAAAAAAAAGACATTGCGTGTTAGAATTTCTTTTTCACAGCGTAAAGTTTAAAATGTAACACTGTTTACTAGAAAATATTTCTCTGTTGATTTTTTCATTTATAAAGTCTTATTTTAGCTCCTGTACTTGTATAAAGACTACATACTCAAGTGGGTGCATGCTATCTAATAGCTGTGGCCGCCATCTTGGATGAGGCAGGTTGCGCCTACGGTGCATTACTAGGTTTGTGTATGGAAATAAATAAATAAACATAAAATAGATATAGCAATTTTTATCCCCCCCCCCCCTTTTAATCTATGACGGTGTCTCAGGGTAGCCTGCCACAAAGGGAGGGTTTGCGTGAGCTGGACCGATTAGTCACTACACTAGTCAGCTTAGACTTGGAAGGAAGTGATATTTGTCGCCAGTATTTTGTCTTTTATAAAGTTCCCATATGCACATCTGCTTGTGTTGTGGAGATTTATCATTTGGAAAGAGTCCATGTTTATTATATATATTATTATTTTTTTGCCCCATCCGTATTCTGTCGGTGCTGATTTTTCCATCTGTTGCCGCTGGCAGGTTTTGAATAACATTAGATATATTCCTTATGTGTTGACAATCACTGCCATGTTTTTCTAATTTACTGTCTTTATCTGGGGCAGACTCTGAGATCAGAGGAGAGCTCTCTGTGTAAATATTTGCACATATGGTGTGAATAGCCCCATCTAAGGATCTATTTACTTTTTTGCAATAGCAGATTTATTTTCCGGCCATTAAAGTGTTACACTTACAGCCCGACCACTTGTTGCATAAGTTTTGGTGGGAAAATTTGTAAACACGCTGTCTGTTAACTGTCTGATTCACATTGAGCAGAAAGTGGGCGAAGTCCAGCTGTACCCTGATTCTATTGCAACGGTGACTAAATCGAAAAGAATGGGGACGCGCTTTCCCATATTACCATATTAATCGGGGTGCGCTTCGCCAGATGGTAAACAAACTGCACAAGGAATCCAACACGTTTAATACAAAACCCCATTTTATTAGTTAGGGGTATAGGACAGGCTTTTATTGGCGATTAGCTATTCAGAGCGGGGACTGAGAGGAGCCTGCCACAGGCCACATAATTAATGGCTTCTTTATAGTGTTCACACAGTGTTAATCCTTCTTTGTGAGGATATTGTGGTTTAAACTTTAAATCGCCTTTCTCCTTAAAGATACATTCTAAAAATTATAACCACTGCAGTGGTTGTGGTTCCAGGTTCCGTCACATGCTAGGCTGTCAAACCATTCATAAACAGTTTGACACTTACATGCCTCTGTCCATGATAAAGCAGTAACATACAAACGCATGCCAAATTTGGACAGTATATAGTGGGAGAGAGCATTCATTGTTGTAGTTGTTTTGGTGTCTATAGCCTATGCCTGCATGCTTTTTAATGTAAACACTGCCTTTTCAGAGACATTCGCTCAGGCGGCCAATAGAGGTACTTCCTAGTCCAGTGCCGCACAGTTTGTGGGCCTAGGACATGCATGAAAATGAGAGAAATCTCAATATATCCTTACTGGTAAAATATTTTTATAAATAATCACTACAGATGGGTTTGTGGGCCTTGTAGCTTTCTACAGCAGATGGCAAACAACTGAACTTAATTTCATTGAAAGGCATGCTGTGCCCTTAAAGGTACACTATAGTCACCAGAACCACTAGAGTGTAATGTAGTTGTTTTGCTGTCTATATCCCATCCCTGCAGGCTTTATAATGTAAACGCTGCCCTTTCAGAGACCGTCACTGAGACGACCAATAGAGGTGCTTCCTGGTATAAGGAGATGCTGACGTGCAATAGCCCCCCAATGCTTTCCTGTGTTTTCCCCAATGTTTAGCACTATAGTGTCAGGAATACATGTTTGTGTTCTGGTGTTCCTAATTCTGAGCATTGATGTCTGTAATAAGTCCTGCTTTGCCATGAAAACTTGTGGGAGCATTGAATTGGCTGCGTCAGTAGTCTGGGCATTAGCTGTAGAATCTGAGCCTAACGCGAGTGCACGGTCTCTAATGTGAGTGTCCTTAATAAATAGGTATATGTAATCGATCATCCCAGCTATGATCATACAGTATCTTGCGTTAATGTACATGGAATAATATATTCATTTATCTTTGTTTTGTGTTAATTTGTAACCCCAGTGTGCAATATACATTTTAGTTAACTTAGCCCTGGAGTGTACATTTTTTACGAGCTTCCCTGGTTAAAACAACAATAGGGCAGAACTAAAACTGATTGTTCTTTTACCACCACATCCCATATTGTTTCTTTGTTTACCATTAAAAGGTGTGGTGTTTTTTTTATTTTTTTTTGAGACGTCAATGACACCAAAGCAAAGTGCTAAATGACTTGCTGCTTGTGGGAGGACTGCGGCTTTAAACCCCATTTATTCTTTACCTTCATTGTGAACTGTCAGTCTGAGACTTGTATCGCCAGAGGGATCTTTTGTCTCCTACAGCTGCATAAAAAGCCTTATTTACTAATCACAATCAAACCCAGACACCCCTCCAGTGAGGACTATCATTTAGAGACTATTTAGAATTGCACATACATTTTTAATGACATATTTTGAAATGCCTTTGCCTTAAAGGGGAATTAGGGTAAAGAAGATAAATGGGAACGTAATTACTCTGCGAATAGTGCTGTAGTTTTGTCCTGTTATTATCATTTTGTTCTGATCTAGATCAATATTGTAAAAAATAACTGTTTCTTTAAAAATAAAAAAAATCTATTCCTTTTGGTAATTAAATGCTTAGAATTTCCCAGTTTGAACAAGCTCAGTACGTTAACCCTTTCAGTACAGTACTAGTTCAGTGCACAGATGATACGTTATCCTTTTTAAAGGGATGCTGAATGTTGGTCATGACGTATTACTCAATGGACAGGTACGCTTTCAAATAAATTCAGTACAGCAAAAAAACAAAACAATAGCACACTTGAAGTCAGTAAGGCAAGTCCAGGGTGTGGAGTTCAAAGTCCGTTTCCACATTGTAAATCTGCTTGTATATGCTTTTTGCTGAATGCACACAGGGCCTTCCTGTTTAGCGATACTAGAAGTAAAGTGTCGTAGGAAGGAACAGAGCCATAGACTAAATGACATTTCTCTTCGTGACACTTCTCTGATTAAAAATTCTGCCAGGATCATAGTCCGGATTCCATGTAGGGTAAATAGTGCTTACGTTGCTTATGATGGCTGATAAAATGTCTACTGCTTTAAGAAGCACTCCAAGCACCATAACAACTGAAGTCTAGATTAAAGCGGAACTGTCACCCGCCACCCCGCCTTTAAAAATTAGTATTTAATAAAGATAGAATGTGTACAAAATACTCATTTTGACCGTGTTGGAATTTCACTGTAATTCCAACCCAGTCGAGCGAAATGCAGAGACAAAGTAGGGAATACATTGTCTCTGTATATTTCTTCTGACTTTCCTTGACACTGGCCGGAGATACAGTATTAATCCCGACAGCCGTCACCAGTAACCAGGGAATTGGCTCTGTCTATGGAGGATCCAGGAATCCTTCATAGACCTCAATGCTGTACTCTCACGCATGTGCAGGAATATAGCAGTGACTGAAGCGCCAGGTGCTGAAGAGGACTGGTAACGGGAAAGTGGCCGCTCCCGCGAGGGTCAGGTTCAGGTAAATAAATCTCTTCTTTACCTGACCCCCTTTGCTACTGGACCACCAGCGGTAATGTCAACCTCAGGGGTCTCTGAGAATTCTGCAAAGTCCCCAGACAGTGCAGCTTTAAGTAGCAAAACCGATCTAAGCATGTTTTGGCAACTTACCTAGGTCCTGCATGATGCCTGTTGTCACCTTCCACCTCTTCTGCTGCTGGAAGCTAATGAAAAGAGCTTGCCTTAACTCTACTAAGCTAAATCCTGCCGTTCTGGACTTGTTCATTGGCCTAGACTTGAGCATCTGCTGAGTGGACCTCCATGGCTGGCATAGCTCAGTGGCAGAGCTACTGCAGTGAAGGTGGTGGTAGACACACAGTGAGACCCCGGTAACTTGTCAAATCGTTATCAAACAGTGTGAATACTTGCCCTGGGAGGACACAAGTGCACTCCTGGCGCCATAACCACTACAGAGGTCTGTAGTGGTTTTGGTGCGTGCAGATTTCCGGTTAAAAACAAAAGCCTCCAAACCAATGTATGTGAATATATTCTAAAATAAGGGACCCAATGCTGTTCCAACCAGTATTTTTTTAATTTTTTTTTTACTTTTCTCTTTGACTTGCTTTAAGGATGCCAGTCCTTATTACTGTGAATTTGTACCAGGCAGCAGAGGCTGAAATGATGATTGATGGGTGTTTGGAGCTGGGTGTAACTGTAGTGTTGAAGGAATAATTGTACATATCCTGTTTTGCAAACGCATATCTTGAATGCATGAGTCCTTATTTCAAACACACCTTTTACACGAACCAACAGGTTATGAAATAAGTGTGTGTATAACATATAAAATATGTGCCTGTCTTAACGCTGGCAGAGGACTTCTACAACCACCCCAACTTTAGATTCCCATGTGATATTTTGTATCATGTATTATATAATATTTTTATGTCCTGCTAACATGTCAGTTTACAATATGGATTGGGAAATAATACCGTCAAATCTTAAAACCATCTAAAAATCCACCATGCGAGATCAAAATCTAAATGTCCAATAAACGTGTCTATAGCCCGGATACAGCATTAGTGTTCCCTAATACACTCTTCACACTTCTGGATATTTGATAAGTCTGATTTGTGGTCTTGATGCTCTGATCTCAGGGCAGCACTGGGACAAACATTACGCTAGCTGTCCGAGGTTGGCGGTTTACAGTGAACAAAAGCTTCACCCTTATTACCTGGGTGGGTGATGTTTGATAATTATTCCCATAAAAGAAGCCTTTTTGGCTCTGTGTTAGGTAGCCAGAAGAGATCAAATGAAATGCAATAACACACATCGTCAATTATACTGTGACATTTGTGGTTATAACTGTTTCTGACAAATTATATTTTCGCTTTGCTGAATGCCAAAAAAAAGTAAAATTTATCCTGATCGAAAAGCATACACTCTTCAGTCGGTTACTTAGGATTTGGTGTGTTGTAAGGAAAAGCAATCGTTGTTAACCCTTTCAGTGCCAGACTAATTGCTAAGAGCACGAAGGAGTGTTAAATTGGGAATTACGCGGCAAGGTTTGTATCAACCGAGAGATTTCAAATATCAGGCTCAAATAGCTGATAAAGGGAAACAAACCCAATTGAACTAATTTGGCATAATTCTACTTGTCCTTAACCGCATTCATGTTCTCTGTAATGTGTTTCTCAACTCTGTTGTATTAAAATAGTTTAAAGGGAAACACTTTAGCTTGTTGGAATGCTTTGTTTGTGAAGCTTGTGTCCTCTTTATTTAGTTTTGCAGAAAATGCAGATTTCATGACAAATTGACACGTTTATAGATGTTACCATGTTACACCACTTGGCTGTCAATCAGGTCCTGTTACATCCTGGTTTGGTTAGCTCAGTGGAGATAAACTCAAGAGGCAGCAATTACCCAGAGTACCTGCCTTGCAAAGACTTCTCATTGAGCTGCATTGGGAAGTCTGTGATTGGACAGCCACAGAAAGTCTGGGAGGGCTTGCAAAGGCTGCAGATAAGAGATCTGCAGCTTTTGAAAGATTTTTTTTATATATATTTAACCTCAAAAAAAAAAAAAAGCATCATGCATAACATTTCATTTAGGGTATATCTACTAAATGGTGATTTTGTGTGTTTGGGCAGTTGATTGTGTCCCTTTAAAGGCAATTTGTGTATTTAAGCTCGTGTAACGCTGCTCAGTACTGTGAAAAGCTATGTCGGATTGGCCCATGCTCCGTTTTAGGGATTGGCATAGTATCACATTGTACAGCGCTGTGGAATTTGTTGGCGCTTTGTTAATAAAAATGCAAATAAAATTGTTTCTTATAGCTTACTGCCTAAAACTCAGCCTAGCCTTGCTGTCCAGCTCGCATCGATTCAACATGCTAATGTGAAAGCGTAGTTTCTGCTGTGTTTTTTTGTGCTTTTAATTTTACAATTTTTTTATTTCCTTCAAACTGCTCCAAAATGTGTGTTGGGGTCCCTTTGAGATTTTCTGTGCTTGTTTTACTTGTGTTATGTAAAACAAAACTATTTTTTCTTTTTTCTTCAGTGTGTTTGGTATAAATCCTACCGATAATTTACCCAAAGTTATTCCGAATTACACATTTTATAGGTAAGCTTGCTAATTGGAAATGCTTCTAATAAATCCCCTTTTTATGAATAATTATTGAGTTGCTAATCTTGCCAGATTTTATTTCGGCTGGATTAATAGCGGGTGTCAGATGTCATAAAACAAGGGTATTCTCCTGCAAGGAATGTTTATTAAATTAAAGACACATTATACCTTTATAAAACCTTGTAAACTGTGGGGACAATCAGACCTGGCTGTTACAAGCATGCTGCTTCGCGTCATTTTTATGAATGCTCATTTACATTAACAGGAGGAATAAAGATTTTCAAAATCCCCCCAGCACATGAGGCTTTTTAAAAACAATGTTGAGGGTCTTTCCCTGTCAACAGATTTTGGCACCCGCAATCATCTTACACAGTGTTTATAGAAAATCAGGGGCTATATTTTTTTAAAAAAATTTTTTTTAAGCGAGCAGTTTTGATTATTCAAGGTATTTTGGTACTGATTACTAAACTACCCACACTAATAACGAACAAAATACCTATCCAAGTTTTATAAAGTCTGATAAGCTCCCTTTATGTCCCAACCAAACTAATCAACACTATCTGGATTATTTACTAAAATAAGAATTCTTGAAAATTCAAAGTGAATTTCAAATTTAGGGCCAAAATAGCTGATCTGGAAGCACAGCTGAGAATTTTTCCCGTTTGACTATTTAGGTCTTGGATGCGGAATTTATTTTAAAATTCCTGACCATTCTCAATTTAGTAAATGTGTGACAAGGACAACCTATATGTAGACCTCATAATAAAGCAGAGGCTGACGGTCATGTGGTTTAATAAATGTCTATTGCTGGATATAAGTTATCTTTTTATAATACACGCTTTATTAAGGCTAAATTTAGTAGTTTGCTGGTTAAGGGAAATGTTTACAGCTATTTCATTGCTCTCGTTAACTTTGTTAAGGGATACGCTGAATTAAAATGGCGTTAGCTGCAGCTCTAGAGTGTAACTCACACTGATCTAAGGCAGACTTTGACATGTTCTGGTTCTGCCTGAGATTAGGGCCTTGAGCTTCTGGGAGATGAACTGTGTATTTGTATTTTTGTTCTAATTCATTGTTATAAAGGATTTTAACATGTGCCTGTTCCAACACCACCTTTTATACTTGTTGCCCGAAGCGCTATTCTTCATCTTCTCAGAGACCACCTTTAATAACCATTACTTGTGAGGTCAAGGAATATTCGTGCCTCAGAAGACAATGGCCAAGTGTTTGCCCCCCCCCTCACTTTACTGAAAAAAGGCGGCTCCGATACCACCGAAACCCCACTGTGAATCCTAACGTATTGCTGACTATTTACCATTTACTTGGCTTCCTGCACATTTTCTTATTGCTACAAACTCCTCGTGTTTAATCCGTAAATAGTTCTGTAGTGGTTATGGTGCAAATTCGCGTATCAATTCTATCCATCGGAAGCACTCAGCCAATGAATCAAATCCAGATTCAGAGCTTATTTATTTTTATATTTTTATCTATGTCCATTCAGAAGGGACTGATCTTAAAGGCCTAGGTAAGAGTCCACTTTTTCAAAAATGTTTAGTCTTCGTTGTGAGATGCTTCCAGGGAGCTCATGGCACCAAAACCACTACAAGGGTCTTAGAGGTGCCCCTTTAAAATGTATACACCTGAAAATATGTTTTAAAAATGTGAGTTATCTTTGCTGAATTGTAAGGAAATGTTGGTGCTGCCTTCTATGACATCAGCAGATCATTACTGCTGAATATGTTGACAGTGTAACGCCATGGGACGCCATTGAGACAATATAAGAATAGGACATACGATTAAGCTAAGGAATAAGAACTTATTACATCAAGCTTACAGTCGGTGCTCTGCCGAGCTGATCTGAATAGGGAATAATTATTTATTAATTATTGGGAGGCCGCCTTCTGGTCAGTGATGTGACTTTATAAAGTTTGTCTATTCTCTTTGGTAATTTTCTGCAGGGGACGTAAAGAGGGAGAGAAACGTTTTTTCCACTTTGTCTGTGTAAGAGAGACCGTTCCATTGGCTGCGCGTTGTTTATGAGTACACTAAATGGAATGCGGCCTACAAATTACTACACAACAGCTCCAGCCTGCAGCCCGACCACAGTCTGGGGTTACAAAGTGCTACATTAACCCATTCAACCCACCAGTGATACAATAAGTGCATTTATTCTGCTTTTAGATCCAATCATAGCTGGCTTAAAATAGGTACTTTACATACATTTTGCAATTCCTGTGCTAACCCACAATTTCCAAAAGATATATTGTTGACCACTGCCATTGAGATTTCACAAAATGTATTGGAGAAAGCTCCACCTTTTAAGTTTTGTCAACCTATGCTTTGCCCATAGGACTAAATAGTCCCCTACTGTGTGTTTCTTATGCCATCTTCTGGCCTCGTTGGAATTTTAGTTAGTTAATTATTTTGTTGTTTACTTTTTTGGATACTCCTGCAGAGCGGTTTTAATTTGACTGTTTTTATGGGTTTTATTATCCACCGAATCATGGCCATGGAAGCAGCCATCTAACACACCTTCCACCATAACTTCAGTAGAATAAGGTTGTTATGGTGCGAGGAGGTCTCCAGGCAGCAGTTTATCTTTAAGGGGGTTAAACGTTTAACAGACAGTTTATCCCCAAAGTGCCGAATTTGGTGCGAGATTGCTCTGCCTGACTCCTTACATCACAGTCTGAGGCTTGAATAGGGAAGCGCCGCTAATAGTCTGAGAGCGTTTCTCAAGCCATTTTGTGAATATGGAGCTACTGATAGACTATTGGCATCAGCTTAAGATCTCAGATTATTAGCAGCATACCTGTTCGAGCCTAGGACTGTGGTGGAAGGAGATGAGCAGAGTGATTAACAATTTGGGGTTAAACAGTTTGTTAGCAGTTTAACCCTCTGAGTTAAGCCAGGAACTTCCTCACTATAACAACTTAATTCCGATGAAATTGTTATGGTGCCTAGAGCATCCTTTGAACAATTTATCAGTGACTTGGGGCCCCATCTCTCTCCTGCCAGAAAGATTTGTCATTCACAATTTGACAGCCAAGGGTTTCTGCATTCACATCCCTTCCTACCTTTTACTAGACCTCTGCTTACATCACACTACATTCACTGTGACATCACATCAACCAATATCTCACTGCAGATCCATTGTGACATCACTCGTAGCTTAGGTGAAGTGTGTGTCGGTAGATAGTGTAGAAATACAGGAGGAGATATAACATGTTCACACTCTATCTCAGGGCTTCCCAAACTTTTATGGGCAGAGACCCACTTTTCAAAACGGTAATTTTTCGAGACCCACTTGCATTTAATGCATATTTTAAAAAGTGAACACCATGGTAATCACGTTTAGATGCACACCATGACAATTACTTTTAGAAGCATAAAACTGGCACACCATGGCAAACCGCTTTAGAGGAATATAATTGGCACACCGTGGCAATCAGCTTTAGAGGAATATAATTGGCACACCGTGGCAATCAGCTTTAGAGGAATATAATTGGCACACCGTGGCAATCAGTTTTAGTAGCATACAATTGGCACACCATGGCAATCAGCTTTAGAGGAATATAATTGGCACACCGTGGCAAACCGCTTTAGAGGAATATAATTGGCACACCTTTGCAATCCGTTTTAGTAGCATACAATTGGCACACCGTGGCAAACCGCTTTAGAGGCATACAATTGGCACACCGTGGCAATCAGTTTTAGAGGCATAACATTGTCACACTATCGCAAGACGCACTTTAAATGCATACAATTGGTCCATCATGGCAACTTTAGGTGCATACAATTGGCGCACCATAGCAGTTTTAGAGGCTTACAACTGGCACACCATGGCAACCAGCTTTAGAGGCATAAATTCAGAACATCATGGGAATCAGTTTTAGAGGCATAAAATTGGAACATAATGGCAGCTTTAAATACATAAACTTGGCACAGCATGGCAATAAACTTTAGATGCATAAACTTGGCAAATCATGGTAATCACGTTTAGATGCATACACTTGGCACATCATGGCAATCAGCTTCAGAGGCATACAATTGGCACACCATGGCAATCAGCTTCAGAGGCATACAATTGGCACACCATGGCAAACAGTCAGATGCATAAACTTGGCACACCATGGCAATCAGTTTTAGATGCATAAAATTGACATAACATGGCAGTTTTAGAGGCATAATTCTGGGATATCATGGCAGTTTTAGAGGCAGAAACTTTGCACATCATGGCAATCAGTTTTAGAGACATACAACTGCTTACACACAGACTCAGAATCAGAAGTGCTGTGTCCTGCTCTGTCATGCAGGCACCTCACATTGATTATCCCAGTGGTGGAACTAATGTAGAGTTAGCCCTGGTGCAAGAATGTTTTCTGGGGCCCCCTCTAGTGCAAGTGTGGCCAAAAGGTAGATCTCCATCTGTCGGAGAACTTCAATGCTATACCAGATGGGTATCTACCATTTTATTATCGTTGCAGGGTTAAATTTGTGAGCAGTGTTTGAATGTAAGCATGTTTTTGTATTAAGTATATGCGTGCATGTATGGGTGTATTTGTACTGTTGCCATTGGAATGTAGTGGTGTACTTGTTTGTAATGTTTGCGTCTGAATGCATGGGTGTTTGTATGTAGTTTCGGACTTGAAATGCAGGTGTGCTTTTTGTGTGTATTGGTGTTTGTAGATAATTTTAGTGTTTTAATGCCGGGGTGTGTTTGTATGTAATCTTTGCGTTTGCAGTACGTGTATAGTGGATGCAGTGTGTGTATTGTGTTTATAAAATATATATATACATATATATACACAATGTGTGTTTGAATGTAAGCATGTTTTTTTTGTATGGAGTATGTGTGAAGTGTATACACATACACACACTGACACAGCAATACACAGACACACAATGACACCTAGTTTCCCACACATAGATACACAGACACTCATGTACACAGATACACACTGACACACAAATACACACACACACAGACACAAAAGGACACGCAGAGACAGGAGGTGAGGGTGACAGTGTGGGAGGCAGTGTGTGTGCTGGTAAAAGTTTGGGGGGCAGTGTGAGGGCAAGGTAAGAAAGGGTTACAGTGGGCGGACAAGGGGAGAAAGGGTGGGCGGGCAGGGGGAGAAAGGGTGGGCGGGCAGGGGGAGAAAGGGTGGGAGGGGCAGGGAGTGAAGGGGTTAGTGTGTGGGGAGGGCAGGGAGTGAAGGGGTTACATGGGGGAGATGTCTGGGGGCTGTGTCCTACCTTTCATAAATTCCCTGGTGGTCCAGTGTCTCCCTGGTGGTCCGGTGGGTCTCCGGTCTGAGCTCCGCCGGGTGCAGAGCTGCAGACTGTGTAATAAGTCTCCCGAGCTCCCAGAGTGTTGCCACGGTAAAGCTCTGGGTGCTCGCGAGACTTCTATCATACGGTCTGCAGCTCTGGACCCGGCGGAGCTCAGACCGGAGGTGCTGGGCGGCATACAGGGCAAGCTGCCGGGCTCCCTCCTGGTGTCGGGCCCGCGGTCACGGACCAAGAGCCCGACTAATCAGTCTGCTTGCCTGAGTCCCCGGAGGCCCTGGATGTGTGGGTCAGCGCGACCCACTGGGAATCGCCCTGCGACCCACACTTTGGGAACCGCTGCTCTATCTTGTTTAAGCAGAGCTCACATTTTGCCTTGTTCCTGCTCTAATCAATTTGTCCTTTATCTATTACACAGCATTGCCATCAAAAACGATCTGTCTCCTAACTGTGACACCAGTAGACTGCCTGGCACCATAATCACTGTAGTGCATTTTAGTGGTTTTGGTGCTTAGAGTGCCTTTTTAATCGTCTGTATCACATTAAAGCTGATGCCTGTATGCTGATTGGAGTATTTAGGCCAGCGGCTCCCGATCTCTGGGTTGGGGTTGTTCTCAATGTCATTATAGTGTATTACTGTATATACTTCTTGATGAATAATTCCCGGTAGTGATACCGCCGCTGTGTCTAATAATTGCACAATTAATTTTTAGGATCTTTAATATTACAGTTAAGCAGCATTTTGCAGAAATCCTTTTACAATTGCAATAAATCACCAAGCAATGTTATGTGAACGGTTTCCATAGTGGTGTTGTTTGTGTACACAACGTTTGAGATCTATGTTTTGCAAATTGTGGCGAATTGTTGTTGTTTTTTTTTGTTTTTTTTGAGGCCCATATCACTTGTTTTTTCTACATGGGTACGGGGTGTGTAGTACATTGAGACAGCTTTATAGGAACGGTTTCCACAGGAAAATGAAGACAATGAGCACTATCACAATTGGATAAGGGTTCTATTCAGTTTCCAAGACCCCATTGCATATTATCTATGAAGGGAAGTGTTGTGTTTTTTATTATTGTCATTGCTTGTTGTAGGAAATCCATTATGTAAAATGAGTTAAAGAGAACCTGTTATGGCTTTATGTCACTTTCCTGGAAAGCAAAACTCTAGACACATTGCTAGCAAATGGTATAAATAATAATTGATTTACACATAATTTTACATTGTATCATACCTGTAAGGACTACAAATTTGGAGGTACGGAGAGGATCCGACCGTTCTCCAAATGACGTAAAATCATTCCTTAAACCAGCACCCTATGCTGCGATGAGGGCGGGTGCCCAGTTGTAGAATAAAGAGTTGTAGATTTCTACATTAATTTTTTTTTGTCTACCCCTTACAAATAAGTGCGGTCCACCTGTCCAGTGAGTGTTCTCATAAAGAAGCATTGAGCACGCACATACTTTGCATGCGGAACCCTAGATGTCAAATTTATTAAATAATTAAATCGATTTTTGCCTATTGCCCTTATTGGCTTTTTTCATCTAATAGTAGATGTGGAAAATGCAGCATGGAAACCGTAAAACATCCTAGAAACAGCACCAGTTTCATATACTAGGCTGTAGGGGCTGCATCTGCACAGCAAAATAAGTTACGGTGCCTACACTGTCCCTTTAAAAAACTTAATTATGTCAAAACGATGAGGCCGGCTGCATAATCATTGCCTTACCTTTACACCTACATGCAACTGAAGGACTACAATATTTGATTTAGTTGGTGTATTAGCTTGAAAAATAAATTGATTTAATTGTATAGGGTTCCCAGAATCCTCTCTGCTAATAGCATGGGGGTTTGAGTGATATTATTGTTAGTGTGTTTGTGATGTATTTCCAGTGTAAATATTATGTCACTTTTTTGTGTTCCTTCTAACTGCAGCGTCAGGAAGAATTAAAAAAAACCCTCTCCGTATTACTACTGACAATATATTGGTAATCTAAGGCATACGTACCATAAAGCCCATAGTGGATCTCTCCAAAAGCACCCGGAGTCCCTTTCTATTTAGTAATTCTTCCTTTTCTCATGCGAACTCATAGATGAGATTCATGTGTATCAATGGAACTGCTCGGTGCCTTGTCAATCTGTTTAATGCAGTGGGCTGCAATCCAACCATCTCATTATGTAATTTAACAAAAACACGTTTAACACATTGTGGGCCTGTTTGAAAAAAAAAAAACCAAACGAACACACTATTTCAGCTGATGGGTAGGTAAGAAAGCTGAGGTGAATGTTACTGTTTGCAGAGAAAAACATAGATGCACGGTCCATACCTCCCGACTGTCCCTATTTAGGAGATAAACTCGCTATTATTTTGCCCAAATCCCTCTCTTCTCTCCCAATGTCCTTCTTTTCTTGGAGCTCAGTATTTTCAGTCAGTCTGAGTGTATAAGAGAGCTCGCAAGCCATTATAATAATCCCTGTAATGTGTATTTGAACTACAATAAACGTGTTTAGAAATCAAGCTGTGTGCATTAGTTACATAAATTGCTTCGAGTAAGTCACCTAAAATTTCTCAGAACATTCACACCCACAAAATGTGTCCCTCTTTGTCACTTTGAAATGTTGGTAAGAATGGCATAAACACACAGAAACATATCAGTCGTAATCTTTTAAAATCTTTTGCACTTGTTATATGGCGTAATCATTTCTAACAATTTCTCTATATTCATTAAAGCTTGTTATGTTAAAGGGAAAGCTGTATTCCTGGCACTACCAATGCCCCTCCTACCCGCTAAATAAAGGGTTAAAAACCCTTTATTTACTTATCTGATCCCAGCGCCGATGACTCTCGGTGCTGGGTCGAAGCTCTGCCCCCTCCTCCGTCACACGTGGAGCGGAACGGAGTCTAATGCGCATGCGCTCAAATGCCAAACGCGCATTAGACCTTCCCATAGGAAATCACTGAATCAATGCTATCCTATGTGGGGGGAGAGGGAGAAATCTGACGCCGTATGTCCTCATGCAGAACCAAAAGTCTGTTCCGATTCCAGAAGTGCCCCCAGTGGCTGTCTGATAGAGCCAATGACGGCAGACTTAGTGCTGCAATGTTTAAAGGGACCCTCCTGGCACCCAGACCACTTCTGCCCATTGGAGTGGTCGGGGTGCCAGCCCCCACCACCCTTAACCCTGCAAGTGTAATTATTGCAGCTTTTAAAAACTGCAATAATTACCTTGCAGGGTTAAGTCCTCCTTTAGTGGCTGTCTATCAGACAGCCACTAGAGGGACTTCCGTGTTTTTAGTGTTTTAAACAACGCTGGACGTCCTCACGCTATGCATGAGCACCTCCAGCATCGCTGGAATCCCCATAGGAAAGCATTGAATAATGCTATCCTATGGGGAGGTCTAATGCGCGTGTGTGGCCATTGCCGCGCATGCGCATTAGGTCTCCCCCGTCAGCTGACCTCCACAGGGGAGGGGCGTGAGCGCAGTCTTACCCAGCACCAAGGGACATCGGCACTGGATTCAGGTAAGTCACTGAAGGGATTCTAACCTCTTTAGTAACATGGGATGGGGGGTGGGAGGGAGAGGGGCACTGCAGGATTCTGCAGTGCCAGGAAAACAAAAATGTTTTCCTGGCACTGGAGAGTCCCTTTAACATTGAAGCACTTAGGGCAATAGGGACACTGCACCCAGACCACTTCAATGAGCTGAAAAGGTCTGGGTGCCTACGTTGTCCCTTTCATGGTGAACCCCTCTCTCCCCCCTTTCTGTTTGACCAATAACTAAGGTTTTTGGCATCAAAGCTCAGTTTCACCTCCACATTAATCATCCGCAGCCGTCAAATCTTGGACATTAGTGATAGGCTGTGAGCGAAGTATTGTTGTCAAAGTTAGTAATATCTGTCAAGCTGTTGGCTGAAAAATGGGGAAAGTGCACCCAGAGACTCTAACCAGCTGCAGTGGTTGTGGTGTGTTTCCCTTTTTATATAAATGTAACAAAGTGCGTTCTTTTATGTTCCATTTAAAATATATCTTTCAATCTAGGGCTGTCTTAAGCTAATTCTACAGGCCAGTAGCTCTAAAGTCATTTGAAATGCTCTATGGGGTAACGTTCCCCTGGGTCCCCTGCAGAGTAAACAATGCCACATTTACAAATGGATTTTTCTTATGGATTAGGAGAATAGAGATTGGACACCTTGGAAGAGGTCACCCGAATCCTAGCATTCTTCCTTAATGTAGACTTGTGCAGATAAGATTACCCTGTGGGTGGTGAAGCCAGGATCATTGTACTAAATGTGTTTTCTCCTTTCTAAGGGGCAAGAGTATTTACCAGGCACTTTTCTGATGGTTTAACTTAAAAAAAAAAAAAAAAAAAGTTAGTTACTATATAACATTTCGGGACTTTTAGCCTCTTAACCTATGACTTTAATAAGCAGAAAAATGAAAATGTGTGATTGGAAATAAAATAAGATTAAACGTTCTTTAATCTCGCAGACCAATTTTAGAGATTTTCAGATATAAGGGGGCCTAACAGAGACAAGCATGTCCCAGTCTGGCTAAATTATTGGGAGTTATACTCCTAAATGGCACCTACTTGCATTTTAATAACCACAGAAAAAGCTTTCACTGCAACTCCCACTTAGCTCAGGCATCGCTTACAGTAGACACACCCTTTTAATCTTACACTATTCTAGAATAACACTAACCAGTACCCAGTAAACCGCACTCCGACAACACTAAATATTAACCCCTACACTACCGTCACACTAAAAATATTGTGTAATAGTAAAGATTAAGTATTACGGTAAAATAAAGCCGTCACAGGTTTCATCCTTCGCTTCAGCCAGAAACCCTAGATGGCATTATTGTTATAATTATTATTATTATTCACATATATCGTTTATTTGGGGGGGGTTGTGTTTTTTTTACTTGTCATGTCTGAAAGTCTTGATTTGAATTTTTTTTTTTTTTTTTTAAATTTAAATAATGTTTTTACTCCACCATGGGAAACTGTTATCAATTTCAAATGAGAGCTGGTCTCCGTTATTTGGTTTAAAGGAACACTCTAGGCACCAGACACCCTCCAGCTTAATGTAGTTCTGGGGGAAATCGCCTGTCCCTAAAGCCTCAGCAGTGTAAACGCTGCCTTTCCTGAGAAAAGGCACATGTAGTGGCTGTCGCTTGGACATGCTCTGTGATGCTATATGCTCCCTATAGAGATCAAATGAGCTGTCTATGTGAGGAGAGGCTGATTGGCGCAGCGCGTCCGTGTGCCGATTGTGCACTAGCCTTTCATGCGAGGATGCATTCGATTGGCTGTTATCATTGGGATTGGTTATCTCAACTGCTAGTCGTCAGCCAAATGTGTTTTTTTTTTTTTTTCTTCTTCTTTTGGGGGAAGTGGGTGGCTTGATATCTAAATAGGTACTGCAACACTATATGTTCCTTTAAAAATGGTATACCTGAACTTTGTGTTTTACATGTGAACATTTAAATTAATGGTTTTATTTTTTTATCTGTTGTTGTAGAACCACGAAAATATGCATCAGTTTGGCCCAGCCCTGGAATTGATAAATTGGAAGTGTAGGTGAAGTCAGACTGAGACTTTCTCTGCCTTAACGGTGAGTTGATATTATTATTATTTTATTATTTATATAGCGCCATCAGATTCCGTAGCGCTGTACAATGGGTGATATCTGTGCTTCAACTTTTTTTGTAACAAAGTAAAGGCCATCACACTCTAAAGTGTAAGCCACAGAAGCCCAGGTGGGTGCCAGCTACTTATCTGTTGTCTGTGCGTCAATGGATCTCATTCAATGGAGGAAATTACTGCGTGCGTTCGTTCCAGTGATAGTCGTCAAGAGTTGGAATGCGTTTCACGGTGTAGCCAAAATGTATAACTTGTCGCCAGCTCTGCTGCTCATAAATGCAAATTTAAACAATTACAGAATTTCTGTACGTATATCTAATGAAATTGATAAACCGGGAGAGGATTACCATCCCACAGAGGCCAACTAAACTTTCAACTATTTCAAAATAAAATTGTCCAATCTGTCGGAGAAAAAAGAAAATAACACTAACTGAAACTAATCGCAGACAAGCTGATATGCAGGATTGGAATGGGTCTGATACAGAGGGTGTGAAAAGAATCCGGACATAAAGAGGCTGTCAGAAATGCAGGGCTAGAGAGAGATGGTACATTTTGAAAGATGACTTCTAGGAAATGTAAGAGGGAGGCAATGAAGTTAAGGAAGTGGACACAGATGGTATAAATGTTTAAAATGCATGTAATCACACTGTTATTCGTATTTAAGTGTGTACAGCGTTACTGAATATGTTGGTGCATTATAAGGGTTTGTTCAATGTGCATTTTTTTTCTTCTTTTTTATAAATGTACGCTAGAAGAAATAAAATGTGTTTTCTCTCTGGCTTCGAAGTATTTGGAGTTTAAAAGAAGATGTGATTAATGCACAGATATCCATTCATGGTCACGTTTTCCATGGAAGTGCTCTAGCCTAAACACCCAGGTGGGTTTCCTGAGGAATGCTTCATTTGTAAGGCACAATAAGGTTAATGAGAGTTTGTTTTACAAGTCGTGATGGATGTCCATACACTCTGCACGGCTTTTAAACATGTGAAGTATGGCAGAAAGGGCTTGCACTAAGTGATGCATACTCTTTTTTTTCTTTTCACAGTGTGTAGCATAGTTCTGGTCACGTTTTTCTCCTGCAGATGGTCTTTCCATCCTACCCCCGCTTAGGCAGTCTAAACATATGGCGAAAATGATGTGTTTGTTATACAACTTTTTTTGCTAGGAAATTTCTGGTCTATAGAATTGTGCCTTCTTTCATGGACTACACAAACACCCTGTACATGGGTCTGTCGTGTGTGTATATACACACACACACACACACACACACACACACACACACACACCCTTGTCAATGGGCCCGTTATATATACACACACCACACACAGCCTTGTCAATGGGCCCACTATATATACACACACCACACACACACACAGCCTTGTCAATTGGCCCATTATATATACACACACCACACCACACACACACACACACACACACACAGCCTTGTCATTGGGCCCATTATATATACACACACCACACACACACAGCCTTGTCAATGGGCCCATCATATATATACACACACCACACACACACAGCCTTGTCAATGGGCCCATCATATATATACACACACCACACACACACACAGCCTTGTCAAAGGGCCCATCATATATATATATATATACACACACACACACACACACACACACCCACACACACACAGCCTTGTCAATGGACCCATCATATATATATATATATATATATATATACACACCCCACACACAACACAGCCTTGTCAATGGGCCCATTATATATATACACACCACACACAACCTTGTCAACCTTGTCAATGGGCCCATCATTCATACATACACACACACACACACACACACACACACACACACACACACACACACACACACACACACAGCCTTGTCAATGGGCCCATCATATATATATATACACACCACACACATACAGCCTTGTCAATGGGCCCATCATATATATATATACACACCACACACACACAGCCTTGTCAATGGACCCATCATATATATACACACCCCACACACACACAGCCTTGTCAATGGGCCCATCATTCATACATACACACACACATACAGCCTTGTCAATGGGCCCATCATACACACATTCTCACACACACACACACACACACACACAGCCTTGTCAATGGGCCCATCATTCATACATACACACACACTCACGTAGTCCTGTCCATGGGCCCGTCATACACACACGGAGCACTACATTAGTACTGATTGGGTCAATCCAAGAGTTGAATGAATTTGAGCTTACTGAAGTGGTTATGGTGAAAGGACCCTTTCCCTACAGTCTTCAATTTGAAAGCTCCTTATTTTTTGAGGTAATAAAGCTTTGAATTGGAGAATGGAGCTGCACATAGTGTGGTATAGTAAGCTGATAGCAGTTATTGTATCGGTTTGTGGAGAGAGGTTCCACACTGTGTAATAAATGAAGTGTGCTTTTAATGAACCTATTCTCACATGTAAAAAGGAAAGGTTATTGTTAAAGTTTATCATCCATTTAGTTATTTTTATGAGCGCGCACATGATTAATGCAATAAAAGAAAACAAAATTATGTAATAGAAAAAGAAGAAGAAAAAAAAAAGCATTCACCCGGGCAGCCTTAAAAGGGGGTGGGCACGGTTTAGTGTTGAAATATAAACACAACCCTTGAACTCTGCTTTTGTCTGTTCATTGAAAGATTAGGCCTGCTTTTGACACCCTCTTTGAAGCAGAGTTTGTTCAGCCTCAGAAAGCAAGCTCTTGGTTCTAGTTTTATGGTTTGTAGAGCTGTGAAGACAAAATAAAAAGGAGACGCACACAAACACAACTGGAGGCTATTGACCAGGCCGGGTTTCTAGGATAACTAATTACTTGGAGTGCGTTTTGCTGGCTGTGTAAATAACTGAACAGCTTAAGTGGTTATAGATTGATGCCTGTTACTGGGAGTTTGTGAATTGTTCCTGATTTAACAGCACAGTCCATTTACTAGACAAAGAACCATCACTATTCTGGAAGTGAAACCATTGAATGAAATGATTGAAAGTTGCCTATAACTTGCATTTAGCTTTTTAAATTTATATTAAAGATACAGGAAGTGACATTACAATTCGGTTCCCCGCACAACCATGGCACACAATGTAAATCCTCTTTTAAAGGGCACGTGTCATTTCCCAAACAAACAGTGCTCATTAGTTTAGGCCTAAAATTACATTTCTACATCGTGGTAGCAGTTTTGCTAGCAACTGCATAGATTAGGGGGGAAAGCCTATTTGCAGATAAGTTTCTCTCCCAGCTGTTAGCCAGTGTCTCGGTGTGTCAAGGGAGAGATGAAAAGACCTCCCACGGGATGTTCCTCTGCTCTCCTCCCATAGCAACCACTGTGCATGCATTGCGGTTGCTATGGAAACTCGAAGCGCCAGTGGGGGAGTATAGAAGCAGAGTGACTTCAGGTCACTCCGTTCAGACACTGGCACGCCTGCAACAAAGCCAGCGCACCGACGTCACTGACCAGATTTGTCCTGATTAGGGTGCGTCCCAAGCAGGGCAAATCGACGAACAGAGCGCAGGTGGAGTGGCGGATAGCCTAGAGTAACACCTACAATGCTGGTGCTGCATATAGACCGGTTCCCCTCTGACAAGCCAGGTCGGGCGAAACGCGGGCGTCAGGGGTACATGTGATGCTGTCTCTGATCATGTTCTGACAGCACCACACTTCAAACTATCATATTCTACCTCTAGAAATCTGACGTCTTATCTACTCTTAGCACTAGGGATCTCTAAGAGTTTTATTTATGGGAATAGCTGTAGGTGCCCCTGAAGGCAGTGTTGAGCGTTATCTACTATCTTATTCCGTTAGCTATTAAATATTACTGCAGGCGCTCTCCCTCTATTGGGTTTCATCAGCCATACGGTCTAGTTATTTTTCCAACAATAGACCGGCATGTGAGTTTGGCTATCGTGTATGCAGCCACTCTATATTTATCCGTATGTCTACTCCCCACCCTCCTATCCCAGGATACTACCCAATGGTATTATCATACTGACAGTGTATCACTGTACCTGCAGTCCTAGCTGTAACAATCCACGGCAGCATTAATCTATCACACTGACAACTTACTCTTACCACCTTGAACTGCTCACTTTGACCAAGTTCATTAGCAGTCCAAATTAAAATAATTGTTTGTACCACTAACCACGTGGTATGCGGCATTCATACGCTACCACAGTAGTATTAGACCAACTTACAGTAGTGCTACATACTATATATATGTTTACAACAATATTGACATCTCAGTTAGCAGGTATTTGCTTGTCATTATTTAGTTCACTATTACTCTGCGTGAGTTTGTGCCTTTTAGACCGCATACTCTGGATCCTTTTATAATTGATGCATCTGTCTTGGCACCACATGCTTTATCTGGCTTTTCTGCTATATTGGAGTTGCAGCTGGAGTATTGGTTATCCTGATTCAGCAATAGCACTATTCCACCATTTATTTAGTGCAGTGTATGCATGATTCATACACATGCTCAACTATTCTATAGATACCTAACCCGGTTAGCTACACCCCTTCTACCAAGCACAGACGTGTGCTTTTTTGTGTATTATCACATCCAAGACGCTAGAGTCTATTGACTTTCGTTTATATATCGATTTATCAAACATTGATTTATTCTTTTATTATATATATTTCACTTTTTTTGTGTGTATATAGCACTTTGGGTTATTGCTAGAAGCTATTTTTACATTCTTATTTTAATAAACTTTTTTATTTTTGACCTTTGGTCTTTTATATTTGATCTTGTGTGACTCCACTTTATCTGGAGTTATCCTGAACAAATTTGCGACTCATCCCAGTATCCCCTTTCGGTACACTATTTCAAACTTATAGAATGGAGGAAAAGTGAGTAAATCTTTCTATATACATTGAATTCACCATGCATTCAATGTATATAGAAGTGACTTTGACTTGTTTGGTGACCTACTATTACGTTTTAAAATTTGTTCAGTGATTCAATCCTAAACGAATATAATTTGTTTCTAATTTAATTCTGCAGACTTCCTTTGAATGGCTACAATAAATTGTGTATTAACAACACTGGCTTCCTAAAAGCCCTTCCCAGTGTCAATGCTCTGACATTAGTAAGCGATTTTAGGAAGCCATTGCTGTTTATATGCGATTTACTGTCGCCATTTGACTGGCCGTGACACATTGCGAATTCACAGGTTCCCCAGTAGCTGGAATATGAGCAAAGTGGCCCAATGATTGGCCCTCTGGTGTATAGATCGGGCACAATCTGTTTCACTGCACTGTTAGCCAATGAATTAACTCTGTGACACATCAATGGTGTAAACACACATACAGCACAAGGAATGTCTGTGATTGTGTAACATTGTTTCAGCAAACGCTTAGTGCAAGTGAACGACTCCTAGAGCATCATGGGAATGACATCACACTGAACACATCACAAATGCTGTGGGACAAACACACACATACACACATACACACACACACACACACACACACACACACACACTTTCTGTGGCATAAGTTTAGCTTTCTTTTATTCATGGTCCAAAGCTCTCCCTACCCCTTTTTAATTTTTAAAATGATTGTTTATGGTGTAAATTTGTTATATCATCGTTGTGTGTTTCTTTTCACTTAAATGTGTGCTGGAAACCAATAATGCGTTAATGAGCTGTGGCAGCCATTGTGTCAATGTATGCTATAACGTTTGACTAATTATATACCCTCAATCTCTTAAGTATATTTAACCATTGAGTGTTAAAGTTGCTTTAGCGACTCAATAACTTGTACTATTTGAACATTCTTCAGCAAATTCCTTTGTAGATAAAGTTATTTGTACCGCAGTAAATAGTTAACTCGGCCTTCCCTATTGTCACCTGCTTTTTATAAAAGCTGTGCTGCTAATTTGTTAGAACTCTTTAGAACCCTTAAGTTAGTGAAAAAGGAGTTTTGAAGTACTGGTAGTGATTTAATGTGATTTATTATCCGCTAATGAGGTCACACCGCTTACTGGTAACATAGGAAGGTGGTAAAAAGGAAATGGGTCAGAGGGTTATGGGAGAATGGTATAGAGCAGGGTAGATAGGACTTAGAATGATAGGGTAGAGACGGATGTTAGAAAGTGGAGAGAAGTTGGAGCATGTGAACATTTATTTTAAAAAAACATACAATAAATGTTCACCGTAAGAGTATAATAGCCCCTAAAGCAATCTGCGTATACATTTTCATAAAGGTAAATTATATTCTGTTATTTTAGGTTTCCTTTCATGATTAACTTGACACGTCTCCAGCATACCAGCGCAGCCATTACTGCATCATTGTCCGTGTAACACCCACGTTTGCCCACATCTCTCAATCTGGTACCATTTGCCAAGCTTGAGAAGTAAACCCTCCCCCAACACCCTGGCTTCATTACCTTTCCCTCCATTCATATCTATAATGGAGAGCAGGTAAACTGCCAGTAGGAAGATTCTCCTGCTCTCACATGTCACTCAGATCATCAGGTGAGGAAGTACATTTTGAAATATATTTAATTGTAAATCTATACATTTGCCAGCCAATGTATAGTGTTTATTTGTGCCAACCTATTTTTAATGCACTGTACAATTAGTGGACAATCAATGAATTTAAAATAATTTGGATATACAGGAATGGAGGATGATGAATGTCTTGCATGACTGTCTGCACCACAGGGGTGCCCAACAGGTGGATCCCCAGATGTTGTAAAACTACAGCTTCCATGATGCTTTGCCATTGTAAAGATTAATGCATGCAAAGCATCTTGGGAGTTGTAGTTCTACAACATCTGGGGACCTACCTTTTGGGCACCCCTGCTGTACCATGACTGGTGCATCACACTTTAGGCAGAACTATAGGGATTGTGGTTAGGGGGGGAAGGCAAGGGGGGGGAAGGTTAATGGAAATCTGGATAGAAGGAAGAATCGTTGAGGCTGGTATAAATGTATGAGAGACTATCGGAGGCCGGGATTTGGAAGGAGGATAAAGGTGGCTGCTAGGAAGGAGTGACATTGAGAGAAAGCCAGAGAGGAATATCTTTTTTGTTAAATGTGGTGATTCAGGTGTTAAGGTATTCTCACCAGCCTGTTCTTTGGAATTGTGCAAAACTCCCAATGAAAGCACCAGTACCACAGGATTGCACACTTACTATGCAGCGTGATTGTGTAGTGCTTCTAACATGGCAATTGTGATACCTCTGTCACAGTAAATATGAACGGCAATGCATAAAATGTGTTTTTGAAATAAATGTATTGAACGTGTGGGACTTGAATCATTTAAAACCTATCTGTCTGTCTGTCTGTGTCTTTTTCATTGGGACAATGGGAAACGTTTGTGACTTTCAGGTCTTGGCTGAAGTGGAACGGCCCAGATTCCCATTATTTAGGATTTTGGAGAGCAGGATAAAGCGTCACATTGACAGTGTGCATATTAAGACGTCATAGTTGTCCATGTGCTTGAATTTTCTATTTTACTGCTGGCTGGATTTTTAATTATTTTTGCTGGCTGGAGATATACATTCTATGTTAATTTAAACATTTTGTTGTCTGTACAAGTAATTTTCAGTTAAATTATACAGAGTAATGAAGCTATCGCTCCTTGGTTAATTTGTAATGTAAAGCGCGGCTGTTACTGATCCCCCACCATCTGGCTCTACGTCGTGTGGAAGACGATTGGGGGGCACGCTCTTCTTTTTAGAAGTGAATTTATTGCAGAATGAAAGTGTTTCATGGCTGACCCTCTCAATTCTGGGAACCATAAATCAGGCTATGGGGGAAGTTTTTCAATGAGACCAGGGCTTAACGTGTTCCCTTTAGAAGTTATATTTTATAAGGAGATTGATTTTAAAGCTGACTCGGAACTACAATCGCTTTTGAGTTGTGACCTTTCCTAGCAAGGGGCATATTTATCTACTGTCTTGTATTGGTTATTTTTTTTCTCTCATCAGTTGCAGCTTTTGCTCCTTAACCATCATTTTTTAATATACACTTTTTTGAGGGGGTTCTTCAGTTGCACAGTAGATTTATACATTTTTCCACTGCTTTGTTCAATGTGAAAAAGTTCTGCTTTCACTCTTTTAAAAAAAATTTTTTTTTTAAACTATCACTTTTTATACACGCCACAGCATCCCAAGAAGCGGGACACTGGCAGGTGGTGGGCAGGTGGGCGTTATGCTTATTTGGGCACAGTGCGTTGGTGCCCCTATAAGCAGAATACATTGAACAAACTCAGGACGGCAGAACTGGTCCCAGAAATTGAGACAGTCCCAACAAAAGCAGGATGGTGGGGAGGCATGGATACACACTTTAAGAAATTTAATCAAAATAATGATTGAATGTAACCATCACTTTGACATTTCTCCCTCAATGTGTCTGTCAGCCTACAACCATGACTCATGAACACCTGTTTAAACCCTCTGCAGAGAATATAAAGATCTAAAGACTGAGGGCTGCATTTCTCTAAATGGTTACTCAAAATTAAAATAATTTACACTCTGCATAATATCAAATGGGATAATTAAAAAATAAAATAAATAAATGGCAACTCTTTCAGTACCACTAATAATTTGGTGAATTATCCCTATACCATGTCTCCTCTTCACTCTCTAGTTTCACATTCCAATGTGTCTCCCTCGTTTGGCTAATTTGGTACCACCTATAGTAGGAGCTCAGAGTGTTTGCTGGTTTGTGGAACCCCCTCTCCCCAACTCCAAGAAACCCTTGTTGTTTTAAAGCATTGCTAAAATTTCAGCAGTACAGTAGAAAATAAAGTGAACAACATGTTTTGCTGAATTACTGCAGAAGCAGCAGAGCTTGCAATTAACCCTGCAATGTAAAAAAATTAAAAAAAGCTGTTTTGTTAAAGTAACATTGTTTGCAAGGAAGGGATAAATGCCCAGACAGCCGCTAGAGGTGCTTCTACCGTCATAGAGTTAAAAATGATCCTCAATCAGTTGGTCTCATAGAGACAATTTGATGTTGCAGTGTGACATTGAACTGTGCATGCGCAATAGCCTCCTAATGATTCCCAGTAGGGATATTGTATTGTATTGGCTGAGAGTATCTGTCTTGATGATGTCGGCAAAGGAGGAGGAATGACCTTGCGAGACCAGGGTGTGCGAGAGCAAAAGCCTTCCAAACTCTCACGGTTTGAGACCAGTTTTCCTAACGTGTTAATGTTCCTTTTACAATTCATCAATACAGTCCTCAAGTATCCATTTTACATATGATTATATTTTGCCCTAGATTAGGAGGTTTACAAATGTAGTTTATTTATTCAGTGTGTGTTCACTTGCAGTGCAGCTCAATGCCAGGCTCTAATTAAAATCATTAACATGAACTTGTGTGAAATAACAATTATAACTAAGAATTAACTGCTCGTTGGCATTTGTCTTGTATGCATATACATATTTTATTTTCTATTGTTTAATCTTTGTCACATTTCATTCTCCTTCTTTTGCTGCACCACAACCACTGTGAGCCTTTGACTTGCTGTGCATCTTGGGAGATGTAGTTTACTATCTGGAGTGCTGCATGTGACCAGCCCTGTTCCGTAAATTAGTGATGCTTGGCTAGCTGAATAGCTGGACATAATGTGAGCTGTCTAAGATTGCTGAAGGGGCCAAGGTCTTTACGCTACGGCTACAAATGTAAACTCTCTTTTCAGTAAATTCTGACTTAATTATTGTTCATTTACGTGGGAGAGCCTAGATGGTTAATACACAGATTGTTGAATAGAACACATAAGATCCAGCGCACTCACTCACCTACTAAACAGCAATTTCAAAGCTTACAGATTTTAATAGTTTTCTTTAAACATTTTTTTAAAAACACCTAATTTAGGTGAAAATAATTTAGTTACAGTATATGACCATTCATTTTTTTTTTCATGTTTAAATCTTTATTTCACTTTTTCAAATTACAGAGAAAACACAACACTGTGCATCAGTATAACAAAAAAAAAAAAGAAAAAATTAATAAAAATAAATACAAATAAAAATAGAAATAAAAATTCATTGCGTCTTGTAGAATATATTCGGCCCTCACTGTACCTGACTTTTACCGGCCAGGTCTAGTAACTGTTATACGGAAAGGGGGATTACAATACCAGGTGGATTTGTGTGTAGCAAATCAAACTTTTTTTTTTTTTTTTTTACAAATGTTTTCATTTATCGGTTTCAATTTCCAAAGTGTTTTCTGTAAGCATGTCAACAGGAAATATCCCCCTGTCTTGGCACATAGGCCGATACCCCCTCCAGATGTACTAATCTGCTGATGGTTTAAACGCAGGATACCCCAGCGCAGGCTTCAAATAATAGGCTTGCGTTAGGTGATGGTCTGTCGTCGCCTGCAAAGTGTTATTTCTCCAAAGACTCTGAACGGGATGAAATGATTTGTGGATAAATTATACCGATTTGGACGAGGGGTGGTTGGGGGGAGAGTATGACTAAAGGAAACCTGCAATGTATTAAGGAGATAGAGAGAATGGGAATGAGCAGAGGGAGGGGTGTTGCATGGATTTGCTGCCTATAAAGGAGGTTGGTAATTCTTATGCTAATCCAGGCCTTGGATAAGGAGTAGGCAGCCCCCCCTTCCACACAATGGCATTGGAGCCAGGATGTCTGGTCTGTAGTCTAGTGCGCCTTGAAAAGCATGTCAGACAGGGCGCCTGAGGCAGCCTTTGGGGGCAGGAGCTGAAGGAAGAGAGGGAGGATCGTTTGTTTCCTTGCTTCCCTGCTTCCCTGCTTCTTTAATGTGTTGGCACAAAGCCATATAAGAGAGAGAGAGAGAGAGAGAAATGTTAATTCAAGAAATGCAGGCAACTGGGGAGAGAGTACATTTCATCCCCACCGGAGCATTCTCTCTCTCTCTGTCTCTGCCTCTGTCAGTGTTAACCCATTGTGTGCCGCAGGCCTTGCATTCCAACACAGTGACGCACAATTTGTCTCAGAGCGTAAAAACACACTGCTACGGGGATTTAGTTTTGTGGTGTCTTAACGTTTTAACTAGGGATAAACTTTGAAGTGAGTACGTCTCTCTTGGATAGTCCGTGCCAGAAATCTAGCAACGGGTCATGGCATTCTGTAACGTTTCCAGTAACAATCACTCCAACGTGGGTAGACTGTTGCACAGATTGAAGGATGCAGCAAATATCCCAATCAATTGGGTGGGGGTCTTCTAAATTTCTTCCCTTTTTTTTTTGTCCCCCCCCACCCTTTCCCTCTGCTCAAGCTGCGTACCAAATAGCCTGATTTCATGGATTCCATATATAAAAATGCCAACGTTAAAGGACTGTGTGAAACTTCAGTGTTTTAGTAATGGTTTTACTGTACTGCAGATTGGCAACACTAACTATGAAATAAAAAGGTGCGATTTATAGTTTCATTTTTTTCTTCTTCTTTCATTCTTTTTTAGCACCTTTATTTTTACTTGTTTTGTTTATACAGATTGGCAACACTGCCATCAAGAACCACTAACCTGCCAGCTCAAAAATCCTGATTTCGGAAAACACTTTTCTTTTAATTTTTTTACATTTTATTTTAATTAAAGTCTCTTATTTGTAGTGAGCGAGCGTGGCTAAGGAGGCTTATGGTGCATAATTCTGCAAATGCCTTTATTTTATGGAGAAAAAAAAATGGTTGGAGAGAGGACAAAATCTATCAAATGCATTAAAGTTGAATTGGTGCCCATAATGTCCCTTTAAACCCTGCACTGCCCTGTTAGTTCAATGGAGGGGCTTCCACAGATTATGCTTGTTTTCCCTCACAGCCTTCACTAGCGATGGCTGTTAGAAATTATGACAAAACTTGTCGTAATAACGATTACCTCTGCCTTTTAGTCAAGTTTTGTCAGCCATAGAAAAATACATAAGACAAGTAGTCATTCATTGGTGGATACCATCATAATGAAAAACAAAATGTCAAATATATTGGAAGTGGTACATTAAATGTCAGCATAATTTGGTGTGTGTATTATTATTAATTACATTTTTATGTACTGTGTAAATACCAATAATATAGAATTTTGCCAGAAACCATAGGTGGATGAAGACTCTGCTCATACAAGCTTACAATCTAAGGGGGCAGGGGGGTTAAATGCAGTACAGTGTTGGGGATAGGAACCAAGTAGCAGAATTGAAAGGTGAGAGCGAAGTGGCGATTAAGTCCCCTATTTAGCTTGAGAAAGTAATGGCAGTCACCCTTGTAGTCTGTGTGTGTATATAATATTTGTCTGCCAATCATTAAGCCAATAAAGTATTTTGACAATATTTCTGTACCTCCTCCACTATTTGATGTGATGTATTGATAACAGACTAATATTCTATAATCGTGGTGCAATAGAGGAATAGGGGTTGATAAATAAAAGTCTGAGGAATGTGCGTGCTGTTAGTACATCCTGTCCTGGGCAGACGTAGAGTGTAAACAATCACACTAAAAGGAATGTTTGTTGTATTTGAACACGTGAAGAGACAGTCGTGTTATGAGGATGAGAATAGGGCAGGCATTTCAAAGAGGAAGACGTTCTTTGTTAATAGGACACCACCGTGAAAACAACTCAGGGGTGAAATATAAATAGATCACAAACCGGTGACCCACGAATGGGAAGGATCTTATACAAGACGTGTTGTTTCTTGTGGTTTTTTTTTTTTTCTCTCTTCCTCTCTAACATTCTACCTAAAGTCGCCATAATTTCTACATTTTACCAGGAAAGCTACATTGAGATTTCTCTCATTTTCAAGTATGTCCTGGGATATAGTACCTAGAAAGCAAGGTGCAAATGGTATTTTTAAAGGAACTCTATAGAGTCAGGAATACAAACGTGATTTCCTTATGCAATAGTTTTGAAACCACTGTTTAGGTTTTTGGCCCCCATCGTCGCTGGTTAAGGTGTAAAACTCACTTTTTTAAGTTTTCCAGCACTGCGTGGGTCTGTTGCAGTTGGCTCGGCTACCACTATGCCTTTTTGGCAAACTTGATCTTAGCCAATACAATGCTTTCCCATTGGAAAGCATTGGGATGCTACTGCACATGCTCAGTCAATGCAGCTCTATGACGAGCGTTCAGAGTTTCCATGCAGAGCATGGAGATGCTGAATGTCAGTGCTGCACTGACCCAGGAAACACCTCTAGTGGCCATCTGATTTACTGCCATTAAAGGCGTTTCTAGGCTGTAATGTAAATACTGCGTTTTCTTAGAAAGCCTTCAAGTACAGACTATACTAACCAGAACAACTGCAGTAAGATGTAGTTGTGCTGGTGACTATAGTGCCCCTTTAATGCACAATATTTGGGAGGGTTAAGTGCATCATATGCATACAGCAACTTTTTGACCAATCATCTCCAAATGTTCGTTTTTTTACTCTTATTTCTTCTTTTCTGTTCCTGTTAAAACTTTATAAGTCTTCCTCCCCAATTTTAAAAGCCAAGTGCTCTTTTCATCCCTCTTATATGTAAATGTTTATCTACTTGCCCATTTCTCAATATCTCCTTCACCCACCCGCATCTCTCTCTCAACACCACCACCACCCATAGCTGTTTTTTTTTTCTTAAAGGGAACACTCAGAATTTTTTTTTTCAGTAACACAGAAAGCACCATAACCACTACAGTGCAGTGTAGTTGTTATGGTGCCCTGGTGCCACCCTCTCTCATCAATTGTAAGGCTGGGGTACACTGGGTGCCACTCCCTGCATTCACTACTGGGAGAGGGGGGGGGGGAGTTGGTGAAGTAGATTTGCATGTCATCTGCATAGAAATTATATTGGAAGCCAAAGGAGCTAATGAGTTTACCAAGGGAGGCAGTAGAGATGGAGAACAGTAGGGGACCAAGGACTGAACCTTGGGGGACACCAACAGAGAGGAGTTGGGAAGAAGCAGAGCCAGAGAAATAAACACTGAAAGCGCGCTGGGAGAGGTAGGTGGAGCACCATGAGAGAGCAGTATCTTGTAGACCGATATTGCGGAGGATGAGAAGAAGCTGTTGATGATCAACCGTGTCAAAAGCCGCACACAGGTCAAGGAGAATAAGGATAGAGTAGTGACCATGAGATTTTGCAGCGAGTAGATCATTGGATACCTTGGTCTCATTGGTTGTGAACAATCCTCATTGGTCCAAGCTCGCTGATGGCACACCACCCAAAATTCCAAATGGACAAAGAGGAGTGGGGGTGGGGCTATTTTGAGACATTTTAGGTGACTTGTAATTTAGGCTTATCTATGCTAACTAAAGTGTAATTTTAAACAAGAACACAGTATCTTATTTCCGCACACATGTGTACAGCTTGACAAAGGCCCTGCTGTGGGCCGAAACATTGCTTTCATCTGCTCCCCTAAACCTGCTCACTTTGGGTTTACGTTTTGTGCCTGGACCATCATTTATTTTCAGAAAATTACATTGTGAGGATTGGTTAACCTTAGGCCCAGTTGCACCCTGGGATCCAGGCGAGTGCAGTATCCTGTATGGTAATTACATGTAGTTTAACAGAGTTCTATGGCAATAATACTCCCAATAATGTGTCCCAAACACTCCTAAATAGCGACAATTGGGGGGTATGGAGGAACACTTCCAACAGCAATATCAAAACATCAAAATGCAAAAGTGGTCATGGTGCTTGAAATGATCCTTTACACGCATCAGCACTTGGACAGACACCTCACGACATCCCAATCTGCCTTCTATAATTGTATCGATAGTTAGATCTGTCCAGTCAGACGCTTGTCAGAAGCGTTGCGGACATACGGTACACTCTGCAATCAGTGTCCTACCAATCCTATACTTGACTATGCAGTATGTGATGATGCTGAGAGCAAAATCTAATGGCCTGAAGTAGTAGATGACTGTCTGCTTGGTAGCACCTAGAGGTGTGTTTTCTGTAAAATGTAAACATTAAGATGCAGTGGTTTTGGTGATTAGAATGTCCCTTATGACTCATGTAAAGCTGGTAACCTTAGACTCTTATTCCACTCTCACAACACTAAAAATTTTAGCCTTTAGAAACAAGTAATAAATTTAGCTCAAACATGGGGGTACGTCTACCTACAGTACATACGGAGTTCTACAGCACCCATGACTTTTTTCTCTGTAAGTCTGAATACATTCCACATGTACCATATGTGATTGGTGATTCTCAATGCTCGTTACATATATATTATTTTCTATGCAAACACAGTTTTGCTGGTGTTTGTAGAACATCATTGAATAAAGAGTGTTTTTTTTAAATTTATATATTCAAAAGCAAACCTGTGCCGATGTCCTCATGATCACATTTATTATTGTACAGCGCTGCGGAGTAAGTTGTCGCTATATATAAATGCTGATAATACTTTGTTGCAGATTGCACCACATTGAGCACTCTAACCCAATGTTGTATGTTCTCAGTGGCTCATTGTATCTTTCCCATTCATGTATCTGTAGAATACGGCACAGCCTTGATCTACAGACTGAAATAAAGGTTTCCCTTTAATGTAACACTATAAGGTCAGAAATACAAACATGTATTCCTGTCACTATGGTTGTGAAAACATAGTTTAGGTCCCTGGCCCCCCGGTCAGTAAAATGTGATTTATTTTTTTTGATTTTTTTTTAATTTTTTTTTTTTTTTTTTTTAAATCCCCTTTATTCCAGCGAAAAATGCAACACTGCACTAATCAACATCTCTTCATAGAGATGCATTGAATCAATGCATCTGTATGGGGAGCATTCGGCGTCTCCATGCAGATGCTGAAAGCCAGTGCTGCACACTGTGCAATTCTTCCCCAGGAAGCACCTTTAGTTGCCGTCTGCATAACTGCTCCTCGAGGTATCCCTTGGCTGTAATGTAAGCACGGCCATTTCTCTGAAAAGGCAGTGTTTACATTAAAATGCCTGCAGGAACAGGCTATAGACACCAGAACAAATACATTAAGCTGTTGTCGGTCAAGTTTTGAGCTAGAATTGTACTTTGTGTCCTTTCTAGAGACTTGCATTGAGTTTGTGATCAAATGCTTTCCGGGAAGCTTTACTGCCACGCAGATGCCAAGTACATTCTAGGAGCCCTGGACTTTTCTGCAGCACATGATCTTCTCTTGGTCTCTGTAGTGTTTTTAATATGGTTCTCCCCTGTGGCTATCCTGTCTCTCTTCTCTTGTGCCGATGAACCCTCTTTGTTTCCTAATTACCAAGAAGTCACAGATGTGTGAAAATTAGGCCACAGGTCGAAGGCCGCATGCCCCATACCCACCCAAATTGGAAATGACAGGCGTCTCTGTGCCCCAGCGCTAATTTGTCTCTGTGTTAAACTCCTCCAGAGCCCCAATTAAAATGAAAAGTTCTTGGGTTTTGATGAACGGACAGATTGAGTTATTTATGGTGGAACCGTAATTGAGGCACATCCTTGAACAAATAGAAATTTTTCCATTCAAGAATAGCGCCAGGCTGACAGGGTCGCGGGGGTCAACCTCACCGAAACAAGAGGCCAAAGAAAGCCAAAACCAGCCTTCCATTCATCTTAACACAGATCCCCTTTGTCTACATTAACTGTTGAGGTGTGCAGGTTCACCCAGCAAGTCTAATTATGCTTTCTGCATTAATCAGTGTAAAAAATAATTAATCCAACTAGCATTATTTTTGCTCTGAAATTGGTACCAAGCTAGAGTATAAACATTGAATTATTTTTGTTGTTTTTTCTTTATAGTAATGTTTGTATATATATTTTATGTTTTTAAGAATATGGTTTCATTTTCCATTGTGTTAAAGTTTGGTTCCTGACTCTTAAAGGGATACTATAGTGTCTGGAATACAAAGCTGTATTCCTGGCACTATAGCTCCTTCTACCCCTGCCCCCAATAAATAAAGGGTTAAAAACTATTTACTTATCGTTTCCCAGTGCCGATGTCCCGCGGCGGTGGGTTGACGTTCCGTCCCCTACTTCGTCACATGACGAGCGGGGTCTAATGCGCATGTTTGGAATCAATGCTTTCCTAAGGGGGAAAAAATCTGTCGCTGGAGGTCTTCATCCAGAGCGTGAGGACGTCCAGCGTCAGTTACCAGACCAAAGGTCCGTTTTCAATTCAGGACCCAACCCCAGTGGCTGTCTGATAGACAGCCACTGAGGGCAGACTTAGTGCTGCAATGTAAGCATTGCAGTTTCTATGGATCTGCAGTGTTTAACATTGCAGCACTATGTGCAAAAAGGACACAACAGCTTAGCACTTTAGCTCATTGAAGTGGTCTGGGTGCCCACAGTTCCCTTTTAGGCTGCTGTGGAAAACAGGACCCATGACCCAAAACCAGTTGGATGGCGATGCGTTCGGAGAAATGTATTGCACAGTAGCTGGGGAGCTGAAAGTTAGTCATTACTGTTGGAAGTTGGTTCATGTTGATTTTAAGTGAGACTCCTAAAATGCTTCAAAGCGAAATGTTTTTTGGTAATAAGTGAAATTTTAAATGTTTTTTTTTTTTTTTCTTTTCTGTTTTAGACATCAAGGATCTAAAGCCAAAGAAACGGAGGACTTTGCATTTGTTGCGTCCCCACGCAGTTCCTTTTCCAGCTATTCTGTAGTCTGGTCAAGTCATTTAAACCTAGTGAGGAAACTCAATTTTTGAAGAATGGAGGATCAATTTAGAATCTTATTATTGGGGACCTTCCTCCTCCTGTCACTCAGTGTTCAAGGTAGGTAAAAACATAAGATGCTTTAAACCCGGACTTAGATCTCTAGGTTCTCACAATATAAAGATGCCCAATGTATAACCATTATCCTGATTGATTCTACTAAAGATGCAGTCCGCATAGTCTCAAATAACATAATCCGAGCAAAATTGGCCTTACCGTAGTGACAAAAAGCAGCACTAAAAATATATGCGCAAAGAAAGCTTGTTTCATGCACTACATTGCGTCCGTTCAAGAAAGCAAGCAGAGTTTAGGATTTCTGAGCACATTTACTGTCTAGAATTAAATGCTGAATTGCATTATGTGCTTTGCTTTCAGTTACTCCAACTGGATTGACCAGCTGACTTACTGAAGTGTTTTGTCAAAGCAAAACAATATGCCAGAAAATGCATATTGTAAAATAATTTAATACCACAAGCAAAGTGCATTTACTATTTCTCAGGAATTCCTTCTGTAACCCATAAAATGGTACCTGGAGGCTGACAATCAGCCCACTGTTGCCTAGTACTAACTTTCTTATTAGCACCAGACATCGGCCAATGAAATGCTTTAGAACTGTGCAATATTATTATTGCCATTTATATAGCGCCAACAGATTCTGTAGCGCTTTACATACATGACTATATGTAGATCTATTTTTTGTGTTGTATACAGAAAGGTTTTCCATTTTCTTACTAATTGGATATTCTCATCTTGTTGTTTTTGCAATACTACATTTGGATTAAAGGGGCACTCCAGACACCATAACAACTTTATCTAAATTAAGTTGTTATGGTGCCAGGAGACCCCTGGCAACACTCTTACCTTAAGGGGTAACCTGTTTTCTAACAATTTAACCCCAAAGTGAGCCACCAGCTGCGATCTTAACTTCCCCAGGCATCATCAGACTTCTGAAATCTCAGCCAATTAGTAAATCCCCATTCACAAAACTGGATTAGAAAAAAACAAAAAAACTTACATTTTCAAGCCAGTTTTGTGAAAAGGGAGTCACTGATTGGCTGAGAGCTTCAGCAGACCGTTGTCAGCAAATCAGCTCCTCCCCTTCCCAGTGGCACTCAGTGCTTCCCGAAACAGAGATTTCAGAAGCTGGATGCCGCCTTGGTCGGAATTGAGATCGGCACTGGAGGATCCAAAACAGTAAGAGTGCACCTGGGGGCCTCTTGGCACTATAACAACTTCATTTACATTTAAATTGTTATGGTGCCTAAACTTGGTAAGTGTGTAACAAGATTTTGACTCTGTGACTATTTCTGTGAACTCTGCAGCCTGGATATAGATTGACATGGAAGTAATAAGGACATAATTCCATCTACACAATGTGCCAATAGAATTGCGAGAAAATCAACATAAAGATATGGCCCTTCCTTTCCATGGTGCTTGTCCATCACAGCAACTACAGTGTGCGCACTATAGTGATTCACTTTTCTTTATTTAACACTGTTTATATGAGCGTATTGAATGCCTCACTGAATTATTATTGTCCGTATCCCACACAAGTAACTATAGTCATCATTAATATTTCCAAGGTGCAGTTGCAACAACACACAACAAATTTTATTTTCTCTGCTGGTTAGTTTCATCTTGGTCTGTTTAACAAGAAATGTGGATAAAAGGAAGAGCACAGCTAACATTTGTAAGATTACAATACAATCAAAGGCAACGTCAAGGTGGTACAAAGGTTACTCATTAAAACAGCCAACATATTATGTGTCGCACAGATGTAAATAATGGCAGTCTTCCCAAACTTCAAAAATGAAACCTACAACATAGGGCCAGCCCTTAAACGCTCACCGTAACGTGTTCCCTGTGTTACAACACACTTCAATAGGAAGTGTTGTTTCAGAGATAAAGAATATCGCACTTTCACCAGGTGCAAAACCCAAATCGATTAGATATTAGTAAAAAGTAGGTGCAGGCACTCAAGGTCTCTTCTAAAAGGCAGATTTATTGAAAACTCAACGAGCAACGTTTCGGCATACACAGAGGGCTTTGTCAACCGTGATCTCTGTGTAGGCCGAAACGTTGCTCATTGAGTTTTCAATAAATCTGCCTTTTTGAAGAGACTTTGAGTGCCTGGACCTACTTTCTACTAATATCTACTAACTTTGAGTTTTGCACCTGGTGATAGTGCGCTCTCCTTTATCTTTGAAACACACTGTAAAACTGATTTGTAAGAAGTTTAGCTGGGGCAGGTAAGATATCTAATATTGCAAGGTGTAAAATAGTAAACATTACACTTTGATTTACAGAAACTATAATCCCGGCTGTCATATGGTAACTTTGACAAACCCACTCATCAAAACTTAGTGGTTACATGTAACCGTTAATCTTCAATCAGTGTATTTACTTATTACTTGATATTTTGCATCCAAGTCAGCAAAAACGTTGATTACGAACCTATGACTACTTGTCACTACACAAAAGAAGAAAATACAGCTACATGTATAATGTACACGTATCTGGACTCTCAACTTCAAACCAATTATTTGTTAGAACTGTCAGAGCCATGATGGTGCATCTAGTACCAAATTGGATGTTGAAAGGGACACTATAGTCACCAGAACTACAGCTCAATGTATTTGTCCTGGTGTCTATAGCATGTCTCTGCAGGTTTTCTAATGTAAACACTGCCTTTCAGTAAAAAGACAGTGTTTACTGCCTAGGAACACCTCCAGTGACTGTCACTCAGACGGCCACTAGAGGTGCTTCCTGGGTCAGCAGCACAGGTGCTGAACGTTCCTCATAGAGATGCATTGAGTCAATGCATCTCTGAGGAGATGCTTACCAGCGCAGTGCAGTGTTTTGCCACACATGTGCAATAGCCTGGACTGGCTGAGATCAACAGTTTTTTGATGATCTCAGCCAAGTTGACGGATCCGTGGCGAGACACGCACAGGGTACACTTTATACCTTTTAATGTGGCAAGGGGGCCGCCCACCTAAAATGTATTTTTAACACTACAGTGTCAGTAATACACATTTGTATTCAGGACACTATAGTGTTCCTTTAACTTGATCAAGAACATTATTGTGATGGGCATTCCACACCTCCACTATCAGGAGAATCCACCAACATACACATTTAGGACAAAATATCAAGAGTTGGGAAGAAATCCAACTTGACTTAACTTGGTGATTTACATGTAACAGTTAATCTTAAATCAGTTAATCAGTTATTTAAATTTTAATTATTTCGCATCCAGGTCAGCAAAAACTTTGATTACTACACATTTCACACAAGAAAACAAAATCCTGTTAGATGTATAATGTACACATATTTGGGCTTTAAACTACAAACCATTATTTGTTAAAATTGTTAGAACCATGTGATGACACTAATGATGCATCCAGTACCCACTTGAATGTTTAACTAGATTAAGAACATTAGTGCAACAGTGGGCATTCCAAACCTCAACTATTAGGGGAATCCACCAAAGTGAGAATAAAAAGCAAACTTCAAATCTAAGGTAAAAATGGCCAAATTGGTAAACTTCTCCAAGCCAGTTCGGCTACTTCTGGCTCTAACCCAAAATTCACCATGAACTCTCACCCAGGGAACAACCCAATATGTTTCATGACATTAACAAAACTAAGAGACCTATTCACCAAGCCGCAAGTCGTAGTAAATGGACAACCAACATACATTTAGGGCATAGTATCCGAGTTGGGAAGAACTCCAACATTCTCTTTTGGCACACATTTTGTGAGCTGGGTGTCGTCACCACAACTGATTGCTTAGTGATGCACCCGCATTTGACCTGGCAGTGGCCAAGAGGTGGATCACGACTATATCTCACAATTCTCTGCCAGGATCCAGAGCAATGTAGTCAAGACAACTGAATATGGAACTATTAGAAAATTCTGAATTACTTAACTATTGAACCTGAAAACATTTTTAGCTCAACATGAATGATTAGCAAAGAAAATCAACATAATCCGGCAAGGAGGTTTAAACCTAGCTTAAAGTAATTGTAAGTGCAGTGGTGCCATGTCTGTTTACTCCTTAGCAGTAATGTGGTAGTAGTGGTGTTGATGATAGACATGCATGAACCTAACTGCTCACAGAGGTGGTCTCACTTGTCATCCTTGATAACTGTGGTGGTGAACTGGCTTGCCTCTATGCTCGCCTCACATTCTGCTTCACCTCTGGTGCTCTTATTGTTAGTGGGGAAGTTCAGAGAAACCAAGCCACAATCTTTGCTGCTGGGAGGAGGAAACACGCTTGCCACGGCCTCATGATATGATGGGGTTGCTTCATAAGTGAAGAGAGGTGGGACACAAGCAGGAGTGGCAACATTTTGTCTAGGGTACGAGGGATAATAGGAGTGCATCCTATACTGTGAGCTTACACTGTGTCCTGGCAAACTATTTTCACCTACATTCATAACTACTATGTAAGGGACAAATGATACATGTTGCAGTTGTGGTCTTGAAGATGTCATACTTATGTTTGGACAGGCATCCTGCCACTGGTTTCCTGGCTGACTTGGGACGTGGGTTCGTGGAATACTTCTAAATGCGCTTGCCACTGGTGGGTTTGACGTGTGCGGTTGGCGTGGCTGGGCTTGACATTGGTGCGCTTGACATTGCTGGGTTTGACATTGGTGTGCTTGATATTGCTGGGTTTGACATTGGTGTGCTTGATATTGCTGGGTTTGACATTGGTGTGATAGATATTGCTGGGTTTGACATTGGTGTGCTTGATATTGCTGGGTTTGACATTGGTGCCCATTGCATTGCTGGTTTAGCCATTGGTGCGCTTGGCATTGCTGGGTTAGTCATTGGTGCATTTGGCATTGCTGGGTTATCCACTGGTGCATTTGACATGATTGCGTTTGCCACCGGTGCGCTTGACATGATTGAGTTTGCTACCGGTGCACTTGACACGATTGCGTTTACCACCGGTGCGCTTGACATGATTGCTTTTGCCACCGGTGGTGCGCTTGACATGATTGCGTTTGCCATTGGTGGTGCGCTTGACATGATTGCGTTTGCCATTGGTGGAGGGCTTAACATGATTGCGTTTGCCATTGGTGGTGCGCTTAACATGATTGCGTTTGCCATTGGTGGTGCGCTTGACATGATTGCGTTTGCCATTGGTGGTGCGCTTGACATGATTGCGTTTGCCATTGGTGGTCAGCTTGATATGATTGCGTTTGCAATTGGTGCGCTTGACATGATTGCGTTTGCAATTGGTGGTGCGCTTGACATGATTGCGTTTGCCATTGGTGGTGCGCTTGACATGATTGCGTTTGCCATTGGTGGTGCGCTTGACATGATTGCGTTTGCCATTGGTGGTGCGCTTGACATGATTGCGTTTGCCATAGGTGGTGCGCTTGACATGATTGCGTTTGCCATATGTGGTGCTCTTGACATTGTTGCTCTTGGCATTGCTGGGTTAGCCATTGATGCGCTTGGCATTGCTGGGTTAGCCATTGATGCGCTTGGCATTGCTGGGTTAGCCATTGGTGCGCTTGGCATTTCTGGTTTAGCCATTGGTGCGCTTGGCATTGCTGGGTTAGCCATTGGTGCACTTGGCATTGCTGGGTTAGCCATTGGTGCGCTTGGCATTGCTTGGTTAGCCATTGGTGCGCTTGGCATTGCTTGGTTAGCCATTGGTGCGCTTGGCATTGCTTGGTTAGCCATTGGTGCGCTTGGCATTTCTTGGTTAGTCATTGGTGCGCTTAGCATTGCTGGGTTAGTCATTGGTGCGCTTGGCATTGCTGGGTTAGTCATTGGTGCGCTTGGCATTGCTGGGTTAGCCATTGGTGCGCTTGGCATTGCTGGGTTAGCCATTGGTGTGCTTGGCATTGCTGGGTTAGCCATTGGTGAGCTTGGCATTGCTGGGTTAGCCATTGGTGAGCTTGGCATTGCTGGGTTAGTCATTCGGTGCGCTTGGCATTGCTGGGTTAGTCATCGGTGCGCTTGGCATTGCTGGGTTAGTCATCGGTGCGCTTGGCATTGCTGGGTTAGTCATTGGTGCGCTTGGCATTGCTGGGTTAGTCATTTGTGCGCTTGACATTGCTGGGTTAGTCATTGGTGCGCTTGACATAATTGGTTTTGCCATTGGGGTGCTTGACATGGGTGTGTTCATCATTGGTGTGTTTGCCATCCCTGCCCTTGCCATTGGTGGCCCATTTACTCCACCTTGGTTACTGCCACTTGGTCCAGCAGTCAGAGCCATTTGGTAGGGAGAATAATTGTGTAAGTTGTAGTATGGGAAGCGTGGTGGCTGGTAGAAGTTATCAAAAGCTGTACTTACAGCCAGTTCAGGGGTGCAGTCCATGTGTCCTCTGATGGTGACAGACAGATCCCGAACCGTCACCCTTCTCCTTGTGTCACTGGGTGCGGACCCTTGGGTGGAGCTGCCTCCAGTGCTGGCCACCAGACAGCGAATGCCCATCTTCACTTCCAGGGCCTTCTGTCTGCGCAATGCCATCCTGGCAGCCATGGCCCTCTGCCTCCTGACCACCTGCCGGCACCCCATGCACACACACCACCTCCAGGCACAGAAGCTCTTGTGGTCTTTGAGGGGCGAGGCACAGCCATGGGCCCGGCACCGCCCGCACTCGGGCAGCTTGGCTCCTCTCTTCTTCCCCGTGGCACGGAGCTGCGCAGAGCTGCCGGCATTGCTCGGGGACTGATCGCTGTTATTGTCAATCGCGATCCCCGAGACATGGAGTCTGCCACCGGCCGCAGCGTGCGCAGCGCTTCCTCACCCAGGGCAGGATGTCACCGCGCATGCGCCAGGCTGGGCTCCGCCCGCGAGGTGCGCACTCTGCCCTGTGACACGGCTTCCTGCACGGAGCGCACCCTGCACGGTGACGTCATCCACTTTAATGGTAAACTGTGAAAAACCCAGGTCCAGAATGTCAGCAATTCCATGGGATTCTAAAGTAATGCTGGGCATCAAGAGCTGCAGGCAGATCCAAGCGGAGTGCTGTGAACACGGGGATTCTGATGCCATATCCTGAGAGGTGACAATGACTGCCACAATGTGATGTCATATCCTGAGAGGTGACAATGCCAGAATGTGATGTCATATCCTGAGAGCTGACAATGACTGCCAGAATGTGATGTCATATCCTGAGAGCTGACAATGACTGCCACAATGTGATGTCATAGCCTGAGAGCTGACAATGACTGCCACAATGTGATGTCATAGCCTGAGAGCTGACAATGTCTGCCACAATGTGATGTCATAGCCTGAGAGCTGACAATGCCTGCCACAATGTGATGTCATAGCCTGAGAGCTGACAATGCCTGCCACAATGTGATGTCATAGCCTGAGAGCTGACAATGACTGCCACAATGTGATGTCATAGCCTGAGAGCTGACAATGTCTGCCACAATGTGATTTCATAGCCTGAGAGCTGACAATGACTGCCAGAATGTGATGTCATATCCTGAGAGGTGACGATGACTGCCAGAATGTGATGTCATATCCTGAGAGGTGACTATGACTGCCAGAATGTGATGTCATATCCTGAGAGGTGACACTGACTGCCAGAATGTGATGTCATATCCTGAGAGGTGACCCTGACTGCCAGAATGTGATGTCATATCCTGACCGGTGACGATGCCTGTCAGAATGTGATGTCATATCCTGACCGGTGACAATGCCTGTCAGAATGTGATGTCATATCCTGAGAGGTGACGATGACTGTCAGAATGTGATGTCATATGCTGAAATCGATGACAGTGCCTGCCAGAATGTGATGTCATATCCTGAGAGGTGACGATGCCTGTCAGAATGTGATGTCACATCCTGAGAGGTGACGATGCCTGTCAGAATGTGATGTCACATCCTGAGAGGTGACGATGCCTGTCAGAATGGGATGTCATATCCTGAGAGGTGACGATGACTGCCAGAATGTAATGTCATTTCCTGAGAGGTGACGATGACTGTCAGAATGTGATGTCAGATGCTGAAATACATGACAGTGCCTGCCAGAATGTGATGTCATGTCCTGTGCTGTGATGCAAATAAAGATCATAACAATAATCTGCTGTTTAATCAGTTTAGTAACTGATCTATTAATATATAACGGAGGAGCTTAAAGTGACTCTTGACAAAGTCAGTGCGGTGGCCCGTGGGTGAAGGGTAAGGTGATTTTACTGAAACCGTCCATTGTGGTTACTCCATCTTCATCTGCCTGGAGCTCATGTCAAACCTGTACTTTCACGCATGCGCGAGAGTACAGGACTGAGGTCTGCCAATAGCTGTCTCTGGTGATGTTTGAGGAAATGACAAAACAGCAGTTGCACCACCCTTTGTCAATTTTTGGCAAGCTTAAGAAGTATACCAAGACAGATTAGTTCCTACTTTGTCTTCTGTTTGAGTCTCAGTGAAATTCCAACACAGCTAATGAGAGTATCTTATAAATATTTTATCGACTGCATTGAAGGTGGGAAGTTTGCTGGACCTTGTGATGTTTTTTTACTCTGAGCTTTGAATGGGCATGCCAGCTGTTGCATTGTACAGCTCAACGATCTTACCAGATAAAGCATTGGGACTTATGTTCCAATAAGAGAGCTTGTTCTTTAATGCAGCTCTGTGCTAGTGATGTGGGGTTGGGGCGACAAGCTGTCTATCCTGGAACGTGCTCTGTCCCTCCCTTGGTGGAGCGTCAAGTGATTAGAAATTATATTGCAACATAGACAGCATCTCACCAAATCCACATTTGGCACTGGATCTCTGATCATTTTCCATATTACCCCTGCCCTGATGTTCCATGGATTGCATGTTTAGTTTGAGTATTTTAGACTTTTATTAGGTACCAAGCTTGGAAGTTAAAATATTGCTAGTTTTATTCTTGGGAAACAACTAATTGCAACCTTACAAAGAACGTCTGCTTCCTCCAATGGAGACTCTTACTCGGAGCTCCAACTTTGTGTTAATTGTGTGAAACCTTTGAACGGAAGTTTTTCAGTACAAATAGTTCACATAACTTCCTTTTTGGTAAACTGTATAGTTTCCTTTATGACCATACTAGATTTGTAACTTTCTTTTCTTGGTGTATTGCTCAAGTTGTGTGTGTCAGTGGGTTAAAACATGCTATTCGCTTAATGTATGTACTTTTTGCATCGTATGTCCCTGCCAAGAATGCATGATGTGGCTTTTTCATAATCGGCAAAGAAGGTCCATGTTTCTCCACCTTTGAAGAATTGATATTTTTGAAGGTCTGTAATATTGCTTACAGTTGTGTTGTTGAAAGTGGTAGCTTAAAGGTATTCACTATGGTCCACTGCAAACTTTGATCCGCCAAATGCCGTGTATTTTATAATGTTTCTCTATTTTGACGAATCTTCTTTTATTTACAGTTGTACCTCATTATGCCACAGTTACTTTGATTGGCTCTCCAGGGCTGTAAGAATATGCTTTAGTTTAGATCATTATTACGCAACAAAAAATTCTTCAGAATAGTCTAATAGGTGGACTAACAAACAAGTAGTTGCAACAAGACAAGTTGGATGTACAGAAACAGGAGGTTTTGAAAGCCCATTTGAAACCAGCTTATGTACCAAGTTAGACAATGACTTCCAACCATGAAGTTCTCCAGAAGAACTATCTCCTTTGCAGTATTTCTGTAAGCTTAGGACACCCAAGTGCTAATTCATTTAACCTGACAAATAAGACCTAAAGATATTTTTACTAGAAACCTGTGAGCATTTCTTTTTGTGTCAAGAAGATGAACTAAGTGAAGGTTAGTTTAAAGAGACACTATAGTCACAAGAACTACAGCTTAATGTAATAGTTCTTGTGTCTACTCCCTGTCCAAGCAGGCCCTTTTACATACACTGCCTTGTTAGAGCGGTTACATTGCTGCCTAGTAACACCTCTAGTGGCAGGCACTCAGAGGGCCACTAGAGGTGCTTCCTGGGTGCAGCACTGACATTAAGCATCTCCACCCTATGCATGGAGGCGCTGCTTTTTCCTCAGCGATGCATTGATTCAGTTCATCTTTATGAAATGTTGATTGGTCAGCTCTGTTCTTTGCCGCACAACCTTCCAATGCTTTCCTCTGGAAAGTATTGGATTTTCTGAGATGGTCAATTCTGATGATCTTAGCCAAGGAGGTGGACCGTGGGCGGATCTGCATGGCACTTGGGGGAAAAAAGGCAAGTTTTAACCCTATTTAAGAGGGTTAAGGGGGACACTTAAAATGTGTTTTTTAACACTATAGGGTCAGGAATACACATTTTGTATTCCTGACGCTATAGTGTTCTTTTAATATTTTTTTTGTTTGTTTTTAAAGTGATAAGGTCATTAAACATACTGAACTTATATCTGCTTGGCACCAACTTACATAAAGATGAATACTGTTCTTTTGTAATCTTAACCCCTAGGTTCATTCCTTAATTCCCACTGAAAGTGAAAACATTTATCAAAACGTCTCAACAGTAACATCTTATAACCTCTTATTAATTCCAATTCCCACAGGAACATGGTATGGTCTCTCTCCTAACTCTAATAAGATGACGATCTAGACCCATAGTTCGTCTAAACAGCTGGTAAATTCCTCCGACCCTTGTAATGTTTTTAGGGATGGCTTCTGGTTTTCCTGGCTACATTATTTGCCAGTGCTCTGTTTTCAATGGCAGTGGGCGAAGGGGGTCCCAGCGAGTCTCATGTCAAGCTTATACTAAGAAAATAAAGGTTCCTGCCAATGGCGCCAAGTAAATTAAGCCCAAAGGAAAGTTCGCTTTATCACCTTGACTAACATAAATGCCCATTTGTTATTAAAAAAAAAAAAAAAAAAGTTTATTTTCTTTTGGTCTCCTGCTCCACCTGTGACATATTCACCCAAAAACGTATTACACCCCTCCCACCCCCTCGACATGTCAAAGGCGAAAGCGTAAAAATATGCTTCAACGTGCTATTGCCCCAGAGAAGCGTGTTGTGTTTAAGCACGGCGTAGAAATCAGACTGAATGTAGACATTTGTGTGAATTCACAAGGCCGTAACTCTAACACATGGTTCTGATTAAGTGTATGGAAAAATAGCATACCTATCATGAACGTTTTAAGTTTAACAAGCCACCCTGGAAACAGATCTGTAGTTTTCCTCCTCCCTCCCCTCCCCCCCCCCTTTTCTCCTTTCCTTCAGGCAGAAATCTTGACATTTTGGAAGGTAATGCCTGAAAAGTGAGAGCGATTGTCAGAACTGTATATTTTCCATTTTCCTTGTCTCTAGGTAGTCAAAAGCAAAGTTGTGTTTACAAATATGTTAAAGATTTCCATAGACTGACAGGACGCAAGCGTTGTTATAACATTGTACAGCGCTGCGGAATTCGGTGGCGCATTACAAATAATAATAATAATACTATAATGTTCAAACAGGGAATGTCTTACTATATGGGAGGTGGGAAGTATCTTGAATTGTCACCTCTTGCTGTGATGGGATACCTGGCCCTGATGAATAATGTCCTTTTGGTTCAGGTGACCCAGTCTTTCAGAAGACCGTTACGAATACCCAGTCGTGTCCCTGAAAGATGAGTGTAACATTGATTATTCACAATATTCTGGCACTGTAATAAATATTCCTCACAAATTATTGGATTCTGTTATATATACTCTCAAATTGGAGAGTTTAGAGCAAAAAATGGAAATTGCATTTAGTTCTTTGTAACGTAGCTGTTTTTACCGAAAGGTTTCACTCTGTTCTCCGTTCACAACAATTTGCTGGACTAAATCCCATTGTATTCCAGTGTGCCTGTTTGTTTTGGTTTTATCTTTGTAGATAAGATTCTTGCTGACTGCATTTCTTACACTTCGAGCGGACTTTTGATGTTTCATATCCAATGGCGTGCATGCATGAGGAAGTTGGCTATCGGGTCTCTGACCTGAAAAGCTTGCACTCTAAATCTGCTTAGCCAACATATCCCATTTTAAATGCTTTTTTTTTTCCCTTATAACTTTTTCCCCTTCCTTTTGCCTGTAAACTGATGTCATGTATACAAGTAAGAAAACAACATTCTTGCATGCTACTAAAACCCTATTCACTTTCAGTGTCTTCCAATTTAAAGATCTTCATGTATATTAGCATGTAGGAAAAGTTGAGACATATTGTTCAAGGTAGAGAATCTGTTTCTTACTGTGCAGGTTGTTAAACTGTTACCAGCTAACCAGCTCTGCTGTGAATACCAAACCGAGAAATCCCTATTAAGATCATTCCTGTGTGCAGCATTCTAAGAATGTGTACATTCCATCGGATTCCGTGGCGATAGCACTGCTTTTAAAACCTTTTGCCCAGAATTATTTGTTCTTCATAACTTCAGCTCTCCCAAATACCAAGAGGTTTATAAAATCATACATATCTTTCCATTCTAATGCTAGAATTCTGGACAAGTGACTTTCTATACCGCTAAACGGGCAAGTGATTTGACGCGCTATCTGGAGATGTGGAATCAGCAGCCAGGGCAAAGTAGCTGAAGGCAATTGGCTTTTGCCCTCTTGTGGGTTTCTGGGATGTTGAGATACTGAGTAATAAACGGGGGATTGGGGAACAGCTGGTTGGAAGGAGAAATAAAAGGAAATGTCGGAGAAAAGGCTGATTCAGTTCTCTCTGCCAGACCTCAGACTCCTTTGTGACTGCTAAGGCAATAAAAGAAAATAAACATGTGGAGACAAGTCGTAAGCTGTGTGTAACAGAATTTCTTGCCACGTGCTTGTTCTCAACTCCTTCTCCTTTTAACTTAAACGCCAGAATTCTTTTTTCATCTTTCTTCACCTTTTAGGATGGCATTTCCTTTTTTTTTCTGCGTGGTAGTCACACCAGCGCACATGGTTGTGAAAAGATGTCTCCCAACAAAACACACTAAATAAAATCTCCTTCCTTTTATGGGAGGCTGCACAGCCTGGGGTTTTGCACCAAATGCATAAACTTCAAAAGTATTTGTTTTGTTTTTATATAACGTATACAGTTAAATACACAACCTATATAATGTGTTTAAAAAGAATGGTCAGATCCATTTACTGTACCCTTAAAAGCACATCTGAAATGATTATATAGTTATTTCCTTTCTAGAATATATTTCTCTATCAAAATGGGTTATATTTATGCACAATATTAAAAGTAATTTGAGGGTCAAGACATGGATTACTTTACCTTAAATGCCAGTAAGAATGCATTTGGATTACAAAGTCTGTTTGACATTTAAATGAATAAAATGTTTCACTTACCTTTTTCCAGCGCCGAGGCTCCCTTGGCACAGCTTACTACTATGCCTCCCGTGACATCATGGAGGAGGCATGGCTTGATATTAATGTTTACATTGCAGGTTAAGATGGCCTCTAGTGGTTGTCTACTAGATAGTCATTAAATTGCTTTCTGGCCCGTGAAACGACGCTGGATGTCCTCATGCTTTATGACATCATAGCCTCTTCTGACATCATAGGAAAGCTTTGAGCTCCCCGCACATGCCCATTAGGTCGCCCCCATTGGCTGACCGTGAAGGAGGAACCCAGGCGCTGGATTCAGGTAAGTGTAAGTGCCATGGGTAGAGGGGCCCTTTACTGTTAGAAATACAAACACTAAAGCTTTCATTTTAAATTTGATACATGCTTTATATGATCATTCACATGCTGTGTGCACAGGTTTTACTTGTGATATGATTTAGGTGGTGGAATTTTTATTGTCCAGAGCCATAAATACCAAACACTGAAGGTTAACACTTGTGTTTATTCTCTCTCCTGGAAGAAGAGTCTATGGTTTGTCTGGAGGTTATTGATCCGCATTGAAATCAAGCTTTGTCCATATGTTGTCTAGCCGTCAAACAATTATTGTCTCCGGTGACAAGTTACAGTCACTTAGAGCCCTCGGACGATCAAAACTGATTCTAACGTTTGCAATTGTTGCCTTAGCAACCGTTGCTTCTTGTAGGACTTTATAGTTCTTTAATTGGTAAAATAAGTTTAATTTGATTAAAAACAAACCATCCAACAGGTATCTTAAAAACGCGGTGTGTGTGTTTTCCTTTATTTTCTGTTTTTGTAAGTCTTCACGTTACATATTATTGCTCTCCATGATGTTGATGGTTCAAATACAAAGTCGGTCACCCCTGTTGGAAAGTACTGAGTACTGCACCAGTTATTTATTGTATTATGGTGTATTGTGGTAATGTTGGGCTCAATGTAATGCGGGAAGGATTTGGCTCCTTTGATGCAAGCATTTACCCTAGCCAATCCCCCACTGGCCATCAGTTCCCAGTGACTACAAAATACAGATATGTTATGATAAGCAGCCTGTGGTCTGGACTGGTATCAGTTAACACCTCTTCTGAGTAATTCAGTTCAGTTGTCTGTAGTTTCCTTAACAACTAATACAAATCTTTCTTAGACACTGTGAGATTTATATTTTTCCCCTGAAAGCCCCAAAATGCCATTGTGTTTACCTTTAACCTCCGCCAAATGTCCTAAGTGTAAAATATTTGTTGGGTTTCAGTCATAACTGGCATAGTCGAGTCCATGGAGGCTGTGCAGGAGGGTGGGCTGAGGGCAGGACATGGCGCCATATGGGTGGTGGGGAATACCCAGGTTTGTAGAGAATTCACAGTAGTTCCTGCTGTAATGATGCCCCAATGACACTGCCAGAGGTGACATTACAACTCGCAGAAGAGGGATTACACTCTGTATGTGCAGCATTTCATTGCCACTGCGCATACAGACTACAGGCACCGCAACTGAAGTGGTCATGGTGCTTGCAGTAACCCTTTAGTCACATTCCACACGAGAATACAGATACGTTCACACTAACAGAGAACTCAAAGTACAAGCTGGCATACACACACACTGACATGCCACACAGCAAAGTGAATGTAAAATAGGTGTTTGCAATTATTTTCTGGTGGCACTTGCAGTACTTTTTGTGGTCTGAGGTGCATCTCCATCAGCTTATAAAGTCAAGTTTAGGATTATTTAACGACCTGCCAATCTTTTATCAGGATATCCAGTCCTTTATCTGTGTGTGTATACTGGATAGTTTCTAAATGTTGCTTTGTTTAAAGGGACACTATAGTCACCAGAACAACGGCAGCTTATTGAATTTGTTCTGGTGAGTAGAATCATTACCTTCAGGCTTTTTGCTGTAAACACTGACTTTTCAGAGAAAATGCAGTGTTTACATTACAGCCTAGGGATAACTTCACTGGCCACTCCTCAGATAGCTGTTAGAGATCCTTCCTGGGTCATGGCTGCCTAAAATGCAGTGGGCAGGTCTAAAGGAAACAGAGCCAGAGCTAACAGCTCCATACTTGTAACTTGAATACAGTAAGATTTTGCTATATTTATGGAGGCATGGGGGTACCAGAGGGGCTAGATGGTGGTTTTAACCCTATAGGGCTGACCCTATAGTGCCTCTTTAAAGAGTAAATGAGCTTTTGTGAGACACTTGTTTTAGATGTTTGATTTCTGATACCTATTGGTCTCTTTATGCAGTGACCAGCATTGATCAGAGTTAGTGGAAGAGGAGGAACAATGTTTCTGATGCCCTGGCTGTGCCTTGCTTGTACCTGGGATTTATAATGTCACTTCCTTCATTTTTACTATTCAATTGAAAGGAAATGGAGCATTACATGGGGGGCAAGGTGACACAATTTGTCATCAAAAGATGTTGATTTTCCATCTGCAGCCAGACATGTGAGGGTTTTTTAAAAGATTTAAAAGATTATTCCAAGCACCATGACCACTTCAGTGATTTGAAGTGGTCATCGTGCCTGGTGTCTGTACGTGCAGTATTTGTTTGAAAAGCTGCACATGCAGAGATTAAACCCTCCGAAATGGCTTATGTCAATTCTGTTTTGTTGGCCAGAATGACGGTTATTGACTGAGAGTGATCAGTTGACACTCTCAGCCAATGAATGCTGACCCCTGTGGTGCCGGAAGCACATCACTGGACCACCAGGATGCATTGGGGACACAGGTAAAGTGGCTACCCATTGCTAAACGGTTTGCCTCATTACTGGGAAACCAGGCCAGGGTACTCTTGGAATCATAACCATTTATTTATTGGCATTATAACCAAGTTATTGGGTTAGCGTTAAATCGGAGTGTCTGACACAGAAAGTATAATTCGGTTTTTATGGAGTAATTCTGTAGAGTCTGAATACATCCTGCCTGTTAGATCCCGGTAAGGAACGTTCTATCTCTGGCACAGCTCTCTGGCCTTTGAGCTAGATTCTGTTATACTGACGTCCAAATGAAACACGCTTACACAGTGCTGAGGAAATGCTTGCAGACGGAAAAGTAGTATTTAAACTGAATCTGTGCAGTATGTCTGGAAAACCAGTCTGCATTTCATCCCTTCTCTGCCACAGAGGTTTGGATCTCATTTCATCCTTCGCTCTGCTTTGTGTAAAGTCTTTATCGCGCCATTTGCTGTTTCTCCTTGAGAAGAGCTTACAATCTCTATATATTTATAAAATAAACTATTATTTAACTGGGCTTCCATTTTCAGAGATCTGGTTTACTCTTAGGCGCTAAATAAACATCCCCAGACTATCTTGCTGTCCTATAACAAACCTCGGAACAGGCGATTTAAGATTCTAGAATTCCAGGGCATCCGTTCAGCATTTGGCAGAAGCTCCATTGATCAGAATATGGCGCTTTTTAACTGTCCGTGTAGTTCCAGGTTCTACTCCGAACTTGAATAGAGGTCACCATTGACATACTTGGATTCCCAAGGGGATAAATACAGAGACACACACACACCTTAATTATTTAATTCAGGTGTTACAGTCAGAGCCATTGCCACAGGTATATGAAATCAAGCATCTAGCCTCACATATCCCATACACCCATTATTGACTGGATGTGAGCATTATGCCCTGATATGGCCATGACCTTCACATTCTGCAGGTAGATTGCACATGAACACCCATCAACATATTTATTTAATAAAGTCTTATTCAGTCTTAGGTCACTATTTCCCTTGTTACATATTTATATTGTTGTCTCTGTGAGAATGGAAGATCTGTTCAGCAGTGGCTTATGTTATAGAAAGAGGGGGGCACCCACAAAAAGTAATACATAGGCCATCATGCAGCTTTCTCCATAAATATCCTTAAATAATTGCAATTACTTGGTAATAAGTCCAATTGAGCTAATCCTCCCTGATGTACTGGTAATGGCAGGGTAACTGCTTTTTGTATCTAATCTGACCAGCCATCTTTTAAACTCTAGCTCTGCCTTTGGAAGCAAATCGTTACGCTGGCTTCTTATCTTCAATCACGTTTGGGTGGGAACTGCTTCTATAGATCTGCTGCAGTTTAAACAAAGCGAATGCTGTGTGTGAGCAATGGGTGTAATAGCTTATATCGGATAACCTGCCTTAGGCCTTGCACTCCCATGCCACAAAATGAGGCTGAAATCCAACGGGAGTTGCCCAGACTGAGAAATTTGTGAATAACTCTGCTTTGGGTAGGCACACAATTTAGTGGGCAGTGCAGCAGTCAGTAACTTTACTTCTTAATCAATACAGATTAAGACAAAACTTTAGGTGCCAGCGGCAAAATGGCTTCTTGGCGTATCCTGCCCAGAATTAAATGGTGTTTTTTCTACACTGTTTTACGATTTATTTTAGTATTCTGGGGAGGAACGTGTATAGATGTCCGGTCCCGGTTTGCCAGAGATTAGTGGGACTTCCACTCCTGGACGGCAGCGGTCATGTTAATAAACACTTTGCTTTCAAAGAACAGAGTAGACAAAATGGCTGTTTCCACAGCTCCTTTCCCGCAATATCATTAGGAATGAACGGCGACATTCTCAAATAGTTACCGTTGCTGTGGAGTGCAACTCACATTAATCGAAGTCTGACCAGGACATGTATGTCCCTGTGCTGACATACGATTAAAAGGCATCCTAGCCTTTACCCTATTTTAATTTTTTTAAAACTTGTATAATTTAAATGATACAGAATGGAGTTGCCTGAAAGTTATGTGCATCATGGAAAATGAATGGCAACTCCCTCCTGGTGACACGCATTATCAACTCAATAAAGGGTTATTTCTTAAAGGGAGATATTAAAGTGAATTTCAAAGGCCAGAGTAGCTGATCTGGAGGAGTACCTGACTTAGAGAATTTCTCCAGTTCGGCTGTTCTGGCCTTAAATGTTAAATTCACTTTGAACTCTCACTTTAGTAAATAAGTCTTGTGATTTATTTTGTGTCCAGTACTCCCCGTGGCATTATTTCCTCATAATGCACTTATCATTGTGTATTATTTGTCATTTAGCTCAGTGTGCTGCAATAACTGTGTTTGTGTAACATTTGGAAAATATGGGCCCAATATCATTTATGGCTGCAATGCTCCCCCCACCCAACCCCCCGTGTTTCCGTGCCTGCCTTCAGTCATCTAACCTGGTGTTTATTGTTTGCAGGGCAAAGCCTGGACATCATGCCACACAGACCAGCGATGAAGTCGAACTCCGATTCCAAGAAGCAGGAGAATGGAGTGACTCTGGCTCCCGAGGACACCCTTCCATTCCTACACTGTTACTGCTCTGGTTACTGCCCAGAAGACGCCATAAACAATACATGCATGTAAGGGGACTGCTGCAAAACGCGTTTACAGAGCTTGTTTACAATCGTGGCGGTAACACTTTCTTGCACAAGTTATTGTCCTCTTAGAATTGCTGTTGGGTAACAAATCACCCCACCGTACATTGGGTAGAAATGATCTGATTTTCCATTGCATAGTAACAACGGTACTCTTTGGGTACAGCAGAACTTAATATGGGGCAATCAGTAGGTTCTCTCCCTTGTCCGTCACAACACGTTTGCTGATGAGAAATAATTTCTATGCGTTCCACCTTTCAGGATCAGTATGGAATTGGTAAGCACAGGGACGATCATTATTCCTTTCAGTGCCATCAAAACGTCACATGCCGTGCTTTGCCATGTGCTGGTTATTTATCTCCCACTGAAAGGCTTAACCCCTTAGTTACCAATGATGATCACTGCCCTTGTAACTACCTTGCCTTAATAAGATCCAATTGGGACATTAAACTTCCCAGTTATTTGTGACATGAGCAATGTGTTAGACTGCTGTTACTGCTTATGCAGGACACGAACAGTATGGCAGTGACGATAAGGAATTAAGGTGTAAAACATTATATTATCTAAAAAAACAAACACATAGTTTGGCCTGCCTCTCTCTCGCGCTTACAACAGATTCATTAAATACACTTTATTGAGCACGATTTCATTTTTACCCCCCTGTATTGGGGGTACTGTGTCGTAGTGGTGGGCTAAACACGATCTGGCCATATGGTGGATCCCTGTAAAATGGAGAGCTGTATTTGTGTGTGTGTGTGTGTGTGTGTGCTGTTCCTTAATCAGGAAGTGTATTCACGGAGGACAATACTTGGTTTCAGTCACTTGACTAATATAGGGAATGTTTTCCATCAGTTTGCACAGAAAGTGCCTTCCCTGCTCGTTAATTGTAAATCTACACTCTGACGTCCAACTAGTGTTGAGCTCATTGCATTTAATTGTTTCAAATCACTTGTTTGAATGTAGATCTAGGATCTGTCATTGTGATTTACAGAACGTTTCCTACACGGATCCCTATATTAAATTGCTTCTGTTAAAGGGACGTAAAAATTGCCATATGCTGCCCTCTAGTGACTGTTAACAATTACTACACTGTTTTTCCTAACATAATGTAGCTGTGTCTTATATTCTTTATGCCTGTATTATAATGCGTTTGTAAAGGTATTTATTGTGCTCTTATATGCACAAGTTTGCATTTTGTAACATTCATTGGCGGCTATTTATGAAGAGCATGGTGCAAAGGTATAAAAGAGGAGAAGTTGATAGGTACATTCCGCTACTTTCTTGATCATTTTCTCAATTTTAGAAGTTTTTTTTTTTTTTTTTTTTTACATAATGACCATTTAAAAAAAAAATTATATTTTACATTTTGTATTAATGAACTTATTTTTATTCTATCTGTGGGTTTTAGGGCCGTTTGATAGCATAATTTATCTTAGTGAAAGTGTGTCTGGTCATTAGTTTGATACCTGTACACTGTATTTGCCATGAGTTGTGCAGATGTGTTGCCTGAAAATTAATAGAATATTCTTTAGAATAATCTTCTCACAGATCAGAGATAGCCGTAATATCAGTCAGTGGTAACATAAGCAGCCAGTAGAAAATCGGGTATATACTGTATACAGTCCGATTTAAATATATCCAATAGAAAAATGAAGCAATTGAGTTTGATAAAGTGTGTTGAACCTGCATCTGCTGATGACCTATTTTGAATAGGCCATTCTGTAAAGACACAAGGAGTTCTGGGAACAGAAAGCATCCTTCAGGGGCTGGAAACATTCCTGGGATTCTGTTTTAGTTATCTTGGCAGGAGCCGTACCTGGGGGTGGGAGGCTGGAATGAAGCTTTCGCCCATTATTTGAGGTTGGGTGTAAATCTATATATATTTTTCCTACAGGACAAATGGTCACTGCTTTGCAATTATTGAAGATGATGAACATGGAGAAGCAGTATTGTCATCCGGCTGTATGAAGCTTGAAGGGTCTGATTTTCAGTGCAAGGTAATGGCAGACTCCGTGCTGTTCTTCTAAAGCTTGTGTAAAAATTTCAAAATAACATTTTCCTGCTTAAGTAACTTTCTTTTTACCCTTTTTGTTTAAAAAATAAAATATTGCACTCCTCCTTTCTGAGAGAAGCCATGTTTGTTTCACTGTGTATCACTTACGGTTTGCTTCAAACAGCTCTAACACGTCAGGGGAAGCCAAATAACACTGATACTGAATCTAGAGTGGGAAAAAAGCTTAAATAGTATTTATGGAATTATTCTTACATTTATATTACAATTTTAAAATGCAACATTTTGAAAATTATAGTAACTTCTAACCAGATTCTGGTAAGTACACTAGTAACCTTACTAAACTGCGTTATCTATTTATAATAAATGAGCGGTCGGCAATCAACAATTTTGCATTTACAATTTCCTTTTTTTCCCCCCTGAATAGGATTCTCCCAAAGCCCAGAAACGGAGGACAATTGAGTGCTGCCGAACTGACTTTTGCAATAGGGACTTGCAACCTACGCTGTCCCCTATTATTCAAGGTAAGGCGGGTTTCCCATGTAACACATTCCACATATTCGAGGAATTTAGGGGAACTACGGCATAGTATTGTCTAACTATACCGTTTATTGATTTAGTGAAATGAGTTCCAAGTGACCCCATGCGTTTAGTTTGATGAAGCTGCCACTAATCACTGGACTCTGTGCTGTAATTCTTGTAATTCCGAGTGTTTGTTCTGAGCTTCTTTTTATGAAAGGGAGCCCCTTATACACAGTGTTACATTCAGGATATCATAAGTCACTTAGGTAGATTATTAATTTTCTCTACGGTCAACCTAAAATTACCTAATAACATTACTTTTGCAATTTCTATGTGAATGATTATTTTAGATTTATATCCAGTTAGATTAATGTTTTTGGATGTTTTTTTTTTTTTCTTTCATTTTCGGACTGATCCGTATCAGGTGGGGTGCGAGTTAGACGTATGTCTGCATACACATTACACATCTAATCATGCAAACGTATAGCTGCTAGGTTTTTAATATTGTGTGTTTAACACTTTCTTTTAATGTGTGTGTGTTTTTTGTTAAGTTGTCAAAGCACCATTACAACCTGCGTCATCCAGCATATGCCATTGAAAGCAGGAGCAAGTCCTTTCTGATCCTGTTTCAGTAAATGTCAGAGCCGGTTTTAGAAGCACATTTCTGATATTTCTTGCTGCTCTACTTTAGCAGATGAAACAGATTTATTGCTCCGTTTTCCTGTGTCAGAGAGAGAGAGAAATAATTGGACGTCTCTTCCAGGAATCCCATAGAGATTAAATGTCACTGTGTCCTAATGGTGTGTCAGTGTGTCTCTAACGGGATTATTTTACTAAACCATGAACCATGATAAATTAATACCATTTTCTAAATGTTAGTATTTAATAGTCAACCTGGGCTAATAAATATTGAATGAATTTTTCTTTAACGGTCTCAGTTAAGACTATTTACTAAACATTTGTTTCAATACAAGACAGCAGTCTCCTAGAATAATGAGATGTTAGATAATACAAAGGGCCAACATTGTTGAGTATAGCCGCCCCCTCTGATCCATTGCCCCAAGAGATAAACTGGTAGAACTGATTGTCACTGCTTTCCATGTACTGAGTATCATTTGTTTTGTGACAGGTGGCGTGTTTAGTAGAAGTGTGCACCTCATTGCCCTTGTGATATCCATTGCCGTCTGTTTATTGATCACGGTGGTCATCATCTTCCTCGCCTGTATCTACAAGTAAGATCTTGTTATCTGTCTTAGCATGTTCTGTAATGATTGATGAACAGTAGTACATTGTAAGTCCTTTATAGCGAGCATTCTACAAATGGCATCCATTGCGTTCTGTGCCTTAATATATACTAGGAGTGCTCAATAGATTGTCCACAGATCTACAACTTTCATTATGCTTTGTCATTTTATAGACTGGTAAAGCATCATGGGAGTTGGTTATATAACATCTGGCGACCTACCGTTCGGACGTGTGCTATGCATTATTCATGCAGTATAGTGTACCCTTGCCATGAATCAGTAGATATGAGAAGCCAAAAGAATTCTGTAAACAGATTTAGGACTAAAGCATATACTTGTGGGTAGTTTAATAGTGCAGTAGGCCGGCTTTTAGACTCTCAGCTGCTTACAGTGATCTGTAAGTCCTGTAATGCTTAGCAAGTAGAAAATTAGCAGATCACAAGTTTTGTGAAAGGTAGTTAAAGCTACCTTCTGGTATCTCTAGATTTAATGCGCAGATCCCTTCCAGTTTAGATGCATCTGTAGGGCCAAGAATGCTAGATGAGGAAAATTGGTCCGAATTTGATCTTTGTTTAAGCTCACATTATAATTTTTATTATTGCTATAAAGATTTACAAATATAAAATGGGGCTAAACGTCATTGACGTAGGTGCATGTAGTTTTGATAGTTTATTTACATTCATTCCTAATCTATCCTCCTATGTCTATCTAGTGAGTTTTAGGGAGTGAGTCTTTGTATAGTTTACTTTTTGCCAGTCTGTTACAGACATTAGTATTTTCATTTTCCTCTCTTCCTTTATATTGTCTATACTAAATTGGCTACCTGACAATCAGCTGTGATTTATTTAGCACCTACTTCAGACTTTCGCAGGATGTACTTTACCTTTTATATTGGAAGCGGTAATACGTGGTGGGACACGGGATTGGATCGATCTTCTTATTGAATTCCCACCTGCTCACCACAGGCATTCGTACTCCTCTGCTTATCTAGTATTTCTTTGGTTGCCTGGCCTTAACATTTTCTGGTTTGAGTTTACATATAGAGCCATAGCTAATAAAGCTCTTTATCCTCTCTATACCAGTAATGTTTTATGTAGCTCCTTTTTCGATCATTTTACTTGGACATAGGAGCTAACCTTCCAAGGTTCGTTCATTCACTTTATAACAATTTATTGCAGAATCTCTAAGAATACTCACCCTGTTACAGGCTCATTATTCAACACAAATATTACGTAGTACTTCTATTCATAGCTCCAGAAAGTACAGTAGGTTTACTTTAGGTGAACCTATTCATTTTTTTGTGTGTTCTCGAATTGTCATTGACAGGTAATTGACAGGTAATTACAATCTATGAAGGCTTTTTTTCTGTCAAAGGGTTCCATGAGAAGATTTTGTTGTGATGGACAAAGTTGATCACAGTTGTTAAAACCAGTAAAAGTAAAGCATACTTGGGGTATTATGGTGTGCGCCACCTGGTGGTGATGTAATGTCATTATGAACATTCAATTGATGATATAAAACTCATGATAATAGTTACATTGTCTCATAACTTGTGGTTTGCTTTTTTTTTTTTTCCAGACATAAATATAAATCACAGAGGATGTTTTATAATCGTGATTTGGAACAGGACGAAGCATTTATACCATGTGGGGAGTCATTAAAGGCTCTTATTGACCTTTCTCAAAGCTCTGGTAGTGGATCTGGACTCCCTCTGCTGGTAAAGAGTGTTTTCATTACATCTCCTTACTTTTTGTTTTTTTATTTGTATTTATAACCATTAATATTCTGGTCGATATTTACTGGTACTGTTATTCTTATACAGGTGCAGCGTACCATAGCTAAGCAAATCCAGATGGTGCGGCAGATTGGGAAGGGAAGGTATGGAGAAGTTTGGATGGGCAAGTGGAGAGGAGAGAAGGTTGCTGTCAAAGTGTTTTTCACCGCAGAGGAAGCCAGCTGGTTCCGGGAGACCGAGATCTATCAAACAGTCCTCATGCGTCATGAGAACATCCTCGGTAAGAAAACATTAATTACAGGAACACTAAAATGTTATTTTATATATGAAGGTCTCTTTAGAGGCTGTGGTGGTTTTTTTTGTTGTTGTTTTTTTTTTACCTCCTAATTGTGTCCTTTAAATTTTGTAATGCAGGTTTTATAGCAGCTGACATTAAAGGGACGGGCTCATGGACCCAGATGTACCTGATAACAGAGTACCATGAAAATGGGTCTTTGTATGATTTCCTAAAGTGTGCTACGCTTGATACACGGTCTCTGCTCAAACTGGCATATTCAACTGCCTGTGGACTGTGCCACCTGCACACTGAAATCTATGGCACCAAGGGGAAGCCGGCTATTGCCCACAGAGATCTGAAAAGCAAGAACATTCTGATCAAAGAAAACTGGACTTGCTGTATTGCTGACCTAGGCCTGGCTGTCAAATTTAACAGGTACCTTGCATCTTTTCCTTGGGTGGTTATATGGTGAAAAAGTTGACAATCAATAGACCAAATATCTGATGTTGAAACTGAGAGGAAACCTTAACAAGTTCTCTGAACCACAGGTGACAAACAAGTTGGGAATTACCTTGTTACATATAGAAACTACCAAAATATAACTCCTGGTCTTTGGCTTGTAATGTCTTATTCTGGAAGATCGGGTAATGGTTGAAAAGCACATTGCAGAGAGAGTGTACATGAAGATTTCAAATACAGCCTTGAGTCAACCCTTTAAATTAATTCTAAAGACAATACATGAACATTATGCAAATTCCCCAAATTAAAATGAAAGCGATGTTTCTGCATTTGCTGCAAATTTTCAGTATGTGCAGTCTCTGCAAAGGGATTTTAGAAACGGTTATGATGCTATAGGCACATAAAAAGTTTCTAGTTTAGTTACTCGAAAGGCACGGACAGCAGTATGGAGGGAGGGCATTAAAGAAGGTGAACTTGTGGAGGTACGTTAATAGGAGCGCCCTTTTAAGAAGACTGCTGACTCCTATAAATGCACACAAGTAAATTTATGTTGGAGGTCTGTGGAAGGGAGTCCGCAGCCAGTCAGGAAAAATTAAAAATGTAGGTCCACAGGCATCACAAGTCTATCTGGCGCGGGAAATGCTGGCTACGCCTCCTCTCTAGACAGGACGTTCATTGGCCGCCGGGTGCACGACATAGGGTATAAAAAGAACTCTTTCAGCAGTAACACGTTTGCCTCTGATGAAGGTGCTTCTGTATTGCACCGAAATGCGTGTTAGGCGTTTTTCTTCTGTCCCCTTTGTTGGGACTTCACATTTATTCACGGCATGGCACTTTATTGTCCTGACATTTAATTATCATTTTTTCACTTTTTGTACATATGTTTAAATAGATAGCCTTATTTCTCCCTACCACTGGAAGAGGTTTAGCTACATTGGGCTAGGCAGATACTATTGTATCCTTTGCAACCAGATACAATGTTGCACTTCAGGTTGCTAGATACTTAAGTTACTAACTATCTGTCCTTTCTATCTCATTTGGCTAATACTCTTTTCATGGATATGATGTGAGCATTATAAGCTTCACAATATCCATGTTATATAGATCCTCTTATTATATATTCACCTATAACCTCTATTTACATTTGATGTTATTTGTGTTAGCAAATACTTTATATACTTTGGATTTAGAGTAAGAGGCTTCATTGTCAGTTTGTTCCCTGCTTGATGTATTAGTTTAATATAGCAGTGACAAAATTGAGCCTGATGTATTAAAGCTCATAATAGTTGTCAATAGTACTGCTTTTACAGATAAACAATATATTAGCATCATCCAGGGTTTTTGTCATCTTTATTTGTTTAATTCATATATAGGGACATTTAGCTCTCTCTTTATAATACGTTTCAATTTGATACAGACTACTTTATTATCTCCAGATATACACAGTTCGATACATCTGTTTTTCTAACATTTGTATGCTCTGTTTGTTTTCTTTTCTTAAATAATTTGGGGTCAGGCCCCTGGAGTCTCCTTCTGGTACTGGGTAAATCTGCCTCCACCAGTGACGCCAACTTTGGTGGACGTCGTATGGTGGAGACCGACTTCCCTTTTATATATTTTTATCTTTTTACATATATTATACATTCTTCTTTTTCTAGTGACACACACGAAGTTGATATACCGTTGAACACTCGTGTTGGCACAAAACGTTATATGGCTCCCGAGGTTCTGGACGAGAGTCTGAATAAGAACCATTTCCAGGCTTACATCATGGCCGACATCTATAGTTTCAGCTTGATCATCTGGGAAATGACCCGTCGTTGCATCTCTGGCGGTAAGAATTAACACATCATTAACATTCTAACCCATGCCTGGTTACTACGGGCTAGTGATCCATTTCCTCCGGTGTCCTGCTTTGGTAAAGTTCGAGATCACAATCTAATAAGAATTAATTAAGTATAATTACTATTCTGGTATATGTGTACGTATAAATCAATGTGTATGCATACATATACACATGCATAGGTTGATCTAAATTCCTATCCTAGGGCATCTGTGTTTTACGTTAAACATGCCTTCGTCCACAGCTTATCCTTAATGCCTGCAGCTGTCACTGGTAATGGCTGGGGGTAATTGATACTTCTAGACGGTGGTAGCTCCACCCAGTGTCTAGAAGTGTCAGGCGTAGGAAATTTACGGTGACAAAGTATTCCCTACTTTCTCAGTATATCTCTAGACTGGGGTTGCAATTCAGTGAAGTTCCAACACAGTCAATATGAGTATTTCATTCTATATTTCTGGGTGGGGGGCGGAGACAATGCTGCTTTATAAATAGATTTTTCTCCCATTGGTCTCACAGTTCAGACACTGAATGCTGAGTAATTAAGGGACCGGCCACAGGAGGTCCCTCTGCTCTCCACCCATACCAACTACAGTGCACACACTGTAGTTACTATGGTAACTCCTTAGCTAGCACTTCTAGTGCATTCTGGGGCGTATAGTTATAAATTTACGTGATGTCACTCTGAGATGCTGGCATGCTTAAAGCAAGGCAAATCGGCAACAAACAGAGGAGGAAACGTGAGCAGAATGAAGGTGCGTGTTATAGAAGTGTAATATCCACCTCTTTCATGAGTGGAAACCCAGGTAAGGCATTTTATCCATGGCAGGTTTCCTTTAAGAGGATGCGTGTTTAATAAACAGCCTACGTCAACCAATGGTTTATTTGTTTTGTTTTTGTATTATTGCATTATATTTATTGTGTCCAATGTTCCTGATTTAAAGGTATTGTTGAGGAATATCAGTTGCCATATTATGACATGGTGCCAAGTGACCCATCGTTTGAGGATATGAGAGAGGTGGTGTGCATCAAATGCTTACGGCCTACAGTGTCAAACAGATGGAACAGTGACGAGGTAAGTACCAGACAATTTGATAATGCTGTTTTTAAAGAACCCATAAAGACTCTAATAAATGGGCATCATACCTTAGGATTTACACAAGGTAGACCTGGTAGATGTGGTTGTAGTTACTTAATATCATTGGTTCTGCCTTATGAGAACCTGGCACAAAATCTCGTCCAACTCTGTTTAAGCTCTTGGTTAATTGACGGTCACAGCCATGATGTTCACAACTAACACTTGCCTTTCTTTTTTTTTCCCCTGTATCCGCAGTGCTTGAGAGCAGTCCTAAAACTAATGGCAGAATGTTGGGCTCAAAATCCAGCATCACGTCTCACAGCTTTGAGGATCAAGAAGACTCTTGCAAAGATGGTAGAGTCCCAGGACGTCAAAATTTGACACCGGATGGCTGGGACCAACAGAGTCAGGACTCTGAGACTAGAGGGAGTGCAAAAGGAGGGTAGCTGAGGCTTCCAGCCTACCTCCCCAACGCATTTTGCAGGCTGCTAAATGGGCTTGTTTCAGTACAGTCTAGATTATTGTGCTGAGGCCCTGTGCGTACTCAAGAACAGATTTACGTTTTTATTTTATATTAACACTTTGCGCTGACATATATGGTCCTGGTGAATGAGTACTGAAATGCATGTTCAGAATATTTTGCTTTCTATGAAAGCAGCACTCAAGATAAAGGCTTTTTAAAATCCCATTTTACCCTGGTGAGAATTGGAGACGTCCATGAGTAATTAGCTGGGCTTCGCAGTGGAATTCATCCAGAATCGGAACAAGTCGAATTTGCCTTTTCTCTCACCTGTATGCAGGAGAACTTTGGGTTCCGTTGTGCCAGAATTCATTATTTGCCTTTTTGCCACCAATTATTTTATTTTTTTTGAAAATCATGGTGATTTTTTTTTTTTTTAAATCTAGCCATCGAAAATGCAAAATATGTAATCTGTGGTTAAGTTTGCATATTTCCACGTAATAGACAGCATTCTCTTTTTTTTGTAATAGACATTTTACAGCGACAGTATCCAGATGTAGACACAGACTTCAGCTTGTGAACAGTGGGAAATGTTCCAGCGCACAGGTTCCAGCACAAGTTGTCAGTGTTGACTGCTTGTATTTACAGTGGTTATTTTATATCTTTTTTTTATTTTTCCATGAAGTCCTACCGTTAAAGAAAAAAATTAAACTCAAAATGTCTCCGAGCTACTCTCATTTGAGTTTTAAAACCGCTCTGTATTTATAGCCAAGTGTGTAATAGTTATTACAAGTTGGTGCCGTGTTCCCACAGATGTATGCTTCCTGGTTCTGTGTGTACTTGTACAACAATAATATGTTTAGTGTAAACCTGTGTGTGCAGTTCTAAAGAAGCTGTGTAATGACCCTGTATGTCAATATGTAAGCTCATACATTGCACACAGGAAGCCATTGTAAATCTAACACTGTTGGTGACATTGGGGAGACATGGCCCTCTAGGCACCACATAGGCTATTTCAGAGGTTCCCAACCCAGTCCGCAAGTGCCCCCTACCAGTCCAGGATTTAGGAGATTACCCTGTTGTGTCTAAAGTGGGCTTTTTTTTCCCCCTTCTAAAAACACCATTGTCACAACTGGTAATCCCTTAATCCTGGACTGGGTTGGAAACCACTGGTCTATTTAAAAGAGCAGCATGTTAAAATTTAAATCCATTTTTTATTTTGGCCAATTCATGAATTGTCATGTTGGTAACTGATACAGCCTCTACTCTCTGTGTGTCATCAAACTTTTGAGTTATCATTGTGACCAAACCGGAGTCCTTTAAAAATTGATAGTATCTTTTAATCTGCTAGTATTACTCTGTTACGAAATTCATATCATCAATGTGCTGTGACTCCGAGTCGGATGTGCTGCTTGCAATGTCTTCCTGGGTTACATCCCTGTAAAATCCATTCTAGTGGCTGAATGAGCTTTGAGAGAGGTTGCCTAAATACCTGAGTCTTTGTCCAACTCTGACTTAAAGTAAAAAGACCAATAATTAATTGACACAGAGATGGTTCAACTTTGACATTTGATGAGGTTGATACCCGTACTAATGAATGTGTTGCCTCCTTTTCTATTTAATTTTTTTCGTTTTTTGTTTTCTGCACTGTGCCCAATATGTTAAACTCGAAGCACATGAAATCCTAACCATTACAATCTGTATTAAAATTTACAATTTTAGATTCACACTACTTTGTGGTTTCACCCACACTTTAGTATTGCCAAAATGAAAATCTGATCTGGGAGCCTTTTGTAACATTGCTTTGTCTATGCCAAGTTTATTTCATTTGTGTATATATATTTTTTATTTTATTTTTTGGTTTACTAAAAGGGTTGGAATAAATCCGGAATTCTCATTAAATGGGGCGCCAACCCATCACCTTTTTTAACCTAATGTTCTTTTTTTAAAACCGTCCTTTTGCCAAATGTAATTAAACTGTCAAGAAAGACAGACTGGGTAGTGGAGACTGTGTGTTGCAAGCCTTATTTGTATAATTCCCTTTTAAACAATTGCTACTAAGGTAAATATAAACCGTGACGGAAAATAAATAAAAGGGATATTAATTAGGTATGCATTCAGCTAAGTTGCTTAAACAGGAAAGCGTTTGCGTACGAGCCTTCATGAAGTTAATTGCAAAGCCTGCAGACAATGTGTTTTGATATAGAATAAAGTTACGTTTAATTTTGAAATAAACCACTTTCCTGCATTAAAAAGCTCCAGTTGAGCTGACATAGAAGGCTTCAAACTCGTCTTTTAAAATTTAGTAGAACGGAAATTTCAATTATCCAGTTCACTCATACTTGTGCTTTCAGATTAATTTGGTGGTAATTCTACTAATCAAACTTGTATTGTGGCTGACTTGGATATCAATTTAAGGAAGGGAAAAAATAATTCAAGTGACAGACATCTGAATGTGCTTTGTTTCAACAGACAATTAAATTTGGCCTTTAAACCCAATTTTAAATCCACGGTCAGAAAGTTAATGTAGGCGGTATTTCAGAAGATAAGTCAATGCTGTTTTTTCTAATTACACTTTTTCTCCTGCAGTCCTAAATCAATAGACCCATCAGGGTTATTCGTTAATGTTAGAACTGTCAGGAATTCACATCTAAGGCCAGAGTATCCGAACTGGAAGCTGAGCTGTCATGGAGGATATTTCCAATAAGGCTACTCTTGCCTTAAATTTGAAATTCACTTTGAACTTTTAGCATCCTGGAATGTGCTGAGCGGCTTTCAAAGCACAGGAAATAGTCTGTACATTTGATATCGGCATTGCTAGCACTTTGTAAAGATGACATTTTAGGCCACCCAGAATCATGTTTGGTATGACCACAGTAAATACACATTAACTTATTGGGGAGATTTAATAAGTTCACATCAATTGTTTTTCTGTTTGGAATAATAATTGTATTGTTGGCCTTTAAAGACCTAATACAACTTCACTTTGTAAACATTTTAAGGGACTCTCCAGTGCCAGAAAAACAAACCATTTTCCTGGCACTGCAGGTCCCCCCCCTCTCCATCCCACCCCCCATCCCAAGTTGCTGAAGGGGATAAAACCTGTATCCATGTCCCTTGGTGCTTTGTCAGGGTCCGCCCCCACTCCTCCCCCGCCATCATCCGGTGGGGGGAGACCTATTGAGCATGCGCGGCCAAAGGCGGGGGAGACCCACGTGCATTAGACTTCCCCATAGGAAAGCATTGAAAAATGCTCTCAATGCTTTCCTATGGGGATTTCCGTGACGCTGGAGGTCCTCACATAGCGTGAGGACGTCCAGCGACGTTGTAGCACACTTTTCATGTGCTATAAACACGGAAGTGCCCTCTAGTGGCTGTCTAGTGGACAGCCACTAGAGGAGGAGTTAACCCTGCAAGGTAAATATTGCAGTTTATGAAAACTGCAATAATTACACTTGCAGGGTTAAGGGTAGTGGGAGTTGGCACCGAGACCACTCCAATAGGCAGAAATGGTCTGGGTGCCTGGAGTGTCCCTTTAAGATTGTCTTCAAAAACCCAGCTTGAAACATGCTTTTCCATGGTTACATTTGATGAAATTTGTTTCCTTGGTTCTACATCAGTTTTCAAGGAACGTCACGTAATCAGGAAAACCGCTCTTAACCTCAAAGCTGTTCTTTTAAGAGCAAATGTTTCTCTGTGTTTACAAAGGAAATAGGTTGTTGATCCAGTGTAACCTTACCGTACTCATCTTACAAAATCCTCTATTAGTTTTAATTACAATCTGTTCTAACATTCTATAACGGAAAAGGGCTGTGTACATGCATTCAATAATTGTTTCTTAAATTGGGATTAATTGCAATTATTGTGGAGCATAATTGCTCAGCTGTGGAGACCGCCCCAATCCCCACCTTCTTATGTCTCCTCCAATATTTACACCCCTTTCAAAAGAACAGGGAAGTGCTTCAATCCAGTTCCTGTTTGTTCTGATTGGCCAGTAAAACTCCTTATACAGATAATGCCATCCTCTGCTAAAATGTGTTCCTTAGTAGACATCCCTTACACCGTAACCACTCCAATGAGCTATAGTCTTCAGCTGTCTGTCTCTATGAGCAGTAATATAACCCTTACTCACCCAGTGCCTTCAGATAGTCTATTTTATGTTTTCTGCAAATCTGCATGAATCTTTACACCCCACCTTGTGGTGAACTCAGTGACTGCAACTAGTAAAGGCTGCAGTGTGTAACTACAGTAAGCTTAAGTGGTTATGGTGTGGAGTGTCCCATTAACCTCAATATACAGATATAGTGCCACCTCATAAATATCTAAACTCAAGGAGCATCGAGAATATAGATTGCCAAAAAGGGAACATTAGCATTCAATTATAGTACCCTATTGCTATTTCAATATATTAAATCCTGTTTTTATTGGTATATTTTAAATATGTTCCTGTTTTTTTGTCTCTGAATGTAGTACTTTCTGATTTGTCATGTTAACGTGTGTGAAATCCAATAATGTATTATTCTTGAACACATAAGGGGACAGTTTTATTTAGAAAAAGAAAACACCTTAAACACAACAGGGTGATCCTTAAATCCTGGCCCGGTAGGGGTTACTTGAGGTATTAGAGCATTCTTCCATTGGTATTACACATAACAAGTTGGACATGAGCCTTTACAGATCAGTAGTTTTCAACCAGTAGCATGGTTCAAGCCACCTCTGTGTGCCATGATCACATTCAGTGCTGTAAAAGAGTGGATGCAGTCTTAAAAATTGGTTGTAAGTAGAATTAGGATTTCCATCTGGCTCCTAAAAGGAAACGGTCACTTTTATGGAATCTACACCATTGATTAAAATATTAAAAATCAAGGAATTCACTTTTTCCCCTTCATTAAATGCTCTTTTCTTTTTACAATGATTGACAGGCAGCTAAGATGGAGGCGCCCAGTTACAGGATAAAGAGGGGCAGATTTCTGTTTTTAATCTTATTTTTCACATCACACAAATATCATTTGATTAAATATAGGTATAAAGAGACATAATATCAAATATCCTGGGACGTTACACGTTCCCTTTAAAACGAGTAAGTCCGTTTCACCAAAAGTAAAAATCTCTCGAATAAGGCTTTAAGAAAATGTGACATTTTAGAAGCTGCTAAAGTTAAAAGAAGAAAAATAAGTAGGTGTGCCTTGGGAGATTGCTTTTTAATGCAGTGTCTCAGGTTGGGAACCTGCGATGTAGACAGTAGAAGATTAAAAGCCAATGTTTCAGAGAGAATAGGCTTTATAAAGCTATTCCTTAAAAACCCTTCAAGGATTACAGATCTTCGTACATGAAAACAAACATACATTTCAAATCTGTAGAAGTAAATTCTATTCGTATAATGACTTTTTGTTTGATCCAAAGTCCCTCCTTGGGGTTCTATATTGTAAAGCAGGAATGCCCACACTAATCCCTTGTAGAATTTTAGGATTTTTCTAACAGCATGTAATTAATAAGCAGTTGTCTGGCGCTAATCAGGATATTAAGCTTTATCTCTTGAAATGCCACGGTCCAGGAGAGCTTTGCTAAAATAGTCTTCTTCTAAAGTACATTTTGCCCCTTCTTTGTAATGACCTAAACAATCTGCTGTATAAGCCAAATACTTTTTTATTTTTAAGAGAACACGTCATTATGGATGTTGTAGCTTAATACTGTCTACTTAGAAAAGCATTTTACATTCATGATCACAAATTATTTAAATACCCACTGGCATTAAAATATACCCTTGGGATGAACCTAATAGTCTAGCCTTGCCCCATGCAATGTAGTAGTGTTGTCAGGAGTCCTCTGATGTGGTCTGAGAGAAGCATTTTGCCATCGCTCAATACCAGGTTGCTCCTGGCATGCTGAAGTGCTTATGGTGCTTAGAGTATCCCTTTAAAAGATATTACCAGATGTCTAGCTACATGAAAACTGTAGCACTGAGGTTAAATACTTACTAAGCATCTGTGGTTTGGTGTCATCTGCAACTGTAGCTCTGATTGACACATTTGATTAACCCCTCTGTTGAGATGACAGAAGTATTTTTTTTTTAGCACTGAGTTGGAGACTTTATAATAAACCTATATCTAATGAAAGCTCATTTAATATATGTCCCCTAATAATAGACTTGTTTTGACTGCATATTAGGAAACCTTAATTATGTTCTATAAGGTAAGAATCTAATAATCTAACCACGTATTACGGTCCAACTTTATTCATAGTACATACCCAACAAGGAGCCCCTCTCAGAAATCTGTGTTATCTAAAAACACGTTTTGGCACATGTAAACAGCGTTTTATAAAATTCAGAACTGCTTCACAAGTGAGCGAAAAAAACAGAATCATATGTATACGGTGGTCTAAAACAACAACAATGAAAATGGCTTCACATGTTTTCAAAGTTGACCATTTCTGGTCAATTCTCCTAAATTCCTAATTAACCTATAATAAACCATGTGTCACCAATCTATAATAACTACAGAAGACTATTTTTTAACTTAACTTTTTTCCCCGCCATTAGCTACTATATTAAATTCTTTTTATTACACAAATTCAAATGTCAACCAATATACATCTCATGAAACTATTCAAGGGACAAAACAAACAAGCAACCCGCCACTTATTTGCAGAATAGTCATTATTAGAACTTGTTCCAGGCTGTTTGAGGTCTTTAATTAAGAAACGTTTAAAGTTAAAATATCACCCAATAATTTGCAGACTTTGTAATAAAAGTGCTTTATAACAGAAATTCTATTAAAACTGACCCGTTTTAATAATGAACTGAGCGTGTTGCCCTGCCGGAGTGGGGTCTTTAAGACTGATTGCTAATTAACGGTCCGTCTGTGATGCAACAATGTCTGACCTAAATTGTCTTGTATAATGTATACAACAAAATAACTTGTAGTTAATGTAGTTTAATTGTAAATAGCAAAGAGAATGCTAAAATAAGCAGTATGATTATACAATTGTCATATATATATGCCAGACATGTAGAATATTGCCTTTTAAAAATGTAACATTAAATGTATTTTGTACAGCATCTGGTTTTAAAAGGTGCCTTATATTAAGTTTACCATAAATTGCTTTGTTCTGTACACAAGACTATGTCCAATGTATCATTTCTAAGTAAAATAAGCTTATTTTAGTAAATTATTGTTGTGTCCGTTTTTAATCTGCTTTTCCTGTGTATTGCAGCCAACTTGACAATGGAAGGAGCTTAAATGAACACAAATCTCACTGTGCAGTAGATATACACCCAGTGAGTATATGCATTACTATTTCATGCATATATTAAATGGGGGTAGTTCTTATTAACTACAGCCTCGGCAAGCCCTTCCCTGTTTTTTCCCCAGAAGACGCTTTCAGCGGAAATGATTTTGGTGTGTGGAGTCGTCCTTTAAGAAAAGCTCGGTTTTATTTGCAAATTCAGTTTACCCACAATCCAGAGGGAACTATAGTGTAAGGAATACAACGTTGTATTTGTAAGAAATCCTTTTAAGTTTCTCAGCGATTTGAGCTAGAGTAGCGTGTAATGTGTGAGTGATTGTCAGACTAGCCTTCCCTTACCATGTGCATCAATGAGCTGGTTCACAGATTGTCCTTACTTTAGGTAGGTACTAACCACTGCATAACAAGAACTCCCAACAAGACTTGCCCTTTGGGAGACCGAGCCATCACTATGGTCCCTGCTTCCAATATATGAAATTCAAGAAATGACTGTTCACTTGCTGCCTAATAGATCCTACCCCATGGCAGGTGCCATTAAAACGATAATCAATATTAACTTCACCTTCCAGTAGTTTTATTGTTGTGGTTGATAGGTATGTGTGTGTATATATATATTAGTATAAATTGCATGTTAGATGAAAAATACTTGTTTAACTTGTAAGTGAATACTTTGTTTAGTTTTTTGGGGGGACTTTCTGATCCAACACCATTTCTCCAGGGTACCAGATTCTTGGTTCCAAAGATGCATTGGCAGTAAAACGCTGGAATCCAATCTATCCATTTATATAAATTCACAAAGTTCCTGTACAGATCATTTCCCTTTTGTTTATAATACTTGCTATGGAAGAGTACCCAGCGATATGCTAATTGAACCAATGCCGGTGTAATCAAACAAACACAAATCCCTATGTACATTTAAATAAGTGGAGGTGTTTTAGTAACACTTCAATGGCCATTAGATGTTAATTCACCTGCCACTTCAAGGGAAACCTGTTACGGGAGTCCTACACTAACAAATCACCTTTCAGCCAAAAAGAGGTATTTTTGTAAAGCCCTTCTGCCCACCCCATGTGCTCCCTATTAAGAAGTATGCAGGGGTTTAGAAAAATACCCCCTCTATTAGAGAGCTTACCCTTTAGCTGGGAGCAGCAAGGTTTGTTAGTGTAGGACTCACCTAACAGGTTTTCCCTTGACGTGGCAGATGAGCTTACACTTAAATGGCCATCGGTATGATACTAAAAACCCTCCAGTTATTTAAATGTACATAATGATTTGGGATAGTGTGCAAGTAACTTGTTTTTTACTGTATGTGTTGTGTTTGAGTACCATAGTCAGAGCCCAAATATGTTTGTTTCCAATGGTTGCAGCTCCACTGCTGTACATAAGTCAGTTTTGTTGACTAACATTTTTGAGATTTAGTAAGCCAACAATTCAAATGACTAAAACTAAATTGAAATTTGCTGCTGAAATTGAAAGAAGTGTGCACCAGTGTTAATGTGTAACTTTATTTGGTACCAAGTACCCAATAGCACGAAGGGTTCTAAGAAGAGTCGTATAATTGTATTACCCGGGTTTCTAATACCGGTTTAATTACTTGATGATATTGATTTTAATTTTTTTTAAATGACTGTCTAGTATCCTCAATATAACAAGATGGCTTCTCAACCTTATCATAGGGAAGTCCTGCTCGGCCCCCTTCTGTCCCAGCTCTCTTTAGGATTGGTCTGCTTTTCTTTTGGTGCAAAGGATGCTGGGTGAGGCACAGGCGCATGTTGGAGTTCTGAGCTTGAACTAGTTGTCGGCTTAATATTTCAGTTGTCAAACTACCTACAAATTAATCCGTGCACTAACTGTGCGATTACCATGTGTTCAGTTACATTCTGCACAATTGGTCTCCAAACCGCTGTCTTGTATGCCGTTTAAATCCTTACTACACCTATACCAAGTGGCTACACAGCTGTCAACATTTCTTGGGATCTGTACGGAGCCTCGTGTTATGTAAAACATTAAACTCATTGTGTCGGACAACACACCAAACGCAGTCTGTACGGTCAAAAAAAACAGGGAAACAGAGCTGTGTTTAATGCTTCCAGAGCACCTTATAGAATAGTTTAATCTCTTATAACAGTTAAAATATATTCCTCAAAATTACATGTTACTGAAACAAATAGTATTTAAAAAAAAAAGGAAATAATTCTGTGTACATCTAAAAATGAAACGTTTATCAGGAAAAAAGTCAAAGATTTTGAATATACATTTAAAAACAACTCCACAATTACTAATAAGGACACATTCATTTTTATCATGATGAGGGTACTGTGGATACAGAGATACAACACAGAATGACATGTTTAATATGAACATATGAGTATTTTCTTTCTGACAAGAATCACTCGCTTCTATAGATTGTCTGACAGAGTCTCTAGAATGTGCTTTTTCCCCCAGATCTACCTGCAGACTTCTTTTGCAGTTGTAATTCAGATTTTTGGAACAAAGCTTTTTGAAAGATTTTATTTTAAGATTTCTCGCAGATTCCTGTGACAATGTCCATTATTTATTATCTACAGCACTCTCGAGATCAGAGGTTGAAACAATCAGTCTCCAAGTCAGTCTCGTTTTATTTCAGCTTAAAATTTAATCGGAGTTCACACTTCAGTAAATGACTCTGTGAAACCGTATTATATTACAAATAGTCTCTAACAGATAACAAGATAGCTGCTCTATAAGAATATGGCAACTTCATGTCAAACATTGGCATGAATCACCTCACATTTTATGGAGATATTTAGGTACAATTTCTCTAATTGTTATAGAGTATATTTTCCTTATGTAGGCCAACTCACAGTCTTTGACCTACATGGGAATAAAACAGGAGATATTGCATCAATCATGATTTAACACGGTAAGGTTTGTACTATGCTTTCCAAATTGGTCTCCACACAGTACCTTGCTACACGACTTTTACAAAATAGCTACTCGAGTTTTAAAAGGATACTCAGGACCATAACCACTACAGCTTAATTTAGTAGTTCTGGCATAAAGAGATGGTCTCTGCAGTCTGACAATTGTAAAGTCTTTTCTGAGAAAAGGCAGTGTTTACAATTGTGCCTAAGTGCACCACCATGGGCTTTCACTCAGCCAGCCACAAGAGGTACCTTTTAATTACAGTCCTACAATCTTTGTAGGACCAACATTTAGCGTCTTCATGCTCTGCATGAAAAAGCCAAACATTTGCTATAGAGATGTTTTGGTATAATTCATCTCTATATGGGGATGCGGATTAGTGCAGCAAGACGATTTCTGCGCAAATACACATTAGGCTTCCTTTTTGGATGACATTGTATTAAAAGTAAATAACACGGTTTTGGTGGTAGCGGTGGGCAGTAAGTCTAACATTAGAAATAGTTTTTTTTTTTTTTTTTTTCTGTTTGTGCTTTTTTAATAATAATAATAATATACACACACACACGTTTCTCTTCTTAAAACATCGTACATTCAGCAGTCACCAATATCACTCAATGGAATCTGGGTTAAGTTAATAAAAGTACTTAAACATATTCATGTTAAGAAATAAGGGTCTCAAACATGACTGCTTATCTAGTCTGATTGTCTAAGACCACTTACAGTTTGCATCTGATAATTGAGGTTGACCTCAGTGAAGGCACCACAATAGTACAGTAGGCTGCCATGGGTTATTGTTGTAGGATGAATTGTGCTACAGACAGTCCATAAAAGGTCATGCGATTGTCAATAGCAGTCTTGAACTATGATAGAAACATTGTGAAGATTAGCTGATGCCTACCAACTAAAGTCGGTATTTCTCAAAGCCTAGAATCAAAAACATTTAATACAAAACGCCTTATAACTCGTAGATAAAGTAGCTTTTAAAACTTTAGATAATTGTTTATTCTTTTAAACACTGCTGTTCACATATCTGAAATGTTTACGAAGAGGGTTTATTCACGTTTTGAAGATCAGGTAACCAGCCAGAATGGTTCCAGAAGAATTCTTCTTAATTGAGCCCTGAAGGAGCATAAACCAGACTTTGTCATCTTTGTCAAGTTCCACCACTGCAAAGCTGTGTTTTAAACCATCACCTTCTTTGCTGCTGATGTTTTGAAGAATAATTGTTTCTTGTCCTCTGAACACCAAGTGTCCAAGGGCTCGTCCAGGAGAAAAATCCACACTAATTGAGAAAGCATAGACTCCTTTGTACGGTGCTGAGAATTCGTAGTCATCTGGGTTGAAGGCGTTGCCATAGTTAAGGAGAATGCTATTAAACTGTATTAATCTTACGGCGTCTGCGCCTTCAGTAAAACTAGCCGCAAACGCTACCGAAGAATCTGGAACAAAAGAGAAGTTCAGATATAGAAATCAGAATGGTTAGTGGAAACATTATTAGCCCACTTAAAAAAATAAATGATATGCAGATATACACCGCTAACTCTATACAATGAAATAAGGTCATGGTAAGGGAGCTCTGTCCACAGAAGGGGTGCACATGCAGCCCTTACAACATGTACAAGATATGCTAGTATTTAATTATTTATTTGCGGCTAGTACTTGCTGTGTAACAAATGCTTCCCATTTCTGATTAATAACCAGATGCCTGGCAGGATGGCCCAATTGAAGTGGTGTGTTCTGCATGCCAATACGATGACAGCACTATTATAAACCACTGTTAAAAGAACACGTGCCATAATCCCTACCGCCTTTTGCAGTGGTTATGGTGCCAGGAGCGCCTTAGTGCCCTTCCAGAGTAAGAACTTACCAGGGTCTGCTGGACACCCATTGCCGCAGAGTCATGCAAGGCCAAGTAGACAGCACACAGCTGACACTCTAATCAGTGAGTGTGGCGTTGTATGGCTGGGCTTAGCTCAGTGGAGCGACCGAGAAGCGGCTGCAGCGGGCATTCCGGGGGACCAGAGTAAGTTGTCTTTTTAAATGGCTTGACTGCTTACTTTAGGACTGCCCCAAGGCTCTCCGGGTACAAAAACAAACTACAGTGGTTGTGGTGCTTGGCATGTATCTGTTTTATTACACTTCTAATTTTAACTTAAACTACCGGAAAGCAGGAGAGAACTTGATCTGTGCAGCCCTCTCAATCTACGTGTAAATCATAGCCCGATGTATACCGAGCTGAGTGGCGTGAAGGGATTATCTTAAAGTGTGATGCAATGTGCAATAATTAATTCTGTGATTTTAGAAGCACTCTCCTTAATTGCTTTTCTTGTTGATCCTTTTCTCTACACTCTGAAATGCTGAAGCAGCTCCAGATTCTATTAAGCTGATTGAATCAATAGCTAGCCATAAATAATAAGACAGTGGCATGCTTCTAATAGATTTTCACGGCGGTGCTAATTTACAGCCTGCACTCAGACTAATAACTCCTTCATATTTTAATATGCACACGCTGGGTTTCAGACTAATCCATGGTTTAACCTATTACTGTTTTACTCCACACAACGCAGAGCAACACACTCCACCACCCATCCAGAGAGCAGTCCTGGGTCACCGCTCAACCCCAAATCAATGGGAACAAATCCAGTTAACACTCGGCAACTTCAAAACAAATCTTTTGGAAAAAAGTGAACAGTTTATTTTATCAGCCATGAACTTGAAAACCTATATTTAAATATAGCGATTGTAAGTATGTATATATATATGTGGTGAAGAGGGGGCCCAGCACTGTGTATCGTTGCTTTTTAGAAGCCTACTTCAACTCCGTAGAGCCCTCAGTCATCACTGCGGGTTGGAAACATTCCACATGGCACACATGCTGGGCTCATGAGAGTTGGCTGACAGCTGAAGAGCCAATGTTATGGGCCCTTTCTTCACCACACAGTGCCTGGAAGTCAGCACAATGCCTCTGGACCACCAGGGCATGTAATGCCCCCCTCCCTGGCCACAGGTAAGAGGCAAGGAATAAAAATCAATAATGC